AGTTTAGCAATTAATTAAAAAAATGAAATGTTATTTACGGTTAGAAAATTGCTATTTGCGGTTTATAACAAAACCCCAAAAACTTTCCAAAAAAATCCAAAAACCCCCCAAACTGCAAAAAAAAAAAATCGAAAATTCGAAATCAAGCTTGAAGAAGGGTTGGGGTTCAATTTTTTGATGTAATTTCGACTCTTTTACGTGTAATATGCATTGGGTAGGTCGATTACGGAACCAATTTCATGTTAAAAAGTCCTACAAATCGATTTGTAGGGCTTTTTTTCGCAAAATAATGTTGGAATTCGTACACGCCTCGGGCGCCCATCTTGGGCGTTCAATTAAAAAAAAAAAAAAAAATTGCACTGGACGCCCAATTCGGGCGCCCAAATGCAGCTTGCACGTCCAACTTGGGCGTGCACTGCATGAATGGGCGCCCAAGTTGGGCTTTTACGTGTTTTGGTGGGGTTTTGGATTTTTTTTGGAAGTTTTGGAGTTTTAGAGAGATAAAGTGTTTTTTGTTATAAACCGAAATAGCAATTTTCAAACTGAAAAAACAAGATATGCTACAACTTGAATTATGACAACTTTAACGACAAAGTACTATCCTACCTCTAGGCCATGTGAGTTTTGGTGTTAAATATACGTACTATAATATTTATATGTATGAACCCGTCAACGTAGTATAATGGACACAATAATTTTAGGTTTCACAATAACATTATTGTTTTTTTTATTTACAATTTATTTTTTGGTTTATTGTAACATTATATTCAATTATTCATAGTAACATTAATCTTTTTTTTTAAGTTTTGTTTCACAATAATATTAATTTTCACAGTAACATTAATGTGCTTCACACTTTTTTAACTGTAATATTATTTTCACATTAATATTAACTATCACATTAACATTAAAATTAACAGCGACATTGTTTTATAGTAATATTAATTTATGCGGTAGTATAAAGTTTCACACTAATTTAAATATTTTTTTGCTAATACGCCACAGGTATAAATGCAATAGACTCTATTCAATATTATGTTATGCATTGTGTAAACAAGTCGAGTAGAGCCGGATGCAAATTGTTCAAACTTGTTTGATTTTTTATCGAACTTTAAAAGTTGTATTTGAGCTTGGTTTGATAAGCAATGAAGTGAAAATCAAACAAACTTTAATATCGAATAGGAATGACAATTTGACCCGCCCCGATGGAGCCCGACTCAAAACATCCAAGTTTTATCCACCTCAAAAAAATATAGGGTGAATGACACAAAAATATAGGATGAGGACGGGTTTGTATGTTCCCGCTCTGTAAACCCGCCTCATAATCACCTCGCATATATATATATATATATATATATATATATATATATATATATATATATATATATATATATATATATTATTTTTTTTGTTAGTTATCATCTTAACAAGCCTAGCCAAAACCAACAATCTCAACACACGTATTAAGTAGATTGGTTTGAATTTGAGTACTAGATGTCTATGGGGCCGAACTGCGTAATTTGCGTATAGTACGCATTTGTTCGTCCACTAATTGGACAACCACATAATTTGTAAAACTACACAAAATAAAAATCCTTGAAAGAAAAACTTAAATTGGACTACCACAAAAATATACCAATAGCAAAAAAATTGCCAAAATACATCAAACTTAGCATTGTTCCAGCATTACAGGCAGCATTGACCTCTACACACCATTAATCTTTTCACAATTAAAAAATAGGTCACGGTTATATGCAACCCTTGTACCACTTGTACAAGACCAAATTAAAAAAAATTCAATGTAAAAATAATATAATACCCTTGCTTGTTAAAAAAAATAGAAAAATCAAAATGTGCAATACCGAAAACTCAAAACCATAAAAATCTTTTTCACAAAACCACAAGACCAACTCTCATCTTCTCCATCTTCCAAAACCCACAAAACCTTTCTCCTTTCTCCTTTATCCTCCATAAACCCACAAAACCTAAACATTCAAAATCATCAAAACTCAACAAATCTTACAAAGATGGCAATATGGAGTCAAAAGACATCAAAATTGAAAATTTTACGGTGGAAGAACCCAAGAAGGTATGCATTTATGTGTTTTTTAGCTAGAATATCGTTTTTCCGAAAAAAATCCCGCACAGACTTGTTTTTTACCAGTTTCAAATTTAATTTTTTTTAACTCTTTTTTTTTAATGTTGAACAAAATGAGAAATTAGCATTTTTGAAGCGTTGTTGGGCGAGTTTAGGTCGCTCATGATTGTGAGCAGCGGGGCTGACGGCCGGCGAGGAGCTTGCGGCGACGGAGAAAGGTTTCATAGGGGGGCTGGGTTTTCTCTTTTTTATTTTTATTTTTTTGTCATTATTTGTTATTTGGTTTTGTATGAGCAAATAAAAGTAAATTTAATTTATGGGTATATTTGTCATTCCATCTTAATAAAATCGAATCTTTTGGAATATTTCTTTAATTTGATCTTGCACAAGTGAAATTAGTATTACATATAGCTGCAGCCTAAAAAATATTAAATATGTTAAACATTCATAAGACAAATTATTATTTTCAATACTTAGACATCAAGCATTTATATAATAATTATTCATTTTAAATTATTTTTCAGTTACTTAAATTTTCACAATAAAAATATTTAAAAAGTTTAGATGTTCAACTTTGAATGCATTTGTGATTCTCATCAGTAAAATTGGAATTTGTTTATTTATATTAGAGTTATATATTGATTAAATAACTAGATAAACCATGAACTTGGGATAAAATATTCCCAGGAATTAGTAGATTTTTTATTAACTAACAATCAACATAAAGTTAAAAAAAAAACGAAACTAAATTTCAGATTTTTTTATTCCTAAAATTAGAATATTATTAAAATAGAAATTTGAAATATAAAATTTCAATTTTGAGAGGTTGTTGAAATTATTATTAAATATTCATTATTTAGATCAACTCCAATGCTAAACATCAAAATTGGATTATCAGATACTCATTTGATGATTATGATAATATTTTAATATTCATTTATAGTTTATCTACTCTAACTATGGTTATCAAAATTAATAATCAATTAGAAGTTTTTTAGTAGTTTTATTTATAAATGTCACGTGTCATTTTGTAATTGGCTGTTTAGGTGGTTATTTTTTTGATAATTCGATTCGAGGATGTATTTTTACGTACAAAAAGGTAGAATATCATACTTATCCATTTGGATACTCCCATTGGAGTAGAATTTTTAATTTTGGGATATTCAAAAAGAGGGTCCATGGGCTTGATAATCTATTTGATACTCCTATTGGAGTTGCTCTTATAGAATGGTTAGAATGGTTTGAAGGGTATCATGGCAATTACAAAAAAACTCCAATCATCAAAGTCAAAGTTTTTCCATTAAATTCATTAATTGAGGGGGTAAGTGTTATATTTGTAACTTTAAGGGGTAAATGTTACCACCCTTATACTTTTAGGGTGCAAATTGTATTTAATCGAAATAAATATTTCATTAGCTATTAGCTCCTCGATTTATTCATTTTCTTTGCATAAATTATTATTACCTCCATGTTTTTTTTTTTTTTTTTGAGTAAATTCAAATCCATTATAAGGGGAAGTAGGGGAGGGGGACTCGAACCCTAGACCCTAGACCTTTACCCTATTAATAATGGCTAGATACCAACTCTGCTAATGATGATTGATATTACCTCCGATTGATATTACGTAATGTTATTGCACTCTAATTAAAAAGGGTTATTTATTAGCCTTGATTTTGGGAAAATAAGTTCTGATTTGATAACTTTAACATTTTCAGTGTTTTTTATCACTTCAATAATGTTAGAACTTAGAATCGTACCTTCAAATTTGAAAAGGACACGTAATATGAGGAAAAAGAATATGTGATTAAAATGACACTTAATATAAAATGGAGGTAGTATTTAACTAACTTTAAGTATGTGTAATTAGGTTTGAGTTTTTATTTGTAATTACGCTTGAGTTTTTAGAAACCCAACGTCAATTTTATACACAAATTCTTCACATATGAAACACAATTTTCTCGCATAATTTATCTCCTCTTCATTTCTCCTTTTGCGTTCTCTCTATGATTAGAGAGACGTTTTCAAACTTAAATCTTTAAGATTGACAATAATAAGACATAAATATTGAACTTCTCCAATTTGGCAGAATTCGATGCAATGTAGTGGTGACAGCGGCGGAGTCAGTATAAACCGAAGGGGAGCCACGCCCCCCACCCCTATATTATTTCTCAAATTCCTACTATTTTATGTATTGATATACAAAATTTCGTGTATAAATAAATAGCATTAACGGCCCCTCTCCCCATACCTTTTATAATGCACATGGCCCCCCTGAATTTAGAATCATGGCTCCGCGACTGAGTGGAGATATGGTTTGGGTACAGGGAGAAAATAATTTGGGAAAACCTGGTTCCACAATGGTGAACAATGGTTTATACTATGCTACACCGGATAGATCTTTACCATTCATAAGCACACAATCACACACACATCCACATTGGTGTGTGTAGATCAATTGTAAAAATTCATCCGGACAACCTTCACTGGGTGTTGCATATAAATAACCGTAAACAATGGTGTTATGGTCATTGATAAATGCCCAAATTTTTCGGTTTATGTGTTGAATAATGACGTGAACTTTACCAAATCTGTTCTTTTGTTGCCTTAACTGTAATGTAGTTAATTTTTTTGTTCCAATTTTTCTTTTAAAGAAAGAAATGGACAATGTACGGGGGAAAGTTTAATTGCAACTCCAAATATAACAGAGTTAGAACTCCAACAGTCGACTGTAAAAGGAGCGTCATTTCGTTGCATTTCATAGTACAAAGAGGTATTACTAGCAAATTGATCAAAGTACATGTGTGGAAAGTGTATTTAAACTCAACAAACAACAACAACAAAGTAATACCATTGGATTTACCTCATCGTGTGCATTAAACTAAGGAACATATAAATACATTCAACATAATAAAATCTGGTAAAATTCACGAATAAAACAGAGATTCTAAATACATATATATTAAAATGAAGAGCAAATTCATATTCCCTAAGCATATACATAAATTGGACAACCACAAAATACACCAAGATTAGCATTTTTCGAGCATTACATACGGCATTGACCTCTTCTACACACCATTTTTCTTCACAAATAAAAGGGATTCTAGATGCACACAAATAAAGTTAGTTCACAACTCTATTACATTAAGATTAGTGCCACTTAATATTCCAGAAGCATAATATATAATATATATAGCTACTCTGAATCTGGAGACTGGAATCACCTGCAAATGAAAAATCCCAAAAAAAACGTTAAATGCTGATAAAACGGCCCCGACCCTTTCGATAACTAATCAAGCTTTATTACAACTTAACCATCTATGAAAATTCTTCGTACGTCTCCTCAAATACAGCTTCAGCCTTCCTCCAGTAAACAAATGATTTATATATATATGTTCTTAGCTATTTATATACACGTCGTTTATTTTATTCCTAATGGTATTTTCAATTGTCAACACAAGTTTATTCAAAAGCAAGCTGTCTTTTGCAAATTAGCATCTACAATCAAAACTGCTATCTAGTGTTGTGTATACACATATATGTACATGCATATATAAATTTTTATTTTCTGAACATCAATCATCTCTGGAAGAAACGTATCGATAAATTAACTTCAAAGTCAAAACTAGTTTATACGGAGGGCGTTGGATGGTGGCGTCAGTATATTAACCACCATACTAAAAGAGTGGTCCAAACGATTAGTTTATAAGAAATACGAGAAAATAAAAACATGCAAACTGCTAAATTCCATTATACTATTACATGTCCAGCAAATAGCACCTAAACCTCGTACAGAATCCCAACTACTGAATCGATAATTCTCCACCAATAATGATTCAATAAAGCATTTAGATAATTTTTTTGTGAACAATATCAAGGCTAAAATCCTCGTCAACATATCAAACGAGCCCTCCATAACATGGTTGGTTATAGTTGCCAGAAACAAATTAATACATTCCATTAACTCGATTAATGTAATAATACCAAGGAATTGATGGAAATTGACACAGCATGCTGGCTAACAGATTAAATTGCATACACGTAAAGACCATACATATATATGGACATACTCGAGACCGAGATGCCATTAATTACCGGTACTATTATCAATCAAATGGCAAAGAAAAAAATAAAAAAATGAAAAATGAAATTACCGATAAATAGCAGCTAAGCAGCGAGAGGTGAAAGTGAAGGTGCATCATCGAGCACACGAACATAGCGTACGACAGTGTCTGGGATTCCCTCGTAAACCTCTGCCTCGAAAGTTACGGCATCGGAATCATCTTGGTCGGTCAGCTTGGCGGTCATCGTCATATAGTACAAAGAACCCTGGCAAGATTCGTAGATTGCTCTCACCAGGTACATCATACGATAATCCTTGCACTTTAGAAGAAGCAATTAATCATTAAATTCCGACTAAAAACAAAAAATTGATTAGAAAAATAAGAACATACATACATTGTTTGTGTTATAGAAATCAATTGCAAGGTTGACAAGAGATTTGAGATGCTCTCCGAGGAAACATCTGCTGGAATCATCTCGGTCATATGCGACAACTGTACCTCCCTATAATTACGATTATTATTATTAAGAAATTGAAGATGCAAAATTGATTGTTAGAAAAAACTACAGTAAAAATTGAAAAAAAAAAACAAAAAAAAGACATACGCATATCATTGTTCTCTCCATCAATTCCTCCTCTGAGAGTTTTCTAGGGTTCTTCGATTTCTCCTCGCAAGACTTGTTGACCCTTGACTTCCGCTCCGATTTTGAAACCCTAATGCTTTTTTTCAATAACTTGCGCTTCTTCGTTTCTGGCTTCATCACCTTCGATTCCTTATCGAATACCCTCTCTCTCTCTCTCTCTCTGTCTCTCTCTCTCTCTCTCTGATCGCAATTCGCAAAGCCCTAGTCAGCCCCTCTTCTTTGTTGAAGATATGGGAATCCATGGGTTGGGCTGTGATTTATGTGCTTAACTTTATGCCAAAAATACTAAAGAAACTATATTTTAAACAAATTATTTTTATACCCAAAAAGTGGGTGAATTACGTTTTGCACCCCATAATAAATCCTAACTGGCGCTTTGCATCCTTACATATATAACTTGCAAAGTCCAGCCTTAATTTATATTTCTCACTAGACAATGGACCCTACATCAATTTCTTATGAGATTTTAGAGCAAAAATCGATATATCATAATATTTTAACTTCTGAAAAATAAAAATTTAAAACCTTTATTCTAAATAATCCATTTAATTTCTATTAGAGATGGCAATGGGGCGGGTATGGGGCGGGTTTTGCAATCCCCATCCCCGCCCCGCGATGGAAATCCCCATTCTCATCCCCGTCAAAAATTCCCACAGGTATTAAAAGAATCCCCATACTCGCTCCATAAAATTCCCACGGGTATCGGGGCGTGTAAAAATTCCCGTCAATTTTTTTTTTCTTTTTTTTAATAAATAAATATGCAATTTACTTATAATTTAAAGATTTATTTCAACAAATAAATTAATATTTAATTATATAATGGAAACCAAAAAATCCCCATTTTAACTAATATTTAATATATTACTACTATTTAATTATTTATATTTAATGTAATAATTAAAAAATATATATATTATATATATAAATAATGCGGGGCGGGTACGGGGACGGGGACGGGTACGGGGCGAGTCTACGGGGCGGGTATAGGCAAACCCATCCCCGTACCCGTACCCGTACCCGGTCAAAAAAAAATTCAATCCCCATACCCGCCCCATTTTTTTTTCGGGGCGGGGCGGGGATCCGTCGGGGAGGGTCAAATTGCCATCCCTAGTTTCTATCATCTACAAATTTAAAAATAATATTAATGTCCTACAATTCTTATTATGTTTTAAGGTTTTTTTTTTAAATATTAATTTTACGAAAATTAGGAATTTTGAATTATTTTGAAAATTAAATTTAGAAATTATATATACATTTTTTACTTCGATGCAAAACATATAACATAAATTATCAGTTATGTTTTAAATATATAACAAGTAAAACAATTAAATAATATAAATTAAGAAAACAAAACATACAGAATAATGAAAATTCCTTCAAAAGTGTAAAACATTGCGATATATTGATTCTTTTTGGCTAAAATATCATAAGAAATTGAGGTAGGGTGCATTTTGCGATGAGATGTATATTTGAAGGGTTGGTTTTGCCAATTTGAAGATGTTAGGGGGGGAAAAGCCGAATACTGTTAATTATGGGGTGCAAAATGCAATTGAGGCAGTTAGAAGAATATATAGTGGGACTAATCGCATTCTAACGACAAAAGTATTCTACTTATTGGCAATTGCTTTTTGCGGTTTGAAAATTGCTATTTGCGGTTTATAATAGAACCTCCTAAAAAATACTTTATTTTACTAAAACCCCAAAATTTCCCAAAAAAAATCAAACACCCCCCCCCCCCCCCCCCTAGGTCCCTGTGCAAATCTGATCAAACAAACAACATTGGATAAAGAAACATGAATTCAGCTCAGGTGAAATAAATTAATTTATTTATAAAAAAAAAAATCACAAAATTTCGCAATCAACGATAATTATATCTCGCGTTGGTATATAAAACAAACGAACAGAATTTCTGGGATGGTAATTTTCGGGTAATCAATGCAAAGGTTGAGGTGGAAGAATTGGCAGGCGGGCCTGTACGATTTCTTAGCTGCCGCCTGTTAAACTTCTTGATCGCGGTTTCGTTTTCTTCTAACCTTTGGTTGGATGAAAAATCTTATCCACCACGATGAGCTCCCCAACTTGGCCTTCACAATCAAGATGGACATGAGAAATTTATAGGTGCTTATTCTAGATTATTTGTGTATTTATGAAGTGTTCACCTAGGTTATACAATTTTTTTTTTGACATTTGCAGTTTTGGGGGGTTTTTTGATATTTTTAAAAGTTTTGAGTTATTTTGTTATAAACCACGAATAGCAATTTTGTGACCGCAAATAGCATTTCATTACTTATTTTGATAACTTATCTATAACTCTGCTAATATTATTTATCTTAATCGTAATTATATGGGACTTGTTTTTTACGGTTTGAAAATTGTTATTTACGGTACATAATAAAAAACACTTCGGCAATGTTTGGAAGCATTTTGGGCCTTGTTTTCATTTTGTTCTCGAGAAATGGTAGTTTTGGGGAAATAGTTTGAGAATGAAAGTAATGTTTGTTTATATTTTGGAGGGAACAAGAAATACTGTAGAAGTCAAATCAATGTCTGGGAATATGAGTTGATGAAAGAATAATGATTGGTTTAATATAATTTAAATACTTTTAATGATTGCAACATATTTATTTTATTGATTTTATATGTGATTGCTATAATTATTGGGTAATAATTATTAATCTATTAATTTAATGTAGTTGTCGTTATATATAAATTATTTTAATTTGAAATGGGTGCTATATAGAAAAATGAAGTAAGATTGAAATAATAATGTACGTCCACAAAGCAAGTAACAATTATGTCCTTACATAGTTAATGCCCATAACATAAATAGTCAAATACAACTAGAAAATTAAAAACGTTCTTAATTTAATTAAGCATTGTTTCAAAAAAAATAATTCAACAGTCCAATTTAAATAAACATACTTTTTTTAAATGAGCACTCCAAATTAATTGGTGATATGGTATTGCCACAAAGAATTCGCAATTTCATCCCTAAATTGGGCTTGAGCTTGAACCATTTGTTGGCTTGGATGCCCCTTGTGATAAAATGTGAAATAGTCGACATCAACAGGATCAAGTCGTTGGTTGAATATTTCATCATCTCGGCTAAACTTTCGAATAAAGTTGTGCAGAACACAACAAGCTATCACCAATTGCACTTGTCTATGAACTTTGTAGCTCGGCATTCCCCATGAGAGCAAAGGAAAACGTTTCTTCAGTATGCCGAAACATCGCTCAATGCAATTTCTAAGTCGAGCGTGTGAATAATTGAACATCTCGTGTGGCCCCGTCATTGGTCCCGTAGCCCCATTGAATGCATCTAAATGATACCGACATTTTCTAAAGGGCGCAAGAAAGCACATGTAATTTGTATATCCAGCATCAACTAGATAATATTTGCCTGCAACAAATTAATATACACATATTTATTATACATACAAATATAAGTGAAGAAAAATTGCGAAAAATCACTTTCAACATTTTAGTACCCGGTGGGGGAAACAGAAATGAAGGATCATTAGCAACAGCATTCCGAAGAACCAATGAATCATTAGCACTTCCCTCCCAACCAGCATACACATATGTGAACATCAAATCGAAATCGCAAATGGCAAGAACATTTTGAGAAACAATTGCCTTTCTTGATCTAAATGCGTTTTGCTTGGACCTCGGGACCCAAGCTGGAATCAGCGTTCCATCAATTGCACCAACAGCATCCTTCGTATATATATATTCACATATATGAAACATAAACGTTGAAAGTTATTTATACAAATAAGGTAAAATAGGTAAGCTTACATTGAAAAATGGACTGAACTCTGGGTTGGCAGCAATTTTCTCATAAACTTCATTGAAATTTGGCGGAGATATAACTTCAGAAGCCAACATGTTTAAGGCCTTAATCACTCGTCGAACATGACGATTGATTGTCTCAAGAGAATGTTGAAATCGCTCCATGCTATCACGTTGTCGATGATGCATTCCTACTGTTCGCAAGAAAAGAGCTACTTCTTCCATCACAGAAACACGAGCATGTGGAGATTGTATTAGGTATCCGCGAGCATGCAACGTCTCCAATAAACACATGAAAGTGGGTTTGGTCATTCGGAAATTATCGTAGAATCTACCATCATGACCGTGTAAAATTTCCCCAACCCAATCATTTCCACTAAGTAGTGAAGTGTTTCGGGGAATCTTCGTTGGAAAAAAAATACGGCAATACAATTGCCATCATTACTTTGTAAATTGCATTATTCTTATTACTCGATTCCACATCTGGGCTTTTTGGACTGCCAGGACTACCATCACTAGCATCACTTGAAGACATGTTCCTTCAAAAAAAAATTAACTTCAATAACTCAATGAATTAGATTCAGCAAATATGCACATTTTTAGACTTATATAAAACTAAAATGAGTAAATGAGTAAAACATGAAAAGTCAACATGATCACATATAAAAAACAGCAACGAGCCCGAATTGTTTCACACACTGTTCATACAGAAAAAACCTAATTAAAGTTCAAATTTAAAAAAAACACAAATGCAAATTAAAACACGTTCAACCAAATTCCATTCAACCACTAAACTGATTCACCCACAACCACCTATCCCCTGCATCCAAAGCAAGAAACACATGACGCATACTCGCACTTTTCAATGCAGTGCAAGCCTTAATGCGAGTAAGCGGATCAAGGTCCTTCATTTGATTGATCATTGAGACGCAACAGTCGATGCTTTTTTTCGAAGTCTCCTGCCAATGATTATTGTTCTTCTCCAAGAATCCACCAAACTGGTCCATAATGGACTGCATCATTTCAGCATTGTTGGCTGCCTTGTGGTATCCCCTTTTCTTGTAATTGCTGGGACCTGATTCTTGCTCCGAAGTAACCTCAGGTGTTGACCGCTTCATTCCGCTGCCAGACAATTCCTCACTTTCTTCAAGGCTATTGGCCGGATTCTGCGTACTAGAACGAGCCACATAACCATTTGCCACATTCTTGTAGAACATCTCAGTGCAATAGTCATAATTCGGGACTCCGGTTTTCAACATACGGGCATAAACTTTGTTATCCTACAAATATAAATAAAGGATTCACATTGATGATGAAATGAACTTAATTAGGCTGAATCAAACTAAATTTGCAAAAAAAGTTGAATCAAAGTTAATCATTTACCTTCACAACACTAGCAAGACGCTCCGGGTCTCCAGTAATTGTTTTCGTGATTTCATCAATTCCATATCCAGTTTCTTGATTCAACAAACGATAATATAACTTCCATTGGGCCCTAATCCTATTAAACTTTTGTTTGCATTGCTTTACACTGTACTGATATTTATGCTCTGTTCTTTTGTTCAGTTCCTCACAAATAGTACCCCAGACAAAACTAGAAAATGTGGTCGTTAGAAGCTGTCCTTGAAGGTATGAATCATAGCAAACCTGTACTAACATTTCCTCACTAGAGAATGGCCATTGAGCATTCTCACACCTTGGTTGTTTGTCACTATTAACAGATCTAGACATCTAAACAAATAATATTCATTACATTTCAAAAAATCAGCCCATTAACACGTGCATTATGTACATTATTTAAAATGAAGTAAATGAAATTTTGGAATTTGGATACAATATTTGGCCATTTATTTGCCAAACACTAGCTGCCAAACATCCTTATTGTTATAGGTGTTACTGAGGTGGCCCTTAAAATGAAGTAAAAAAGGGGGAAAAAAATCTATTGATCTAATCATAGAATAAGTACATCTTACCAAAACATGATACACATAATTGTTTTCAAATATATGGATCTAAAAATAGAAGAGGCAGTGGACATCTCAAAACAATATAGAAGTAACCAAGGAAGAAGAATTAGATCTCGCCTAAAAAAAAAACTACCGACAATATTAGCATATATTCACACAAAAAATATAAAAGGAACGACAACCATACAAGAATTTATACGAAATAAGTATTTAAAAGAAATAGATATAATATAAATTTCAAACAACAAAATGGGTACTAGAATTACCGTTCTCTTTCTTTTCTTACACCGGGAAAGAAGTGGGATATTGCTATCAACTGAAGAACACAGTAGATCGTCGGACTCCGTTTTTGACTCAGAAGAAACAAATATCAGAGAGGCAAGAGATGGAGTCATATGTGATATATGAACTACAATGAATGAACTATATAAGAGAAAATTACAGAGAGATAACATAAAAAAATGCAGTCAAGCTTCACACAGTAGAGATTCTTCTGCCTCACACTACAACAATAGCCTTTTCAGAAATCAAACTACAGTGACAAAAAAAAAAAATCAGTGTCAGGAAGAAAATAAAGCAAAGAATCGGATTCCTTCACTATTTTTGCAGATACAATAGTGGATATCGGCAGAAAAGTTATTACAAGTAGTTGGAAGAAGATAGGGTTTATGAGGGAGAAGTTATTGCTTGTAGTTGGTGGAGAAAATAGGGAATGATATATGAGGAGAGAAAGAATGAGTGAGAGCAACGAAGGAGGAAGATCTGGAAAACAATTAAGGAGAGAAGATAGAAAATGGAAAAAATAAAAAAATAAATAAAAAAGAAGAAATGTTAAGTGGGAAGTGACTTGAAAAAAATGAAGAGGAGAGAAAAGGTGATCACGTGATAGAGGAGAGAAAAGGGGACAGCAGCGCAGTTGGTGGGTTGAAATCGAGGTAAACATTTAAAGAAAATTCTGGATTTATTTGCACAAAATATTTCCAAAATAAATTCAAATGCAAAACAAACGCGTTTTTGTTTCGGGAAAACAACCAAAATAAAATGAAACTTGTTCCAAACATAGCCCTCATCTCTCTACAATCCCAAAACTTCCTAAAAAAAAACAAAAACCCCCAAAACTAGGCAAAAACGCGTAAAAGCCCAACTTGGGCGCCCATTCATGCAGTGCACGCCCAAGCCGAAATTCTACTCCACTACCTCCACCTAAGGTAGATTAATTCATTATTATATAAGCCATTTTCTTTACTAGCTATTCTCTAACATATTGTATTGTTCTATCTATTGTCTAACATAATATATCGTTCTATTTCTTTAATATAATGAAAAGTTATCAAGAATCCGCATTGGTTGTTTTGTGAGTTTGAGGGGTGCTACACATAAGGAAATAAGACAAGCAATTAATGATGGACCAGTTGCGGGTAGAATTGTAGCTTGGAAAAGCTTTTTTGACCACAATACTGCTGTAAGTTTTTTTTATAAATAGTTTGTGACCCATTATTTTATCAAATCTTGTAGTTTTACTAACTTTGTTTTCATTTTGTAGGATATTTATCGTAAGCATACTACAAGAGTGAAAAACCACAAACACACGTTGTTGTCGTCATGAAAAGCGAGTTTGAGAAGGACGGGAAGTGGCACGAGTATTATCACATCGAAAATTCTTGGAGCTCAGGTTGGGGCAAATGTGGTGGATATGCGAAAGTCTACGCATACCTGATCCAAGTGACATGTTTCCCGAAGGATGTAACTATCGAATGGTAACGATAAAGGAAATGGTCTTTTAGTATAAGTTCTTTAAAAAAATTTGTACTTTGAGGTTGATATTTTTCCTTGCATTTTGTAGTTTAAGAATTGTATTCGAGACATGTGTGTAGACGCACATTATTCGCTTTTGACTAACGCAATTTGATTCTTCCATTTGTTCGTAGCTTTAAATTGATGTTTATGATCTGTATAGAATGCAATTAAATCAGCTGCTGCCCTACTGTCATTTTTTCATGTTTAGGCTAAATCTTTAACCAATTTACCTTGTATGCTTATTATAATAGACGAATTTGTTCTACATTCCTCACAAACAAGGAATTGTAAATATTTTAAAAAATATATTTTCAGATCTATGTAATTCAATTTGCCTCATTTGAAATATTGATTAATTGTAATTTGGTTTTTTCTATTTCTTCGTATTTCCAATTACAATCTTTTAATTTTGATAATTTTTGTGCATAAGTTCATGACCAAACATCTTTATTATTCTAGGTTTAGGGGCTATATCTCTTTCACCAATAAGCTCATTTATTTAATATTTATTGCAAATAAAGGAACAATTAATGTATATGACAGAATTACCCCAACCCTTTATATCCAATTATTAACTGTAACCCCAATTTAATCAATTTTGACTACAAAAATACAATTTTGACTTTTTTTTTTTAAATTTCCTTTTCTAAATTTATTTTGTTGCCGCCGGTTTACGGCGTTGACCGGCTGTCAATGCCGGTCTTTGGAGTTCACATTTTGATTTTCTTTTTTCATAAAATTTTTATCTGTTTTTTTACGCTCGCCGCTAAACGTTGACCGTAATTGTACTGTTATTATTTATAATTATATTGTCACTGACCGTACATTAACGTAGTTATACTGTCAACGACAGTAGATTAACGTAATTGTACTGTCGTTGACAGCACATTTTGTAATTGTACTGTCGTTGACAGTATAATTAGAGTCAACGACAATATTACTATATTTTTGGGTTTTTTTTTCCTTTTTTGTTTGATTTGTTGACAAGTCAACGTAATTATATTACTGTCGTTGACAGTAAAATAACTGTAAACACAATAATGTTACTCTCAACCACATCAATATTATTAATTTTTTCCTTTTTTTGTTTTGTTTGAGTTATTGACGGAGTAACTTAATAATATTATTGTCTATTATTGTGTTACTGTAAACACAATAATATTACTTTGGTTGACGGTAATATTACTGTAAACTCGAACTTGAATTCGAGTTTTTTCGAGCTCAAGCTCGCGAGCTCGAGTTTTCTGACGAGCCAATTTTTAGTTGTTCGCGAGCTCACGAGCCGGCTCGCGAGCCTTATTTATTATTATGTTTTTTATATTTTTATGGATTATTTTTAATTAAATAATGTATAATAACATAAAATATTATAGAAATAAATAAAAATTAATATTAGAAAATATATATAACTACAAGTTATTGTTTATTTTGTAATTTTTTAAAAATTATTTTTTAATAATAATAATTAAATAATAATTAAAAAAAACATACAACAAAATGAGTTCGGGCTTCACACCCCTACTCACACCTTTGTCCACTAATGTTTGAAAAGATACGTGTCAAAATCATTGGTATAAAACACAATGGGTAGTCCCCATCAAATGTAAATAGGGGTCATTACAAATAAGTCCACCAATGAGTACTTATTCATAAAGAAATACAGATAAAAAAACTTTTTTATCAATAAGTCTACACATTGGTTCAGATTTCTGTAAAAGACTAAAATAGCCCCTCAAAAACATTATTTTTTGCCGACGGATTCCGGCATTGACTTTTCAAAACTAAAAAAATTCTTCCGGATTTTTTCGCCGGTATCCGACGTTGACTTTTTCGATTTTTCTTTTTTTTCGTTTAAACAGCAATATTACTGTGATTGACGGTAATATTAACTATATTACTGTTAAACACAGTAAAATTAACTAAAGTACAGTTTAACACGGTAATATTGTTATATTAATCTCTAGCACAGTAATATTAACACAACAAAACTCATTATTATTATGTAATAGAGTAATATTACTATGTTGACCGTTCAACAAATGTAAACATAATAAAAAGCCAAAAGAATTAATATTACTGTGAGTAACAGTAATATTACTATAACAACAGTAATATACAATAATAGACAATAATATTATTACGTTACTCCGTGAATAACTCAAACAAACAAAAAAATCCAAACAAAATAATAATATTGATGTGGTTCACAGCAATATTACAATAACAATAGTAATATTACCGTCAACCACAGTAATATTATTGTGTTTACAGTAATATTACAATATAGACTGTAATATTATTACGTTACTCCGTGAATAACTCAAACAAAATAAAAAACCCAAAAAAATAATAATATTGATGTTGTTGACAGTAATATTATTGTGTTTACAGTTATTTTACTATCAACGACAGTAATATAATTACGTTGACTTGTCAACAAATCAAAAAAAATAAAAAAATAAATAACAAAAAATAAAAAATAATAATATTACTTTAATTTACTGTCAACGACAGAACAATTACATAAATGTATTGTCAACGGCAGTACAATTACGTTAATTAACTTTCATTGACAGTATAATTACGTTAATTTACTGTCAGTGACAGCACAATTACGGTCAACGTTAAGCGGCGGACGCAAAAAAAAAAAAAAAAACCCTTAAAAAAACACTAAAAAGAAGTCAACGTCGGAAACCGGCGAAAAAATCCGGAAGAAAAAAAAAGTCAACGCCGAAATCCGGCGGCAAAAAAAAAGTTTTAAAAAAAAAGACGTCAAAATTGAATTTTTCTGGTCAAAATTGAATTTTTATGGACAAAATTGATTAAATAGGGGTTACAATTAAGAATTTGGTATAAAGGATTGGGGATAATATTGACATATACATGAATGTTTCATTTATTTATAATAAATATTAAAGGAATGGGCTTATTGGTGAAATAGATATAGCCCCTAAACCTAAAATAAAAATGATTGATTGAGAACTTATGGATAAAAACCCCATATAAATATTTGTGTCTATACTCTATACTATACTATGAATAATGTCTATCATAGTATAGAAAGAATTAGTGGCCTGAATAAATGTCCGTATCAAATCAAATCAGTCCTTGGGAAAAGACAAATCTTTTCAAATAGAGAGACAGCCGTTTTCTTTTTCTGCTCTAAAAGTGAAAAACTGAACCCTATGTATTAGTGGGTCATCTCCCACTAAATGGATTTAGTTCACATATTAAAAGCTCCTTATTAAAGGTCCGATATTTATTACCCAATCATACAATTAAACTCAGTGTTTACTACAGTCAACGAATTACTAGTAACCGACATCGCGACCAATATCCGCCATAATTTTACTAGATGATCAAAGTTGAATTTGTACAAGAAAGCAAAAGCAGTCACATTCCGATTGAAAATAATACAGTACAATGGAGTTATTGACAATTACTTTAATTGTTTTCACTTGCCTTGTGAAACTTACACGCGCTCGGGTTTCGTGAAAAAAGAAGCAGAGAATGTGATGTAAAACTACACTGAAATTATGATTGCAGATTAATTAGGATTTTTTAATTCTGGACTCCGATGAAATTAAATTATTAATCTCACTTGGCGAGCATGCGGGCGATGAAATCAAATCATCGATGATACCTGCTCGTCGCTCAGATCTTTCCCCATTTTCTCTCCAAGATGATTTTTTTTTTTTTCTGATTTTCAATTTCCGCGTCTCTCTCTCTCTTTTTTTTATCTCTCATTTATTTTTTCAGAAAATAACATTCTATGTTTCCGTTGGGGGACTGAATATTAAATATGCGAAATTTGGGGGTCACTTTTGGAATTATCGAAACAATTGTAATAAGTTATAGTTGTCAATAAAGTATGGGCCATGGCCATGGGCCTGAAAGTTTTGAATTAGGGTATATTACAACTACTTCCCTAAGGTACAGTTTAATCACAACCATACCCCCGTACGAAAGAGTTTTAATTATAGGTGGTAAACGAACTGAGCCGGCTCGAAAAAAACTCAGAACTCGAACTAGGTAAATTTTTACGGTCTTCGAATTTCAGTGCTAATAAAAACATTCACAGTGAAAAAGAAATAAGTAGAGGAGAAACCACATAAGCACATGGGATCGACATGTTTAATCTAATAAGTAACTTCCATTTTACTACATCTTCAACATATAGAACCTACAACGTTTGCACAATCCAACTACTCAAGAGTAATTATCCAACATCTTACTAGACTAGTAATTATAAGTTGTACTACCGTAATATACACAAAACAAAACAGGTTTCTCGTTGGTCGGAGTCCAATTACTGAGATGGGAATGAGATTTTAAGATGACACGACCGAGATTTAGTCAAAGACTCAAATTATGTGGGACCCCCTTTAATCATATAGTTGGAAATCACATGGACATAATGAATGATCCAGTTAACGAAATGCTACGTGGAACAACTAAAAACCAAATACCGATCTACGAAATGTAGCAAAATCAGCAGGCTCTATGAATTACCACATAGAGATGATTCTCATTACTCATTAGTATTTGCAGATAGTTTTTTATGATGCTCGAATAGTTCAAACCTAAAACTCAACAAAAGTATGTTAACTTGAACTTAATACTACTGGGAACACATTCATTTGATAATTGATATGAAGGTAAATAGTAGAGACGTACGCTTTTTCAATAAAAGTAATATCAACAAGCACACTTAATTTCTTGACTTGTCGAATAAGTGTCACTGAATTCTAGTCATACAAGACTCGATAACTTATCTTATTCTAGAGGGGAAGACTTGTGAAGTTTTGTGACAGTGTACAGTTCAGAAGAAATACAAGTAAATAAAACGGAAACAAATAACTTTCAATTTACTATATGTCCAACAAATAGTAGCTCCACCTCGTAGACAATGCCAACTACACAGCAACAAATAATTATTCAACAACTTGTGCTAAAATACATATCGTACCAGAGCAAATTGACTCATTCAGGCAGTGAGGTATCTAAATAAACTTCTTTGTCGGAAAAAACTCAGGGGTACAAATTACTATAATTTATCAAAAGTTAAACGACATCATTTTTCATTTTTGACAACATCATGGCGTTTAAGTATCATGAAATTGAGTCCTCAACATGACCCCCAGCATATAAGATCATATATCGCTTAACTCGACTAATGCAATGATATTGCATTGATGGGCTCAACATAGCATGCCGGTTAAAAGAAAATTCCCTTCATGTAAAAACCATACACATCTGCAAACCACTTAGGACCACCCAATATACAATTTATTATTAGTATGAATATTCGTCGAACATGAAAGAAGCTGTTGTTTGATTTAGAAAAGCTGCATCTAGATTCTCAACGAGCCACAAGTCATAAAAAATACATCCATGTATAATATATATGTATAGAATCAGCGCAATAAGATCTCAGACATATAGCAGCAGCAGTTTAAGAAAATAAATAAATAAATAAATAGAAAATTGAAACACCTAATGATCCTTGGGGGGAAAGAACTCTACTTCAAGTTCATCAAATAATCCTTCGTAAACTTCTGCACGTAAAGTAATGGCGTCGGAATCATCTTCTTGCTTGACTTTGATGGTCATACAGTATAACAAACCCTGGACATGAAATACAGTTGCCCTCACCACATACTCCAAACGGTAAACCATGGACTACCGTACACAAAATACAATAAACGATTAACCATTAATAAATAATATAATTTAAACTTTTAATTTGATGAAAGGGGATATATAAAAGAGGTAACACAATAACACACATGTTTTTTGTTGTAGGTATCAACTGCTAGGTGGGCATAAGAGACAAGTTTCTCTCTGGGGGGATGAGAGTTGTCAGAAACTCGGTCATATCTATACGCGACACCATCATCCTATAGAAATTGTTGAATTTAATTATTAATTAGTTAGAGCACAATAAGAAGAAATAAACCATGGCTTTAAAAAAGGGGGTTTGGGAGAGAGAGAGAGGAGAGAGAGAGAGAGAGAGAGAGAGAGAGAGAGAGAGAGAGAAACCATAAAGTGAGGATCATTCCCATTCATTGTTTCAGTGTATGTTACAATATCAATATCCTGATCCTGATCCTTACGCAACTCGGCCATACGATCCTTATCAATATAATCCTCGAGTCTCAAAAATGGCTTCTTCTTCTTCTTTTTCTTCTTGGTCTGCTTCAGCAAAACTGCCATTGATTGTTGTTTCGAAACTGCGGCCGGTTTCTCCTCATCCTCTGGTTCCTTGGTCTGAGCTTCTAATTTCGGGCGTTTGAGGGAGACGACGTCGGATCGAGAACAAGACATCTCATGCAATTTTCAGGTTCCTCTGCTGCTACTTTCTCCTCACAAGAAGCCATCTCATCTCATCTCATCTCATCTTCTTATAGATGGATAGAAAAGGGTTAGCGAGGTAATAATGGGCTGGATCTTCAGTGTGGGTTGCCTACATCTTTTGTAATTTATATTTATTCAAAGGGAAGTGATAAATAGTACGTAGCCACTTTTAGTAAATGTAGGACATTTATTTTTAATTTTAGGTTAAATTACAACCACCTCTTAGGTATGTATGGTTAAATTACAAAAATATCTCTCTTGTTTGGGTAATTACAACCACCCCTCAACTATAAATTTTTTTACACGTCCATCCTTGCGGTTTCAAATTTAGTGAAATCGTCGAGATTATATGAAATATTATAACTTTTGTACCCATTTTATCCCGTTCGAACTCCACATTTTGAACAAAGATGATCATTATATTTTATTTTTTTTGGCTTGTATATATCAAATTGTGGTGCATCAGAAACTGTATTTTTTACACAAAACGAGTACAAACTAGATGACATTCCACGAAATCTAGATGATTATGTTGAATTTGACACCATATGGGTGGAGTTGTAAGAACTAATCATAGTGTAGGGATAGATGTAATTATCCAAACAAGAGAGGTTTTTTCGTAAATTGACCATACCTCAAGGGTGATTGAAATTTACCCTTAATTTTAAAACCATGGTTTAGTTTAGTGGCTATAGTCATTTTTGTTAAGATATATTAGTACCATAATTATGGAATATAATTAGATATTAATATATATGAGTACCATAATTATGATATTTGATTAGAATGTAATTTTGGAATTGATTTAATTAGATTTCCTTGTTTAGCTTATTATTTTGTGTATAAATACTCATACCTTTATTGAGAAGGATACACGGACAAAATATACATTGTTCATTAGTTTTAACAATTTTAATATAAAATTAATTCTCCTACTCTACTTATCATTAACTGTCTAGCTGACTATATTTATCATCTACAATTTTCGGCCTCAAACGTGACAAATTTGAAGAAAAATCTCAATTTATTTTGCTTTCATATTCGAAAATTTTACCTCATTTTCAACCTCGCTTGATGGTTTGAAATTCTCCCAAAATAATGTGGATCAAGACTAATAAGAAAAAAGTTGGAATAAGAACACAAGTCATAATTCTGGTACATTTTGGATCACCTGCAAAAGAGGAAACCTATTTCACCACCTATTAAATTATACAGTGAAAAATTAGGAATTTTTTTTTAAATTCTGGATTCCGATGAAATTACAAAACCTTTCTCTCACTTGGCCACCATGCGTGCGATGAAATCCTCGTACCGGATCTTGCCATCGGATCCGACATCATCGACCTCGCGGATCCACTCGTCAAACTCGGCGGGATCAAGCTTCTCGCCGATGCTGGTGAGGATGTGCCGGAGTTCCGAAACGACGACGTATCCGGTTCCGTCTTTGTCGAGCACCTTGAACGCGTCGCGGAGCTGCCGGTCGAACGGCTCCGGTTTAAGGTGCTTCGACATTAGGTCCGCGAATCTCGGGAAATCGAAGGGGGAATTCAGCTTCTCCTCCGCGATTATCGACTTCAGCTGCGCCTGCGTAGGGTTTCCGCCGAGGGACCGCATCAGGATTCCGAGCTCCGACGCCGCGATCCTGCCGTCGCCGTCGGTGTCGAACAAATTGAACGCCTCCTTCATCGATGATACCTGCTCGTCGCTCAGATCCTTCCCCATTTTCTCTCTCCAATTTTTTTTTTTTTTTTTTTTGTTTCTTCCTCCTCTTTTCTGATTTTCAATTCATTTCCTCGTCTTTCTCTCTCTATTTTTTTTTATCTCTCCTTTATTTTTTCAGAAAATAAAATTCTTACTATGTTTCCGTTGGGGACTTAGTATGAAATATACGAAATTTGGGGGTAACTTTTGGAATTGTCGAAACAATTGCAGTAAGTTATAGTTGTCAATCTTTTTTTTTTTTTTTTTTGAGAAGAGTTGTCAATCAAGTATCGGCCATGGCCATGGGCCCGAGAGTTTTGAAGTAGGGTAAATTACTACTACTTCCCTAAGGTAAAGTTTAACTAAAAACATACCCCTTCTTTTTGAGAAATTACATTCAACCCCTGTGATTTGTAAATTTTTTACATCCACCCTACAAACGGGTGTTAATTAGGGGTGGTAACGAGTTGAGCCGACTCGTGAGTTCGATGGGCCAGCTCGAACTCGAGCTCGATCTTTCTGACTAGTCGAGCTAGAGCTTTTTTTCGTTGTTCATGAGCTCACGAGTCGGCAGGCGAGCGCCAGCCTTATTTTTTTTATATATATGTAGCAAATGGCAAAAAGGCCCATCACATGGAACTTAAATGCATTTTGGTCCACAAAAAAAACAGTCTCTCAATTAAGCCCATCCCCATGTCTTTAGTCTAAAATACCCTCAATATTCTTATCAATTCCACCCAATATGATCTAACTTCCTTAATATTACACATTGACCCCGGATTTAAACAAATATATCACATTAACCCCCAAAACTTTTTTTTTTAGAAAATAATTTTTTTTCTGAAATGTTTTTTTTCCGGCCAGATTCCGGCAAGATTCCGGCGTTGACCGTCGGAGACCGCCGGTCTCCGGCGTTGACTTTTTTTTTTTTTTTTTTTTTTTTTTGAAATTTTTTTTTTCCTGAATTTTTTTTCCGGCCGGTCAACCACCGTTGACCGCCGGTCTCCGGCGTTGACTTTTTTTTTTTTTTTTTTTTGAATTGTTTTTTCTTAGAAAAAAAATATTTTAATTAATATTACTGTCTTGACTACTAAATTACTGTCTCAGACAGTAATATTACTGTTTGGGACAGTAATATTATGAATATTATTTTTCCGAACACTAATATTATTAATATTATTGTCTAAGACAGTTAAATTATTGTTGGAGACAGTAATTTAACATCCAAGACAGTAATATTAATTAAAATAAATTTTTTTTAAGGAAAAAAATTAAAAAAAAAAAAAAAAAGTCAATTAACAGTTAAATTACTGTCTCCGACAGTTAAATAACTGGTGGAGACAGTAATTTAGCAACGAATACAGTAATATTAATTAAAAATATTTTTTTTAAGAATAAAAAAGTCAATTAACAGTTAAATTACTGTCTCCGACAGTTAAATAACTGCTGGAGACAGTAATTTAGCAACGAATACAGTAATATTAATTAAAAATATTTTTTTTAAGAATAAAAAAGTCAATTAACAGTTAAATTACTGTCTCCGACAGTTAAATAACTGCTGGAGACAGTAATTTAGCAACGAATACAGTAATATTAATTAAAAATATTTTTTTAAGAATAAAAAAGTCAATTTACAGTTAAATTACTGTCTCCGACAGTTAAATAACTGCTGGAGACAGTAATTTAGCAACGAATACAGTAATATTAATTAAAATATTTTTGAAGAAAAAAAAAAAAAAACAGTCAATTAACAGTTAAATTACTGTCTCCGACAGTTAAATAGCTGCCGGAGACATAATTTAGCAGCCAAGACAGTAAAATTAATTAAAATATTTTTTTTAAGAAAAAAAAAAAAAAAAAAAAAGTCAACGCCGGAGACCCGGCGGTCAACGGCCGTTGACCGGCCGGAAAAAATTTTCAGGAAAACAAAATTCAAAAAAAAAAAAAAAAAGTTTTGGGGGTTAATGTGATATATTTGTTAAAATCCGGGGTCAATGTGTAATATTAAGGAAGTTATAGCATAATCGGTGGAATTGATAAGAATTAGGGTTAAAATTGGGGTCAAAATTGAAATTAGGGTTAAAATTGGTTAATTGATGAAATTGGGCTAAATGGGGGTGTAAATCATGAAATTGGAGTTGAATTGGGTTTCAATGAATTAGGGGTAATTTTGGTATATATAAAAGGATTTTCCTTATTTGCAAATAAGTTTGAATGGGGTGGATTTATTTGGAAGACAAAAAAGTTGGATGTCCCTATTTTAATTAAGTGCCCTTGTCATGGGCTTTTTTGTGATTACCCCTATTTATTATTTAAATAATGTATAGTAATATAAATATTATAGAAATAATATAGAGAACATATATATATATATATATATATATATATATATATATATTAAAAGTATATATAATTAGTTTACTGTTATTTTGTAATTTTTTTATTATAATCTAAATATTTTTAATAATAAAAAAAATCTAAGAAAAACTCTAAATGATCTTGGCTCGAACTCAAGCTCGAGCTCGAGCCAAAAATAAAAAACTCAACGAGCTCGAGTGCGCCGCAGGTTCGACTCGGTCACACTCCTAGTGTTAATGTAAGAAATCCATAAATTGCAATGGGATGAAAAATGAGGGGGTTTTTGAAAATAGACGTTACCTCAGGGGACGGTTATTTTTCCCCGCATTCAATAAAATATGGAATTACGGCCACCCCTGAGATATGGCCAAATTACGAAGAAAAAAACTCTCTCGTTTGGGTAATTACAGTCACCCCCTCCTTTTAAATATTTTTACATAAAATTTATGTAATTCGGTTACCGAACAAAATCGTATATACAGTTCGATAAACGGTATGAAATATTAGCGTACCAAAATTATGGTTCGGTTTTACCGATTTAACATCCCTAAATCTACCTTTGGAGGGGTTTTTCGTATGATAATACATAGTTGAGGGAGGTGGCTGTAATTACCGAAAAGGGATATTCATGTAAGAATATTACAGTACCTTGGTTCAAGGCCTTCAGGCTGGGGAAGTACCATATGTTATTACTGAATATTTTTAAAATTCATGCAGCAATAGTTGTGAGAAGAAACGGCAAGATTATTTCATCCTGGAGAGTTAAAACTGATATTGATCTAGATAAGAATTATCAGCATAAAAACCCACGTGTTTTTTCGATGAATTCAAGAATTTTTCGTGTGAGAACATCTGGTGATGTTCTTGTACATATTGTTCTTTGACTCGGAACATATTATCGAAATATGTCTCGGAGACTCGTCAAATGGCGAATATGCAAGAATCAGCGTCTGTAAATTTTAAATCACCTAAATTATCGAATAATAAAAATTCAAAAAAAATTAAAAAAAATTAAACAAAAAAAAGTAAACCTCCCAGTTTTCATACATTGGAAACTTTACTACATAAAAGGTTCTAACAGCCAAATCATCATATGCTTTCAAATAGCATTTTACAGTCATCTCATCACTTTTGTTATATGGGGTCAGAAATAACTAAGTGAACCTAAAATTACTATTAAACCCTAAAACAAAAAAAAACAAAAAAAAAAACACAGCTAAAAGCTTACAACAAAACATGATACTAAACATATATAATATATATATATAATGTAAGTCGATTACCAGATTATTTCATGGCGAAAGGCTCACGAGAATCTTCCACAGGAAACTGGACATTATTTTCATGGAGCACAGAGTTTTCAAAAGCCAAATTCGTAAAATTACGCTTTGGCCCTTCGTATCTTTCTTCTGAAGAAACGGGGCCGAATGTAATAGTATGCTCGAATTTTGAGTTTTTAGGTTTTTGCTCCTGCTGATGATGATGTTGTTGTTGTCCAGGAACAAAGCTGCCTATCACAACCTGTTCCAATTTAAATATATATAAAATAATTCGCTAATTATCTCGTGATTAAATTTAATTTTAATAGCAAAAAAAAATCGGCTAAACCTGAACGGGGCCATCTGCTACTAGCATGCCAGCTAGACCTCCTCCCAAAACACGACCGTCGGACCCCGCCAAAGAGACGCTCATTCCACCGGATCGACTTTTGGTCAATCCATTATCACTCGGCATAAACGATCCGGTGAGAGAAAGTATTTCGAAACATCCCTTTAGTAAATGCACAAAATTATAATTGGAAAAAAAGTAAAAAAAATTAATTAATTGAGAGAAAAAGGGTTGTACCTCGTAGGTCAAAGTACCACCGGAGGAATTAGGTTGACGGAGTGTAACGTTCGAGATGGACCCGTTTGCAGCGAGAATGCAAATGGCTCTCGATCCTTGTTGAGAGAAAGATATTATCTTCATATTAATATCCTGTCACGAAATATAACGGCACCAAAATAATTAGCATAATCAATTAATTATCGTGATCGATCACGAGTATAAAGCACTTCTTGTCTAATGTTTGCACATACACATGATCGCAGAAACGAGTAAATATTAAAAAGAACATAGGGGTATAACTTTAAGTTAATAGATTATTCTAGAATTAGAGAGTAAAATTACGAATGACATTATTTTCCGAGATTAATTAATAGATAACACAAAGAAAATGAAAATTAACATTTGGAACAGCATTTTCATTAACTAAATAACACCAATACCAATAATCACGACAATACAACCTCTATAACAACATAACGATAGATACGCAATTACTCTTTGTTTTCCTCGATCCTGATCTTACTACAATTTCGCAACTTTTATTCATTTGAAGCATGATATCGATTGCTAATTTAATGCAAACAATCGTTCATATATCTATAGTATATCGAGACTCGGGTTCGAACAGAAATATAAAGGGGAGCAAAATCATAGAAAATATATTAAAAAAAAAATGGATAGATTTTATAGAGATTTAAATAATAAAAATCAACGAAATTATAAATCATAAAAGTACCTCGCCGGGATTAACAGTAATCACATGGGGTATAAAACTTCCACCGACTGAGTATGCCTTCGTATCTCCTGCAACATATGAAACATTGAAGATCAATCGACCATTGTTAGACCTCAACACAAATCGTAGTCGATAAAATATTGCCAAAATTTTCTACAATAAAAAACATTTCATAATGCAAAACGAATACAATTTTTTCTTATTTTCTTGAAATTAAGGGTTCAATTCGAAAGTCGACATTAAAAGATAAGTTCGTCCCGTGCCAAGATAACACATTTCTCCACTGCTTACGCAGCAGCAAAGAAATCGAACAAAATGTTACATCATCATCATTTACTCAACAAGGTTCTTGATTCTTAACTTGCCAATTTATGCATACTGCAATTATTGAGTAAAAGACAAATCTTTTGTTGTTGCCACGTCAGCTAAAAGACACAAGCAGCCAACAAAACATACCAATTCCAAATGCTGACCAAGAAACAGAGCAAACAACCACTAAATAAAACTCAGATCACTATAACAACATTTCCCAAAGTAATAAATTAACCTGCACTGGCAAAATCCAATTTGTGTTTCTTCTTGGAAGAATCGACAACACGGCGGGCTTTACTTTGCTTCCAAACCGGAAAATCTCCGGTGAGCGGAATCGAGGCCGATATAGGCATAGGTGACAATGCCACAGCAGAACCATCTACTGCGTATTTTCTTGGTCTTCCCCTCTTCTTCTTCCCGGACGTCTCTGGCGCCGGCGCCGGCGCCGGCGATTCCGTACTCACCGGAGCTGCAGTCGGGGTTGACCCGGCAGGAAACGGGTCAGGGTTTTCAACCCTTGGCTCCACTGTGACCACAGAAGAACCATTCAACAACCCTTCTCTTTCCTCCATTCATATACCAAACAAATAGATATACCTTCAAAATCCTTAAAAAGTTAAAACCCTAGAAAAATTACTTTTAATAAACGTAAGCTTAATCTTGGTAAAGATCGAATCTTTATTAGCTCAAAACACTCAAACTAACTGAAACAGAGAAGCTAGAGCAGAACCCACTTCTGAAATAGGGCAAATCTTGTAATTTTGAAGATCATTTGACTACAACAGTACTCTACTGCAAGAATTTATGCTTGTAATAATTTTTATCATCGACTTATCTCTGCCATTGCAGAGCAGGGGCAGAGCTTCAGAGATGGAAAGGAAAATTCAAAAAAAAAATCTTGGTTGGTGTCAGAAATTATTTTTTTTCTGGGCGAGTTTGTGAAATTAGGGTTTTTTTTTTTCAAGAAAAAAAAGGTAGAAGAAAATAATAAAAGTTCATTTTAAGAAATTCAAAAAATGGATGCGGATTTATTTAATATTTGGTAATAATTAGGCAGCAGCAATATTTTAATTACGAAATTCCAAAAGTATTAATTGTGGTTTATAAAATGGTTTCAGGTCCGTCTTGGAAATTTGATAAAAATGAAAATATTTCAAAATATATAAATAAAATATATGACAGTTAAATGAATTGGAATATATAAATAGTGAGATATAGAGATTAAAAATATAATTACTTTTAATTTAAAAATAGTAGTTTAATTATCTAAAGCTGTAAAGTTAACATTGGAACTATTCCAGTTATTTTCACTTCTGACCTGTGCTTTGTCTTTTTAGGTAAATAGAAGTTAACCATTGATGAAGATACCCTTGAATTAGGGATAATTTACTACACTGCCACTATATATACAAAAGAAGAAAAAAAGGAAAGAAAAAAAAAAAGCAAAGCATAATTTACTTTGTAGTCATAAAATCCAAGATATAAATAAAATGTTTGAACTTAAAAAGCTAGTGGCGCCAAGATCAACACTTTATTGCTAAAGTTATACCACATGCATCACATGTTATCTAGGCATAACAAATCGAGCCCGTTTCTCCTCAAACGAGTACTCAATCTCCTCTTCGACCGTCGTCTGTGTAAAAGGCACCGGTGTTACAGCAGTTTGCATTGGAACAGATACTGTCGAGGGCGTTTTAGGTAGATCAATAATTGTTTTTATTTGGGGAGGTGTTCTGTTTTCGACATCTGCAGTGGAACAAATCCTACGAGGAGGAGTTAACGGTGTGCTGTTGTTGTTGTTGTTGCTAACTATAAGTTGCGTCTTGCGCATCAACATCTCGTTCTGTTTTTTGTTCGCGTCTTCCAAATTATTTGCTGCGTTGGGCTTAGACGAATTCTTCGAAGAAATGGGAGAGAATGGCTTTCTCGTCAATGGCAACTCCCGTTTTTCATGAGCGTTTGTTGAGTTGAGAGAGTTCTGTTTCACAGGAAGACCCGTCATGTCCAATCGTCGCCTACCTGTAAATCAAGAAAGGGGAACAAAAAAAGAAAAAAAACAGTGTTTAGTGTTTTAGATTTAATTCGCTTTTTATTTATTTATTTATGGATGGGACGTTAACTTTCCATAATTATGTAATGTCCGAAAACATTAAGATGATTACTAAGGTTGCAATCTCAAGACACTGCAGTGTTATTTTCTCGAAAAATTTCATCGAAAATAAAAGGGATTTGCAAATCACATGAAGGTAAAGAATTTACCCGAAGAAAGGGCTGACAATCCATCATCTTTAAGACGGTCCCGATTTTTAACCACATTGGTTTTGGCCTTGCGCGTATTAGGAGTAGCTTTCATAGAAGGACGTACATCACGCTTAGGAGTTTGTACCATAGGCACACCGAGAGAAAGTCTTCTATTGCTTGTACTAGGCTTTGAGCCGTAAAGAGTTTCCTGCTCTGCTAGTAATTGTCCTTGAAGTTTTTTCTGGTCCTGAAGTAAAATAAAACACACGAACGGACACAAAACGAGAGTTATAACTTAAAACTAATATAGCACATGAATTCGAAAAAGAAAGGTCTATACCCTCTGCCTTTTCCGCTCGAGTTCTTTTTCTTGCCTTAGAACCTTATACTCTTCAAGCATAGAAAGAAGGCAAACCTACACATAGCCAAAAAAAATGAGAAATAAAAAATAATTTATGGTGTAAATTACATTTCAAACTTAAAGCACTTACGCCATCATAAGTAAACTTTATTCCATTCTCGTTTTGCCAAGCAATGATTTTTGAAGCTAACGTATCCGCCATTGCTGTTCCAGCACAATAATAAAAAATAAACCATCATCAAAAAAATAATGTGGATGTCTCATTTCTTAACATACAGTAGGAAGGCATTCTAACGACAAGATGCAAAAATCAACAAATACCAGGAAGTTTATTGACCAATGCACGTGCTTTTTCGGCACGTTTTAGTGTAAGATGAGCACCTCTCCCAGCATTATAGCGATTATCATCCTACAGAAAATATATTTTTTATTTAGCGCTGTTATTTTTGTAACATGTTCGACAAAAGAAAGTTGTGGGACCAGACCCTATTATACTCCTCGAGCCAGCTCTCCTCTTCACATGCAGATATCCACTTCTCAACCTTTTCGAGGATCTCTTTCCTACTGAGAGCCTCCTCTTTAACTCTAGCTATTTGCAGCTCAATTTGTTCGAGTACACAAGCGGCATCAATAGCTCCTTTTTTATCATTAGGAAATACAGAACATGAGAATCGAGATATATTTAAAAAAAATTAAAGTTATTGATACTTTCTTTATAAACAGGTAAATACCAGATTCAATAGCATCTATAGATGTTTCCACTCCATCAATATCTGGAATAAGACGTGTCTTCCTACAAATAACTTCGAGCTCCGCCTTCTTTCTCAAAACAAGTTCCTTCATTTTGCTTGCTTTCAAATCTTCCAATCGAGAAACTTCTGCCTTTACCTGGAATATGAATAATACGGAATGTTTCAGCACCAACTCTATATATCAATTGTGATATTTACAACCCACCAAAAAATCAAGCGAGGTGTAATAACGGCGTTAATTTATGACTCACGTAATTAATATAACAAAGAGAAAGCATTTCAGGCTCTGTTATCTCATCTTCGGAAGCAACTAGTTTACAAGTAGCTTTCTGAAATATTTGTTGCTCTTCAGTTGGAGTGTCCATCAAGTTCCAAAGCTCTAATAACGAAGCCGCAAGATCTTGTAACTGCCAATGTGAACCAGTCGTCAAATATTGTCTTACTCATATAATAGCTATTCAAGACCCACAAAAGCACAATCATAAAAAAGAAAAAGAAAAATACCATTTGCATTCGCTGTAATTTGAGCTCTCTTAGTTTTCGTATAACAGTCCCCAGTTGATCTATTGTGCTGTTACTAATACTTTTTGAACCTTCAGTTTCGCCTAAACTCGGATGAATCTCACTGGCCATTTTCGTGGAATCGAAACCAAGCACAACACACAGTGAGTACAAAAAGTTCAGGCCATCCTGTACTAGCGCCAAACGTTCACTCTACACGCAAAAATCAGAGGAAAGTTATAAAAACTTGGTAAATAATAAAATGATAATTAATGCAAGAGAAATGTAATATAATATGATATAATATAATATAACCTTTTCTTTCTGTAGTCCCTGCAACTCTCGGTGCAATTCTTCAAGCTTCTTCATAGAAAGATCAGTTTCATCGATTGCTGAGTCAGATAAATTAAACCCATCTGACCTATTAATTTCATTCTTAATACTCTGAATATTTTCTAGGACTTCAATAAATTGATTCTTCCTTTCGGTTCTTCTCTTCCTCATTTCCTCTATCTGTGGAAGGTTGGCTCTGAGTTCAGCCTTCAAGCTTTCAGAGCTTTGATCGGACTGCACAAAAATCATTTGTAATTATTGGCAAAGCGAATATCCCAAACTCGAGCTTCTAAAAATCCCTTTTGGATTCAATACATATTTCTTCCATAGCTAATCTTTTATTAAAACATATTTGACATCTCATTTGTAAGTAGATGACCTTTATATATGAAAACGGTAAATAATTTGCGTTGACATGAAATGTCAAAAAGTAGGACTTTTCAAATCAGTAAAAACCGTTTGATGGCTTTAACAACATACGAGGGTGATAAAAGGAACAATATACGAAATAATATAATAAAGGCGGTAATAGTAGCAAAAGGCTGACCTGCCTAATGTGCACTGGTCTCTCTCCCATTGCAGAGCAAATAGTAGCAAGCTCTGCTTCAGTATCAGCAATTGCCTGCCTCAGCTGAGCTCGAGACCTGTTTGCATGGTCGACTTTCTTTCTGAAGACTTCCGAGCATTCTTGTTCGATTTCAAGCAAGATTCTTTCCCTTTCAGCATCAGACACCCCAACCTCATCCCATATTAACTGATAGGCGTATAATAAAAAATTAATGCCAATGTCTCTGACAATCGTACTTATCATAAATAAACTTTGCTACACTAAGAACAACATGACATAAGAATATGCATTTTCAAATGGTAATTGGGAAAACATTGGGTGCCATAAAGACAATATCGAGCAAATTGTGATTTGAAAGGTATAAACATCACACCTGTAATTCATAGAGAAGAGATCCACATGTTGTGTCCAATCGTGAAAGCAGCAGATTGTTTTTACTTGTCAACATTTTAAGGCAACTTCACCTGTCCATATAAGCCAATGCAATAAGTATCCGAAAATACATGGTTTATGTTTCAATGGAATCACTTTCACATGAATACAGCAGTAACAAGTGGCAATGCAAAATGGTATAAGCAATTCTGTTCAGAGGAAAAGAATAAAACATTTATGTAAGAAGATAGGGTTATTACTACCAAAACCACATGCGAGGTTTTTCAAATCAACCTGACATACAAACCAGAAACTGGTAAAACGATCGTAAGGACCGTTTACTTGCCAACCAAAATCACCATCGACCTTTTATAAATCCAATAAACTTCTACTCCAAGTAAAACAAAACGAAAATAAAAATAGAAGAAGAAAAATTTGACAGAATGATATATTTAAATAAGGTACAATTCCTCCAAATAAGTAGGGGTAAACGACACAAAAACGCCAGTGATAAGGGAGACTAGTACCAAATCCCCCTCTATTTATTTTATTGTGTAAAACCTCCTTTATATTATTTTTCTTTGCACACATCTCGCTTCTCTATTATGTATTCATAACAAATGTTGTAAATGGTAACTCTTCAATTTTTCCCTTCAATTTAAAAAAACATAAACGATTGAATGACAATGGATAGGAATGTAGACAAATAAAATAGGGGGGATTTGGTGCAAGTTTTTATTTATCACGAAAGGAATTTATGCAAGGCAAATTTACTCATTTCGAATGTCTTTCAAAAACCAAGCTCAATCGTACATTTAGTGTGTGACATACACGTCGCAGTGGATTGGACAGAAAAAGGTTTCATGCAAATTCAAATGATGTTGCCTGCAAATTTTGCACCAACACTTAATTTTTGAAGTGGTTATGAGTACGTGGATATAGGATTAGTTGTTTCGATGATCCAAAAACAATGTTCATGCATTTCAACTATCTTCATTAGAACGAATGACGACAGAGAGAAAAAAAAAAGGCAATAAAATTAAAGTTAAGACTGTGAGCTTAAACTGCAGACAAAAATGAAGGGAATTAACTAGCATAAATCTCAATATTAATGTTTAATGACCTAGCTCATTTCGATCGAACCCTAATACTACACTAATCCTCATCAACAATTATCTGTTAAACAATTTCAGATAAAATAAAAATGTTCTAAATCATAAAATTCATAACCCAGTTTACCCTAAACTAAAAATAAACAGAATTGATCGATTCCTCTTCCTAATTCGAAAAAAAAAATCCTCTTTTTCCTATTGCACCACTTAATTGACAAATAATGAGCAACTGCTATCTGTATAATTTTCGATCTACCTCAACCAAATTAAACATAACCAAAGAATCAAAAAAAAAAAAAAATCAATTAACGGGAATTAAACGTAGATCAAGGAACAAACCTGAAAATTAAAATTCATGAGCAGTAATAAAATCCTTTCTTCGTTAAAGCCCTGAAGCAGCGTGGTAGATTTTGTGGGCTTGGATTCTAGAAGAAAATGAGAGTTCGCAAAATCTGGGATCGCACGGAAAAGCTCGAGGTAAGAGGAGTAGGAGTTTTTGAAAAAAAATTCGACCGTTAAAGCTTGATACGCTAATTTCCGTGATGTGTTTCTGTTTGTTAAATGAAGATTTGCCTTTAACTAAGGGTTTTGTAAATATCCTAGATTAGGGTAAATAATTGGTAATCTCTCTAAATAAACAACTATCAAATTATCAGTCACTTTCAAGAAATTTTATGTTCAATATTATCAGTTACCTTAGATTTTAATATTGCATTAGTTACATATTTTTTAATTGTGCTTATATAACACTCTCACTGTATTAATCAATAAACAACAAGGGTATCTTGGTCTAACAATATCTATTTTTCTAAATCCAATATATATTTATTGAGTTTCTTAAAATTTGTGCAAAAGTGAAAAAACAACACATATTTAGGAACCGGAGGGAGCCAAAAGAAGAGAAAAACAAAAATCTAAAAAGCCCATGTGAGGTGTGTTAAGTGCTATGAAAAAAGCCCCAGTTTATTCTTGTTACACTGGTGAGATACATCGGGTATATCTTTACCATTCATATACACACAAATTCACAGTGTGTGTAGATCAACGATAAAAAATTACCCGATGTAGTCTTCACCGGGTGTAACATAGAAATAACCTGAAAGTTAATAAGTTCAATTACAACCACGTCAAAGTTAATAAGGTAAATTACAAACAACTCCTCGAGGTTTAAGTGTTATTACTTAAAAAAACCTTTTTTTTTAGAAATTACATCGAGCTTCCTGCAATTTGTAGATTTCTTACATCCACCCCTACACATGGTGTTAATGTACAAAATGATCAAAATCTACAAGTGACCGGGATTGATGTAATTATAAAGAAAATGAGAGGGAGGGAGGTTCACAAATAGACCTTACCTCAAAGCGGCAATTGTAATTTATCCAAGTTAATATGAATTGGACTGAAAACAGAGAATTATTTGAGTGTTTTTTTTTTCGATAAATTAAAATGTTGGCAAAATCAACTCGTTTGGACTTTGAATTCATCAATATTTACTTGGAATTTTACTATGAACATATTGAGCTCCTGAAATTAATAAGAGTGTTGCTATCTTCATTCTTAAAATCTATATTCTCACGAAAAAAAATATTGTCTTTTCATACTAAACTCGATTGATACAATTACAAAATAATTAAAAAAAAGAAAATGATTTATTTTTTTTGATACAGAATCCAAATAGTATACATATGTATATGTGTGTGTGTACGTATAAACGAACTTCGAAGTTATAGGCCCGATTTGTAGGTAACGTTTGTTGCAGGAATCCATTGATCCCCATTAACAAATGGGCCAAACCGTAAACTTCTTCACTTGGGTTGAATTAAGGTCGAGTTTGAGCCCTGACCAGTTAAACCGGTTCTTGGTCACTGAACCGAAGCCCGTATTCCAAAGCGCAGCGTAGAAAATAGTGCTCGGGCCGATGACCCGACCCATGGGAGCCACCCTTTCGGGTCAATGCATCGGTCCATCACACTTTGAAAGAAAACAGTGGTGGAGTAATATTTCCAGGGCCGGCCCAAATACGTTTTGACCCCGGTCAGGTCTCCGAAGGGCCCCATATTGCAGTTTTGGATCGATATAATGCAACGGGAGTTAGAGGCTACGCCTGATTATTTACAGCATGTGGATTTGAACCGCAAATTTAATTAAATAACTACACGTACACATGGGTGTGTGTAATTATGTGTAGATGTACGGTTCAAATCCACCCAGTATACCTAATTTCCCGTATGCAACAGACAATACAACAGTAGAAATAACTCACCAAAAGTGACCGACTGAAACGTCGGGGTTCCGTCGACAACATTGATACTCCCGGAAACAATCGTCGCATTCTTGCAGTCGCCGACCATCATCACGTTCCACTTGGACTTCTCCACCACCACATTCTCCACATAAACCCCCTTCTTCACATATATCACATACCTCTTCGTACTCTTCTCCGGCACACCCTTCAGAGCTTCCCGATCGTCTTGTACTTCCACGACCCATCCTTCGCCACCTCCGCATCCGCCTTCACCCCCGCCGCCGCCTACGCACTCGAATTCACCACCGTCGCAAGCATCCGCCTGTCCTCCACTGAAACCCAATCCGACCCAAAACCCCTCCTCCTCCTCCCGATCGCCCCCAAAGCGGTAATCGACCTGTCGATCGACGTAATGATCGTGAGACTGTTGCTCGTGTACTGCGTAGAGTTCTTGAAGTTTCCGTGCACGAAAGCGTTTAATTCAGCGGATGCGCTTTCGATCTCGTCGAAACACGATTGTTGAAACGTCCCCGCGGATCTCAGCCACGTAAGAAGATCATCGAAAGCTTCAGATATTTTCATGTTCTGTATTACGAGTGAGCCGTTGAGGTGGTCCAGTTCGAGGTCAAAAAGCTGGTGGCATGTTTCTACGGCGGTGGCTGTTCTGCGCTCGGTGATGTTGAACTTTCCAACTATGTAACCGGAGGAGAAGATTTCGGAGGCTTTGGGGAGCTCGTGCATGGCGACTTGTACGGAGAGTTTGTATATGTCTTGTGGCTTGAGATTGCCGGATTCAGCTATGGGAATGAGGAGGCTGTTGTAGCAGGAGTCGGGGTACAGCGTGGAGCTGCACACCGCTTTTATGGAGGATGATGGGGTTTGGTAGTTATTGCCGCCTTCGGATTTTTTGCCCGCGGCGTGGGAGAGTCCTCCGACCACGGCGGCAACCACCACGGCTATGAGGATGATGGAGGATATTCCGATGAGGGTGATTCTCCTGCGTGCCTGCCGGCGTGCTGTGAGCCGTTCTTGTTCTTCATTGGACTAGACTTTGAGCCGTGAAGAGTTTCCTGCCCTGCTAGTAATTGTCCTTGAAGTTTTCTCTGGTCCTGAAGTAAAATAAAACACGCAAACGGAAACAGAACGAGGGTTATAATTTAAAACTAATATAGCACATGAATTCGATATAGGAAAGGTCTCTACCCTCTGCCTTTTTCGCTCGAGTTCCTTTTCTTGCCTTAGAACCTTATACTCTTCAAGCATAGAAAGAAGAAAACCCTACACATAGCCAAAAAAAATGAGAAATAAAAAACAATTTAGGGTGTAAATTTACATTTCAATCTTAAAGCACTTACGCCATCATATGTAAACTTTATTCCATTCTCGTTTTGCCAAGCAATGATTTTTGAAGCTAACGTATCCGCCATTGCTGTTCCAGCACAATAATAAAAAATAAACCGTCGTCAAGAAAAATAATGTCAATGTCTCGTTTCTTAACATACAGTAAGAAGGCATTCTAACGACAAGATGCTAAAATCAACAAAATACCAGGAAGTTTATTGACCAATGCACGAGCCTTTTCAGCACGTTTTAGTGTAAGATGAGTACCTCTCCCAGCATTATAGCGATTATTATCCTAAAGAATTTTAAGTTTTATTTAGCAATAATACTTTTGTAGCATGTTCGACAAAAGAAAGTTGTGGGACCAGACCCTATTATACTCCTCGAGCCAGCTCTCCTCTTCACATGCAGATTTCCACTTTTCAACCTTTTCGAGGATCTCTTTCCTGCTGAGAGCCTCCTCTTTAACTCTAGCTATTTGCAGTTCAATTTGTTCGAGTACATAAGCGGCATCAGTAGCTCCTTTTTCATCAATAGAAAATACAGATTTAGCGTTAAAAATGGCAAGTTATTGACATCATTTCTTTATAAACAGGTAAGTACCAGATTCGATAGCATCTATAGATATTTCCACTCTATCGGTATCTGGAATAAGATGTGTCTTCCTACAAATAACTTCGAGCTCCGCCTTCTTTCTCAAAACAAGTTCCTTCATTTTGCTTGCTTTCAAATCTTCCAATCGAGAAACTTCTGCCTTGACCTGAAGAATACGAATAATAGGGAATGCTTCAGCATCAACTCTATATATCAATTGTGATATTTTTAACTCACAAAAAAATCAAGCAAGGTGTAAAAACGGCTCACATAGTTAATATAACCAAGAGAAAGCATGTCGGGCTCTGTTATCTCATCTTCTGAAGCAGCTAGCTTACGAGTAACTTTCTGAAATATCTGCTGTTCTTCAGTTGGAGTGTCCATCAAGTTCCAAAGCTCTAATAACGAAGCCGCAAGATCTTGTAACTGCCAATGTGAACCAGTCCTCAAATATTGTCTTACTGATACAATATCTATTCAAGACCCACAAAAGCACAATCTAAAAAAATAAAAATAAAAATACCATTTGCATTCGTTGTAATTTCAGCTCTCTTTGTTTTCGTATAACAGTCCCCAGTTGATCTATCGTGCTGTTACTAATACTTTTTGAACCTTCAGTTTCACCTAAACTCGGATGAATCTCACTGGCCATTTTCTTGGAATCGAAACCAAGCACAACACACAGTGAGTACAAAGAGTTCAGGCCATCCTGTACTAGCTTCAAACGTTCACTCTACACGCAAAGATCAGAGGAAAGTTATAAAAAGTTGGTGAATAAAATGATAATTAATGCAAAAGACATGTAATATAATATAACCTTTTCTTTCTGTAGTCCCTGCAACTCTCTGTGCAATTCTTCAAGCTTCTTCATAGAAAGATCAGTTTCATTGATTGCTGAGTCAGATAAATTAAACCCGTCTGACCTATTAATTTCATTCTTAATACTCTGAATATTTTCTAGGACTTCGATAAATTGATTCTTCCTTTCGGTTCTTCTCTTCCTCATTTCCTCTATCTGTGGAAGGATGGCTCTGAGTTCAGCTTTCAAGCTTTCAGAGCTTTGATCAGACTGCACTTAGAAAAATCATTTGCAATTATTGGCAAAGTGAATATCCCAAACTCGAGCTTCCAAAGCTAATCTTTATATATGAAAACGGTAAATAATTTGCGTTGACATGAACAGTCAAAAAGTAGGACTTTTCAAATCAGTAAAATCGTTTGATGGCTTTAACAACATACGATGATAAAAGGAACAATATACAAAATAATTCAATAAAGATGTCAATAAGTAAAGCAGATCAAAAGGCTGACCTGCCTAATGTGCACTGGTCTCTCTCCCATTGCAGAGCAAATAGTAGCAAGCTCCGCTTCAGTATCAGCAATTGCCTGCCTTAGCTGAGCTCGAGACCTGTTTGCGTGGTCGACTTTCTTTCTGAAGACTTCCGAGCATTCTTGTTCGATTTCAAGCAAGATTCGTTCCCTTTCAGCATCAGATACCCCAACCTCATCCCATATTAACTGATAGGCATACCAATAAAAATTAATGCCAATGTCTCTGACAATCGTATTTCATCATAAATAAACTATACTACACTAAGAACAATGTCACATAAGAATATGCATTTTCAAGGGAAAAGTTGGGTGCCTTAAAGACAATATCCAGCAAATTATGATTTGAAAGCTATAAAGACCATACCTGTAATTCATAGAGAAGAGATCCACATGTTGTATCCAATCGTGAAAACAGATTGTTTTTACTTGTCAACATTTTAAGGCAACTTCACCTGTCCATATAAGCCAATGCAATAAGTATCCGAAATATATTGTTTATGATTCAATGGAAGTACTTTCCCATGAATACAGCAGTAACAAGTGGCAATGCAAAATGGTATAAACTAGAAAAACCAATTAAAATTTTCACGTCCGAATTCCCAATGTGATCCTACAACATGAAAAGTCTCAGGTAGACCTGTTACAATTTTCACGTCCAGAAAACCAATTCTGTTTGGAGGAAAGGAATAAACATTTATGCAAAAGGATAGGGCTATTACTACCAAAACCACATGCGAGTTTTTTCAAGTCAGCCTGAGATACAAACCAGAAACAGGTAAAACGATCGTAAGGACCGTTTACTTGCCAACCAACATCATCATCAACCTTTCATAAATCTAATAAACTTCTAGTCAAAGTAAAAAAAAATGAAAATAAAAATAGAAGAAGAAGAATTCGACAGAATGATATATTTAAGTAAGGTACAGTTCTTCCAAATAAGTAGGGGTAAACGACACAAAAACGCCAGTGTTAAGGGAGACTAGTACCAAATCCCCCTTCAATCATTTTATTGTGTAAAACTCTCCTTCTCTATTAATAACAAATGTTGTCGGTTATAAATGATAACTCTTCAATTTAAAAAAAAAAAACATAAGAGATTGAACAATAATGGATAGGAGTGTAGACAAATAAAACTGGGGGGGGGGGGGGGGGGGGGTGGTGCAATTTTTTATGTATCACAAAAGGGTATTTATGCAAGGCTAATTTAATCATTTCGAATGTGTTTCAAAAACCGAGCTCAATCGTACATTTAGTGTGTGAAATACGCGTCGCAGTGGATTGGACAGAAGGAGGTTTCATGCAAATTCGAATGATGTTGTCTGTAAATTTTGCACCAACACTTCATTTTCGAAGTGGTTATGAGTAAGTCGATATATGATTAGTTGTTCCGATGATCTAAAAACAATGCCCATGCCTTTCACCTATCTTCATTAGAACGAATGACGACAGAAAGAAAAAATAGCCAATAAAATTAAAGTTAAGACGGTGAGCTTAACCTGCAGACGAAAATGAAAGGAATTAACTAATATAAATCTAAATATTAATGTTTAATGACCTAGCTCATTTCGATCGAACCCCAATAGAACGCTGATCCTCATCAAGACATCAACAATTATCTGTTAAACAACTGCAGATAAAATAAAAATGTTCTAAATCATAAAATTCATAACCCAGCCCCAAATTCATAACCCAGTTTACCCTAAACTAAACAACAAACAGAATTGATCGATTCCTCTTCCTAATTCGAAAAAAAAAATCCTCTTCCTTCTTTTCCTATTGCACCACTCAATTGACAAATAACGAGCAACTGCTCTCTATTTAATTTTCGATCTACCTCAACCAAATTAAACATAACCAAAGAATCAAAAAAAAAAAAAAAAATCAATCAACGGGAATTAAACGTAGATCAAGGAACAAACCTGAAAATCAAAATTCATGAGCAATAATAAAATCCTTTCTAAGCAGCGCGGTAGAATTTCTGGGCTTGGATTCTAGAAGAAAATGAGAGTTCGCAAAATCAGGGATCGCACGGAAAAGCTCAAGGTAGGAGGAGAAGGAGTTTTTGAAAAAACTTCGACCGTTAAAAATATACTAGATTTAGGAACGGAGGGAACGGAGGGAGTAAAAACAAGAGGAAAATAAAATTCAAAAAAAGCCTTTCTTTTTAAGAAATTACATCCTGCTCCCTGTAGTTTATAAATTTCTTACATACACCCCCTACAAATGGTGCTAGTATAAGAAATCTACAAATTACCGGGATGAATGTAATTATGAAAAAATCGGGGAAAGGAGGGGAGGGGTTCGTAAATAGACCTTACCTCAAGGTGGCGTGATTGTAATTTATCCAAGTTAATATGATTTGGACCGAAAACATAGAATTATTTGAGTGTTTTTTTTTTCGATATATAATGTTGGCAAAATCAACTCTTTTGAACTTTGAATTCATCACTATTTATAACTTGGAATTTCACTATGAACATGTTGAGGTCTTGAAATTAATAAGAGTGTTGCTATTTTTCATTCTTAAAATCTATATTGTCACAAAAAAAATTATTGTCTTTTCATAGTAAACTCGATTGATACAATTACAAAATAATATAATGAATGACGAAGAGATATTGAATGATGAAAGACAATAACAAAAGAAAATGAAAAAAAAATTGATACAAAATCCAAATATTATATATATATATGTGTGTGTGCGCGCCCGCAAAACGAACTTTGGAGTTAAAGGCCCGATTTGTAGGTAACATTTGTCGCAGGAATCCATTGATCCCCATTAACGAATGGGCCAACCGTAAACTTCTTGACTTGGGTTGAAGTAAGGTTGAGCTTGAGCCCGGACCAGTTAACCCGGTTCTTGGTCACTGAACCGAGGCCCGTATTCCAAAGCTCGGCGTAGAAAATAGTGGTCGGGACCGATGACCCGACCCATGGGAGCCACCCTTTCGGGTCAATGCATCGGTCCAACACACTCTGGAAGAAAACGGTGGTGGAGTAATCTTTCCATGGCCGGCCCAAATATGTTTTGACCCCGGTCAAGTCCCCGAAGGGCCCCACGTTGCAGTTTTGGATCGATATACCGGTGTTCTGGTTCGGGTCAAACTTGCCTTGGGCGGTGATGGTGTTCTGTTGGTTCGGCAAGGGCTTTCTTGACAGGATGTTGCAGTTTTGGAAGACGACCGCGGAGTTCCCGAATATGAAGTCTATCGTGCCGTAGATGTCGCACTCGCGGTAGAACTGGCGGTTCGAATGCGGGTAGAGGGTGTCTTGGAACGCGTCCATGCTGCAACGATGGAAGATCGAGAAATCGGCGGTCGAGATTAGGGCGACCGCTTGGTGCTTGGCTGCACCGGCCGTGTTGCGGAATCCCATGTCCCGGGCAATGAACCCTTTCCCAAATACAGCTAAACAAAAATGTATATATATATAAATGAGTTTCAATTTAGAAACTTGAAAAGGCTACATTTAACATCCTTATCTTGTATCTATTCTAATTATTAAAAATCGATAATGCAAGTATGCAATTGGGGAGTCAGATGGTACACCTGATTATTTAAATTTAGATTTGAACCGCATATATTTGATTAAATAACTTCACACATACACATGAGTGTGTGTGATTATGTGTAGATTTACGGTTCAAATCCACCGACTATAACAAGATGTATCATCTAATTTTCTGCATGCAATAGACAATACAACAGTAGAAATAACTCACCAAAAGTGGCCGACTGAAACGTCGGGGTTCCGTCGACAACATTGAGACTCCCGGAAACAACCGTCGCGTTCTTGCCGTCGCCGACCATCATCACATTCCACTTGGACTTCTCCACCACCACATTCTCCACATAAACCCCCTTCTTCACGTATATCACATACCTCTTCGTACTTTTATCCGGAACACCCTTCAAAGCTTCTCCGATCGTATTGTACTTCCCCGACCCATCCTTCGCCACCACCACATCCGCCGTCGCACTCAAATTCACCGCCGCCGCAAGCATTCGCCTGTCCTCCGCAGACACCCACTCCGGCCCAAAACCCATCAGCCTCCTCCTCCCGATCGCCCCCAAAGCGGTCATCGACTCGTCGATCGTCGTAATGATCGCGAGACTATTGCTCGTGTACTCCGTCGAGTTCTTGAAGTTTTCGTGCACGAAGGCGTTTAGTTCATCGGAAGCGCTTTCGAGCTCGTCGAAGCACGTCTGCTGGAACGTCCCGGCGGAGCTCAGCCACGTGCGGAGATCATCGAAAGCTTCGGATATTTTCATGTTCTGTATCACGAGCGAGGCGTTGAGGTGGTCCAGCGCGAGGTCGAAGAGCTGGTGGCACGCTTCCACGGCGGCGGCTGTTCTATTGTCGGTGATGTTGAACTTTCCGACGATGTAGCCGGAGGAGAAGATCTCGGAGGCTTTGGAGAGCTCGTGCATGGCGACCTGTACGGACAGCTTGTATATGTCTTGTGGCTTGAGGTTGCCGGATTCAGCCATCGGCATGAGGCTGTTGTAGCAGGAGTCAGGGTACAGCGTGGAGCTGCACACCGCTTTAATGGAGGATGATGGGGTTTGGCGGTTATTGCCGCCTTCGGATTTTTTGCCGGCGGCGTGGGAGAGTCCTCCGACCACGGCGGCAACCACCACGGCGATGAGGATGATGGAGGATACTCCGATGAGGGTGATTCTCCGGCGTGTCTGCCGGCGGGCTGTGAGCCGTTCTTGTTCGGCTTCGTCCAGCTTGCCGTATAGACTTGTAGAGGCCATGGTTTAGGTTTTCTCTCTCTACCCCTCCTCTCTCTCTCTCTCTCTCTCTCTCTCTTTCTCTCTCTACCCTCTCTCTCTCTACTTTCTCTCTATGGAAAATGGGGGTGGGGGTATTATATAGTTAATGGTGAAATGGGTATATTAATATAGTGTAAGTGGGGGGCATGAATGAATTTTGGGGGTGTGGAAATTCAAAAATAATAAAAGAAGTGGTGCTCATGTTAATTCATATTTGATTATTTAATTTATTGATGGATTTTATACGACGTCGTTTGATTGGCTTATATACGCGTGTATATATGTTTTTTTAATGTTGTTAAGTGTACCTGGATTTGGTAGTTTATTGCAGGGGTAACCGAATGTTTGGGCAGTTGGTATCTATATTTGAGAAGAATATCAATTAAGGTTGTATTTGGATAGAAGTATATGAGGACATAATTTCAAATGATTCCATATTAAATGTATTTCAGTTTACTCTATTGAATAGAAAAATGGTTCAAGTTATTGTGAATTATTGGAGGTTATGGATGACCACCATTACACTCTCCATTAAACCTATTTACCTTCACCATTATTCATCATTAAGGTCTTGTAATTCATGACTTTTGACTAGCTTTTCTACACCTATAAATTAGGTGCAATGTATTGTATTTTGCACACTTGAAGCTATGGAATAACATATCACATATTCTCTCTGCTTTGTTCTCTTCTTCTTGTATATCATTTGTTAGTTTCTCAACACGTTATCAGCACGATTGTTCTACTTAAATTTTAGAGTAAAGATGATCCAAGGAAGATGACTCCTTAGCCATAGAAGAAGAAAGGGAGTTGATTTTAAATATTTTATTCTTTTTTGAATTGATAAAATATTAACCATCTTACTTTTGTTGTAGGTGAATTTTCGTGCAATTCACGAGTCTGTACTTCGATGTCTGTTTTGGACCTGATAATGGCCGAATTTCAAAAAATTCTAAAATACAAAATTTGTAGAATTTTCTGTTATCTTTTCGGAACGTTTTGAATCATCGAAATCGGATCTCTATTGAGAGATATATGCTTAAAATACTCAACTCTGCCAGAGCTGTCCCTTGTACGAATTTTTTGAGATGAACATGACGTTCTAAAAACAAAAGGGACGATTATAGGCCTAGAGCCTAGATTAAATACGAGATTAGAAATCTCGATTGAATATAAGTCTAAATGACAAGACTCTTGAGCATTTGAGTTAATGGGTATTCCCCATTTATAGTACAATTCTTTCATGATCAAAGTACTATAACGATTTTTATTATATATTGAGGCTAGAAGCCTAAATCGAGCACATGCAATCAAGTGACTCGAAGATTTGAGTGATATATTACAAAAACAAACCACTTGCTCTCTAGTTTATGCAACTTGAAAAGCTCCATCAATCGAAAAAGAACTCGAAGTTCATAAATTTTAGGCTCGAAGTCTAGTTTAGATATGAAGGCTTGAAAGCTTATGTCGAGGCATATCAAATATAAAGGCTTGAGGCCTAGATTAAATTTGAAGACTAGAATTCTCGATTGAATATATTAGATTCAAGGTCTAAGTGATGATACTCAAAATTTGATATTTGAGTTAATGGATATTTCCTACTCAAGGTACTATGATTTTACGATTAAATACCAATTATAGGGCTTAAAACCCTAAATCAAATACAGAAATTCAAGGTATAAAACTCAATCCTTGAGATTTGAATGGTATATATGTACTCAAAATGAGTATTCATTTGTGATACAATGATATCAAAAATATCATGAAGTTTAAAATTATCTTTGATGGTTCAAGAATGAACATAACTATAAAATTTGGATCATTGAAGTTAAAAGATCCATTTATCTCTCATGATATCACAAAATATTTGTGTTATTGCTATGTGCCTTGAGGACACAAGTCAAATATAATGAAAATGTGTCTAAAAGACACCGAGCAAAACATTATTGTTTCATTTTCAAGAAATGGGTACTTAATTGAGGGTATGTGTCTTGAACACACAAGTAAACGTAACATTACATCTAGTTACTTATGAAGAAGAAGAGAGATTGATATTTGATCCTCTTTATAATTTGCTCTCTTTATCTTGACTTTGTTGTTTTGAAAACGACAAGTAAAATATTTCGATATATGTGTCTTGAAGATACATATAATGGAGAATTGTAAGAGAAAATATTCTCTAAATTAGGATCTATATTATAATGATGAAGTGACAACATAAAAACTCAAGTTGCACTCATAATAGCAAAATAAAGAATTTTAATAGCATATCGTACTACAATACGAGTTGTGAGCTAATACAAAACTAGTTCAATTGTTGTTATTCTTTGAAAGTGAAAACAACAATATTAAAGAAAAATCAAAAAGATATGTTGACATGAAAAGCTATCATGGTGCTCAAGCTTATTCACTATAAATTTTATCTCATCATTACAAGTGGAAGAGAGATGAGAAATATGAAAAATAATTGGTCATCCATTTCACGATAAAGCATGTTGACAAGCTTTATTAAGCACCAACATAAAAGCAAAAGAAATTTCGTTGATTTTGGAGTCAAGAGATTGATCAATTCAATTAAAGTTTCAAGTTTCACTCCAAATCCATATCTATGGAAGTATGTACATGATTTTTTTTTTATAATTGGTCTAGATGGAATGAGATGAAATTTCAAACCAAACGAAAAAAAGGGGATCTGATTTTCTTGTTAAAATTCCAAACCCTCTGCATATTCTGATTTTTCGAAATTTACAGTTTACACCTTCAAAATTTTCAAAATTTTCATTTTAGTCCCCCAGATTTAAAATTTTTACGATTCAGTCCAAATATTTTTCAGAATATGCAGCTCGTTCCATTCATCATCCGCAATTGTGAATCTATTTCAACATTTTCAGTTTTCACTGATTTTTTAACAAAATTGCAGCCTTGTTCACGAAGTTTTAAAAATTTACAGTTTGGTCCCTAAATTTTCAAAATTTACCGTTTGGTCCCTGAATTTTCATAGTTTTGAAATTTGACCATTTATGTTCAGAATCTGATAGATTCTCAAACGAAGTTATATTCATCCACATACTATGATATCACGTGGTTTGTTTATTATTTATGCCATGCAATATTTTGCACTCCTAATGGGAGATATTTCTATGGCATACATTGTCAATTGCCATTTTAATGAGACAATTTTCCCGCCGTTAAGAGGGAGATAAGAAGCCGGTTCTTGTATAACGGCGTGAATTATTTGAAATGATCTTTGTCTCATCTAGATTTGTGCATGTAAATATTTAAGCACAAAAGAAAAAAGAATTCAATTGCAACAATTTTAATGTGTAAAATGCTAGATGCATTTATCGATAAAATGGCAACTTGAAAGTAGCACATATGTTCCAAATGAGTGCAAGAGAAAATGTCCAAGAAGGACACATTGCACATTAGATTTTGTCATGAAAGGCTTCTAAATGAATGTCCTCGAAAGACAAATTTTACATTGTGATTGCATAGTGAATCCCCTAAATGGGTGAAAAATGATTATGGTACACAGCTAACCAATTATAATTTATGCATATAAGAGGGGGAGATATATATGCTGGTTCGAACGATAAACACACTTATAAGTGGTGTGAATACCGTTCAATTAAAGTCTACTAGCGCTAGTAGCTTCATACTCTCATCATATTACTTATCTCATTCGATGAAATGATTCGTCTTAAAGACGATGTTGGGGGACGCCTCAACACCAATATCCATCACTATGATATGAGAACACTTGTCACTTATGGTGGCATAAATGAAATACATATTTGGATGAGAAAATCATTGATGATTATATGGTAGCTACCAAGACCATTATAAATCGAACCATTATGTGCCAATAAATAGTTAATTGGCAAATAAATCATGGCTAGCTTGCTCTCTAAGTGAATAGAGAGGCATTTGAGACTATTAGTTCTCAATTTTGTTGTTGTACCGATATAATATCTTAAAGATTTGAAAATTCTTTTCGAATGAATATTCATGTACCAAATTGAATTTGTTTATATCGAGTTTGAAAATAAAGTGGACAAGTAGTCCTCAATACTCCCTCCACATTGTGAAACTCAAAAGCGCGCGTTTTGTCCATGTAAGACATTTTTATTGAAATAAATAATGAGCTCACGCACTTAAAGTATTATGAAAAACTTTATTGATGCAATATAGAAAATTCTCTATAAGAGAAAAATACATGGTACATGAAAAGATATGGATCTCTACAAGAGATCGTACCCACAAAGGCTACAATCCCCATTTATATGAATATCCGGTACCCGAAAATGAAATAGTGAGCTCTTGATTGATTATAAAGAAATATGGGGAGTACGAAAGATGTTATCGAATAACTATATGTACAATTATTTTTATAATGTGAAGAGCTTGAAGCTCGTACATTTTAATTGATGTCGACATCTAATTGGTCATTAGTATAGGCATTCACAAATACAATTGACCATGATTATTTGAAATTATTGATGAAATGAATTGTACATTGACCTGCGGTCATCACACATAAAGTTGTGAAAGCCTTTGGTACAAAAGTGGGTAAAATTATTGCGGTACATTTGAATACCTTTTGAAAATATATTTTTATGATGCAATCACTTTATGATGGTATTCAAAATACTTGACATGCATCATATGGATGCAATTACCGCATATCTATATGGATCATAAAATTAATGAAGAATTGATAATGCGTTGTGCATATAATAAAAGGTTTTGTGAATCGTACTCTAGAAATGATCCGTTTACATATTATCTTCAAAATATGGTACATTCACCTCAGTGAATATCTTGTCAATGATCAAATAATTTGACTTACCATTATCATGGTATAGATGTGAGTGACCGAAATCTTGTGGAGACTCACGAAGAGCTCACAAAGATGATCAATTATTTGGTGACATAATTTGAGATGAAAAATATTGGAAGGGCAAAATGCATCTTGAAAAGAAGATCTATCAAATGAAATTTATCCACCAATACAAATAAGAAATGGATAAGGCTCATCTATTGAGTGATATTATGTTTGTACAAACATTTGATGTAATTGAAGATCTTTTAAGCCCCCGAGAAGATAATGAAAGAATTACAATTTGCAAAAGTGTAAAATGTGTATTACACTATCTTTATGGGTAATCTCGTGGATCTTGAAGTGGATATAGTTGGCTATATCAAAGTCAAACAATAAATTATCATATTCATATATTGGAGAATTGGCAACTACTTTATTAAGAAGATGATTAAAAGTCATATGTCGAAATCAGGGGGAGCATGAGCACTACTTATAACAACACTGTACTATTTTTCCTTCGACCAAGTTTTTGTCCCAATGGGTTTTTCTTGGTAAGGTTTTAACGAGGCAGTGTCACGCTCACAAGCTTCAGATGGATTTGTACTCTTTTTCCTTTGTTTAGTCACAAGCTTCATATTCCATAGATGGTGGACATCCAAGGGGGAGTGTTGTGAATTATTGGAGGTTATGGATGACCACCATTACACTCTCCATTAAACCTATTCCATTATTCATTCATCATTAAGGTCTTGTAACTCATGACCTTTAACTAACTTTTCTACACCTATAAATTAGGTGCAATGTATTGTATTTTGTACACTTGGATATATCACATATTCTCTCTACTTTGTTCTCTTTTTCTTGTATATCATTTGTTAGTTTCTCAACACAAATTTTATTTTTTGCAAACATTGACGTAGCATTAATATTAAAAAGTACTACTTTGTTCTCTTTTTCTTGTATATCATTTGTTAGTTTCTCAACACAAGTTTTATTTTTTGCAAACATTGAGGTAGCATTAATATTAAAAAGTAATGGTAAAAATATAATAAAAGTTGGGGTGAGAGAGGCTCGAACTCTCGACCTCAGGATCACTCAACTTAGCTATGAGACCTACGCGCTAGCCAACTGCGCCACCACCCCTGATGTTTAAAGTCTAATATTTAGTTTTATTCATTCTAAAAAATATTATACAGACCATTGTTTTGAGGTAAAAATTTTAAAAATTGGGGTGAGAGAGGCTCGAACTCTCGACCTCAGGATTACTCAGCAAGCTATGAGACCTACGCGCTAGCCAACTGCGCCACCACCCCATGATGTTTACATTTTTGATATTTAGATTTCATATAGTATTATGACTTGCAACAAATTATGTGATCATATCTAAATAAAGTTTGTTTTGCATAATTGACTTGTGAGTGTTAGCAACTAAATATTTTCTTCTTGGTTTTCTTATAAGCTGTTTTAGCTCTCAAATATGATAAACTTCTATATGTATTTGACTCTGGAGCTTAAAACCTAATACATAACATTTGTAGTGATGAAGATTTGTTTTAGTGAAGGGTTTAGCTTTTAGAGATATTAAGAAAACAATAAAAGACAAACAAAATTGTGTAGATAATTTAATTAAGTAAAGCACATAGACAAGTACACATGATTTTGGACAATAACCCAAAAAAAAAAAATGCCACTGAAATTCACAGTTAAGAAACCAACAAAATATACACATGAAAGCTAATGCCAATACATAATATAGTAGAACATATTCGAACATACTTAGAACCTGTTTGCCTAACCTTATAAGCTCCTAAAAATATCTTATAAGATGTTTAGGAGTTTATAAGTTGTTAAAAGGTGTTTGGTAAAAAAATTACAAAAGATCTTATTTTTTCAAAAAATAAGCTGTTAGGAAGCTTATAAGATGTTTTTAAAAAAGTACATTTACCCCACATTTTTTTTTAAGATTTTATTTGCTTCTTTACTAAAACACTTACAATACAAAATTACCCTCAAATACTTTATTATATTACATGAATACTAATAATATTTATATTTTATCAAAACAACGTATTCTTGTAATCAAGATTAATAATTAGTTAAATATAATTATCGTAATTATCATAATAATTGTAAAAAAAATTATTCTCTATTTATATTTTATATGTATATAAAAATACACGAATATTCTTATTATCTCCATAATAAATTATATTTCTTTCATCTATAAAAAAAAAAATTATTTTACAACTTTTATTTTATATTATTATTATTATTATTTGAAAAAATAATTTGTAAATATTATAATAATATTTTAGGAACAAAAGTATTTGAGTCAAATAAGTTTAACAATTATACTGGCGTCATGTACTTTTTTGTCATTATAACAATAAACGGACCTCTTATTTCCAAACACCTGAACAACTTATAAAAACAAAAAGTAATTGATAAGCTACATATCCAAACACCTTAAAAAATATTTTTTAAAATAAGATCTAACAGCTTATCAGCTCCTAAAACATCTTATCAGATGTAGGAGCCTATAAGATGTTTTAAATAAGCTTAGCCAAACGGGCTCTTAATTCGAAAAATGGGAAATTTCACACAAGCTTTGATTGGTTGGTAAGATTAGTCGCAATTAAAAACGTAATTATACCTTATTCGAAGTTTGATTAGCACAGTACTCGAGACAGTTCACAATCATGAAAAAATGAGTTCTTATCTTGATTTGTTCAAGGCTTATATGTTAGAACTCAGTGAGTCGAATCATACAATTGGTTCTTTATATCTTACAATATCGCATAATATTATTTTAATTATTTTCGGAAGCAAACGAGATTTTAAGAAATAAATTTACTTTTCTAAATATATTTTCTCACTGGCCTTGAGATTAAAAGTGACTAGTTACCAAGTGAATTATGTTTTTCTTAAATAAGTATATGAAATTGACAAACAACTTCAAATGTTGCATTCGCATATTTAATACGATATAAAAATAATTGTTGAATAAAAATAAATTAATTGGTTGTATACACTTTGCACCTCAAGGTATAGCCTATTGTCTATTAAATTATTATTTGTAACACTTACTCCCTCAATATTAATTATTTTATATTTTAAAATTAAAAACATAATAAATACAACAATCTAATAATTATTGGATCATACAAAATTGAAAAGTAACTAAAATTAAATTATTGGAAAATAATTAAAAATAATATATATTGTATAATAGTGAATGAAAATATATTTTAAGAAATTAATAAACTAAAATAAATTTAAATACTTAAGATTGCTATTAGTTAGTTATGCATTGATTTCTTAAAATTTATTGATATGAATATAATTGATTAATTAGTCAACAACAATTAAATTTTATTTATAAAATATAACCCAACACAAGATAATATTTTTAATTCAACAGGTATTTTTAGCAATGTTATTAGAACCGGACCGGACCGGCCGGTCTGACCGGTTCGACCGCGACCCGCCGGAAAACCGGTCCGGTCTAACCCCCAAACCCACATAAATTCAAAACCGGGGTCAACTACCAGAAACCCGATCTGACCGGGTTGAACCCGCGACCTGGCGAACCGGCCGCCGACCCGGGTTCGATTCCTAAACGCTGCGTTTTATATATTTTTTTTTAATACTTTTATCAAAACGACGTCGTTTTGATTATTAGGTTTAAAAAAATAAAAAAAAAATTGAATTAAAAATCACGTTAAACATTGAACAGACTTGTCAAACAAGTCTGTACTGTACTATTCTGCCTTTCCCGCACCCAGCCGCCGCCCAATCCTCCAGCCGTCAGCCACCGCCGGCCGCCGCAAACCACCAGCCACCGCCGGCCGCCGCCAGCCACCGCTGCCCTCACAACCTGCCGGTACCCTCTTTCGTGTAGATGAATCGTGCAATTTTTAAATTCTTTTGTTTAATCATGTGATAATAATTTTGTTTAGATTTCAATTCTTCAATCAAATTTTGTTTAGATGTGAATTTAAAATTTCTATTTACACTTGTAGTTTTTTCACCATTTAATATCGTATATATCAAATTATGTTATTTTCTAATACCATATCTATTGTACAAGAAATAATTTTAATGCAAAAGAGTAAAGACATTAACGATTTGATCTGCGTTCATTAATTAATTGAAATATTTTTTGAGTATCGTATTCAACCGTGAAAATATTAACTTGTCTTTTTTTTTTTCCCTTAATTTATTAGAGACTATGGCTGAGCTTGAGAGTAATACAATTTCGTCACAAGCAGAAGCTTCCTCAGCTACTTCAGTTAGGAAAAAAACGGACGCGGCATGGAATTATGTTTCCGAGGGAATAAGTGCAGAAGGAAAAAAAGTGCTGATTTGTTTGTTCTGCAACAAAAAAAATAAGGGTGGAGGTATTAACTATTAACAGAATGAAACAACATCTTGCCGGAACTATAGGAAATACTTTTTCTTGCAATAAAGTTGACCCAGAAGTGCGGCTCAAAATAAAAAGGTCATTGGATTCTAATGCAAAGAAAAGTAAGGAGAAGAAAGGGGTGTTTGACGACTCATCAAGTGAAGGTGATGACATTCCTACACAAAAGGTACCGTCAAAGGGGAAGAGAAAAGCCTCTAATGGGATTGAAGCATTTTGTCAGAAAGATCTTAAGGTAACTCATTCTTCTCAACCTTCTATTAGAGCATGCATGCAAAATAAGGAAAGGTGGAAAGAGACTGACTTGGCCATTGCGTTATGGTTTTATGATGCATGTATCCCATTTAATGCTTGCAATTCACCTTACTTTCAAGGTGCCATTGATAAAATAGCTAACATGGGTCTTGGTTATAAACATCTTTCTTTTCATGCTTTGCGGGTTAACTTACTGAGTGATGCTAAAATGCATGTTAAGTTGATCATAGATTCTATGAGAAAAACTTGGGAGGACACAGGTTGCACTATAATGGCAGATGGGTGGACAGACATTAGACAGAGGTCTTTGATTAACTTTTTAGTTTACTGTCCAAAAGGAATTTCATTTGTCAAATCTGTTGATGCTTCTGATATTTCTTCAACTGCTGAAGAATTATGTAAGTTGTTTTGTGAGATTGTGGAATGGGTTGGTCCTCGTAATGTTGTACACATGGTAACAGACAATGGAGCTAATTATAAAGCTGCGGGTGGTAAGCTTGCGGAGAAATATCCTTTAATTTTTTGGTCGCCATGCGCAGCTCACTGTGTGAATTTGATATTTAAAGATGTTGGAGAGCTGGAAACCGTCCAAAGTTTGGCTATTCTTGCTTCAAAGGTGACTGTCTTTGTCTACAATCACAAGGTGACATTGACTTGGCTAAGAAAAAGAAAAGGATGGCGAGAAATTATCCGTCCTGGTGCGACCCGTTTTGCTACTACCTTTATCGCTTTACAAAGCTTACATGCGCATAAGGGTGATTTGCAGGGTTTGGTCCTTAGCGGTGAGTTTAAGAAATATTCGAAAGTGCAAAGAGCTAAAGAAGTAAAACAAATTGTATTGGATGAGAAATTTTGGGATAATTGTTTGGTGATCGTGAAGATTATGACACCCTTGATACGCTTGTTGCGGTTGTGCGATACTGATGAGAAACCATCCCTGGCTTATATATATGAGGGCATGCACAGGGCACGTTTGGGGATTATGAATATTTTTAAAAATAAGAAAAGACTCTACACGCCCTACACTGATATTATAGACAGGAGATGGGATCTTATGTTGACAAAAGATCTCCATGCAACAGCATATTATTTGAACCCTGCTTTTCAATACGATCAATCTTCTTACTGCAAAAAGCCTGAGATTATGCGGGGAGTGCTCAATGTGTTGGATAAGGTGGAAGGCGAGGAGGGACTAGCAATACTGGATGAGTTAAGAATTTTTCGAGAGCGTGAGAAGGGCTTTTCTCGTCCAAAGGCAATTGCTTGTTGTAAAACCACTAGACCAGGTAAATATTAATTTATGATGCTATGTTTTTTACTTTTTATGTTTAAAGTTTTACAATTATTGCATTTGTACTTATTTTAATTTATATATATACTAATTTTAATAATTGATATCAGATGAATGGTGGAGATTATTTGGTTTTGATGTGCCAAATTTGCAAAAAATGGCTATAAAAATCCTTGGTCAAACTGCTTCCTCTTCTGGTTGCGAGCGTAATTGGAATGTATTTGAGCGCATCCACACAAAGAAAAGAAATAGGCTTGAGCATCAAAGATTGAATGATCTTGTCTATGTTCACTATAATTTGCGGTTGAAGAATAGGTGAGTTTTGCAATATTTTAATAAATTATTTTTGTATTTTATTCCTCAACTTTATACCGTTGCTTATAATTTGCTAGGTTGGCGAATTCTAAAAGATCCTATGATCCAGTTGATTATGAATCACTTGAAAAAACTGAATTTTGGATTGTGGAAAAGGAAGCAGAAGGAGAGCTTGACTTTGATGAGCTTGAGAACATGTTGCTAGAAGAATTCCCAAGAGATATGGGAGAATCAAGTGCACAAGGTTTTTTTTCTAATGTTATTTAGTTTTGATGATGATGATCTGAAATAGTTTAAAATTATATTTGAATTAGTTATTTAAAACAATAGTGTTCATAATTTATTGGCTTGAAGCGAATTTTTATGTATGCATGTAGATATTGGAGAGCATGACCTGGATGAATATCAAATAGAAGATGGAGATGGAAATCGAGATAGAGATGGAGATGGAGATGAGGACGAGGATGACCTTGATGAGTGAGGGTGATTATTATGAGATGATTTTATTTTATTTTAAAATTTATGTTCAATAAATATTCTTGGATGTTTGTGACTATGTTCATTTTAAGTAAATTGACTAGTTTATATGTTTTAGTTTTATATTTCAAATTTTAATTATGTGATGAGGATGATTTTGATGAGATACATTATTATTATGGGTAGTTTTTTTGGATTGAAGTGAAGTTTTGTATATGTTGTTTAATGTTTTAAATTTTTATTTGGATGTAAATATGTGTATATAAAATTAAAAAATAAATAGAATAAATAAAAAAAGTAAAAAACCCGGGTTGACCCCGGTTGAACCGGTCCAACCATGACCCGAATGCCTCGCCGGTTTAATGTCCGGTCCGGTTCTGATAACATTGATTTTTAGTTGTATAATTTAATTATTCTTTTAGTCGCTCCTTTCCACAAATGAGAAAATTTTAAGATATTAGAATTTAAAATACAAATTAAATTGTGCTTGAGGGGTAAGTGGTACAAATAATATTTTATAGGGGTAAGTGTTACATACGGTATACTTTAGGGGTGTAAAACTGTATTTAACCTTAAATTAATCACGGTAATTTTCATAATAATTAGTATCTATTATCACCTACTGAAAAATAATAAAAATTAGAAATCATTATCGTGGAAAGTTTGGATGCAAAATGATTAATGATGTAAATAAATATATAAAACAAAATATTACCAAAGAAAATACCGTTACAGTTTTATTTGGGCAGTGGTTCTAACTTCCAATTAAATCCAAAGGAAAAATCCCCAAATGTCCCGCCCACAGCAGGGGTTTTAAGCTGTTCAGCATAAACCCTAATCCCCAATTCTCGTTCAACCCGGTGTCACTGTCTCGTTCATCTTCATAATTCAATCGAAAACCTCGAATCATCGCACCATGAGCTTCGCGGCGTACAAAATGATGCATTGGGCGACCGGCATCGAGCACTGTGCCTCGGGTTTCATCACCCATTCGGCCGCGGACTGCACACCGGGAATCGCTCCGGTCGCCGCCGACGACATGGACTCCGACTGGCCCGCCTCCACGAAGCCCGTTGGCCCGGTGCCTAACCTTGTCACTGTCGCCGCCAACGTACTTGAAGTTTACACTGTAAGAGTTCAGGAAGATTCATCTTCTTCAATGGATTCCAAAGGAGCTGCGGAACCCAAGCGCGGAGGTGTCTTGGCCGGAGTTTCTGGTGCTTCCCTTGAGCTCGTCTGCCATTACAGGTTTCCATTTTTTATGTTTAAATTGTAACATTTTTTTTCGAGTTATGCTTATTGTTTTCTTATTTGGACTTTGATATTTTGAATTAATGTAAGTGGGAAAATGCAGCTATTCTGATTGATGCAGCTCGAGAAGCATTCTCTCTTTTTTTTTTTTACATGAAAATTATTGTACCTGTTCGGTATAAAAGTTTTGATTGTTTAGCCTGCGTTTATAAAAGAACTGCTATTTACTTGCTGGGGAAAGGCATGGTAAGTTGTCCCATGTTATTTAGAGTATCTAAAGACTAAGGTAACCAACTTCATTTGCGGTCTTCCACGTCAAATTTGGTGATTCTGAAAGCTTTTAATTCATCCAAAATTTGAGGAAATGGGAAAGAGATGAATAAAGGAAAAACTTACTCTGGATTTGTGTAACAATTCCATACGATCTTTCACACACACACACACACACACACACACACACACACCGAACACAGAGTTCATAAGAGTTAACAGGAAGAGCTGAGTGCATCGGTCGAGTCATTATACATTGCTCATTCAGCAAGCTTCATTAATTTTGTTTTATTTCTGAAGTAAACTCTATTTACGAATTGTATGGTCTGCAAGGATTGAATATTTCTACTTTAATCCATAGTTTTAGTGGGGGGCTATGATTCACTCAATGATTTTCCATAAATTTCTTCAGACTGTTTTTTTTTGTCATCGTTTCAATTAGAAAAATCTGGTGTACTTGGATTGTCTTACGAGTTTTGAAAACTTCTTAAATCTTTTGACAGTTGATAGAATAATTGTTTTTTTGTGAAACTATTTATGTACTCTCCTAGTTTTGTTGATTTTGGTAATGTGGTGTAGGTTGCATGGGAATGTGGAGTCCTTGGGAGTATTACCAAATGGAGGTGGAAGGAGGAGAGATTCAATTATATTGACTTTTCGTGATGCAAAAATCTCAGTTTTGGAGTTTGAAGATTCAATACATGGACTCCGAACCAGGTGAGATGTTATCTTGTTAATGCAACACTGTTCCCACCTTAATTTGATCATTGTATCTGAAGTTGAGTTTGTAGGTTTAATTTGGACTTGATGAAATAATTACTAACTCATTAACCAGTTCAATTTGAGAGCAAATGATTTGAAATCCATTGCAGAACAAATCATGCAAACAAGCTCAGTGTTTTTCTTTTATTTTTATGTGATATTTATAAAGAGAATACTAATATCTAAAGCAAACCAGATGTCAGTTTAAGTTTTAAACGCTTCCTCTAATATGGCCTAGATACCATGATTTTTGTTCAAATCTTGACTATTGTTTTGTGCTTAGTCCATTAAAGATGCTAATTGTTTTTGTGAAATCGTCATTTAACAATGTTTTATTTTGAAAATGCAACTGTATTATATTTAATATTTATATATGCTTGTCCATTTTCTCTTTCAGTTCAATGCATTGTTTTGAGGGCCCAGATTGGCTGCACTTGAAAAGAGGCAGAGAATGTTTTCCAAGAGGTCCACTAGTGAAAGTTGATCCACTGGGGAGGTGTGCTGCTGTTCTTATTTATGGATTACAAATGATAGTGCTGAAGGCTGCCGAGGTTTTATTTTACCGATGCATCTTAATTTTGTTACATCCCTTTTTAATACAATAATTTTTTTTTAAAATTCAGAGTCTATACATTTTGTTTAGGCAGTACTAGCCGTAGAGCTATGCAGCATGCAGACACGAGTAGTTACATGATATAGCATTTTTAACAGCTTTTGCTCTTATAAATTTCAATTGATTTATATTTACCATCATAAATTTGATAAATATGCCTTGCATTCTTTTGTAATTATGAAAACCAACAAATGTTCCCCATGTGCTAATTCCTAGATTTTCTATTTCATTTGATGTTGGAAAAAGACTTCTTGGCTACCAAATTAAAATCTAAAAACTCACCAATCCAGCACTGAATAGGTGTTGAAATTACATGAAGTTCTCCTCTTGAGTTTTTAGATTTTAATTTGGTAGCCAAGAAGTCTCTTTCCAACACCTTTTATAGAAATTTGCGGACTAATGTGTCTGCCACCTTTTATACCGTCTCATCGGAGAAATCCATCCCAAAACTTGGTTGGTTTTCCATACAGTCAGTGCAGTTGCCTGACTGTTTTCATATGCATTACCAAAAAACTAATGCAAATCCAATCTTCTTCACAAATATATATATATATATATATATATATATATATATTTGTCCCTAGGGTGAGATATTCTTAACCTTCTATACTGTAATCAGCTACAATGGCATCCATTTTCCAAAACGTAGTTCTCCATAACAGACAGTCCTTTGCAGCCTGTTGTAGGTCCGTTAACATCAGTTATTTTCTGTCACATTATTTAAAACAATATTTGGCAAATAAAGCGCCAATTTTTTCCTAACAATTTTAGGCTTGATTAGAGATCGAGAATTAAGATCTATTAGATCTTTTTGTTGATCATAATGGTTAAATGTGACATTCCATAACCTATTGCATTTTTCATTTGCTTATACATTTAAGGGTTTAGATGGCTGAGAAGGACGAGCATCTGTTATTTGATTTCTGTGCATTGGATAATGCTTGTGCATGTTGCCACTTGCTCTGTCGAGCTATAACTGTATATCGATTATCCATTTCCTCATTTAATAGTGACAATTTGATGTTAGGCAAGCTCTGGTTTAGTTGGCGAAGAGAATACTTCTACTTCCGGGCCTATTGGTGCTTCTCGAATAGAGTCGTCATACATTATTGGCCTACGAGATCTTGATATGAAGCATGTTAAAGATATTATATTTTTACATGGTGAGGTTTCTGATTTGGTTTTCCTTATTTTCAGATGCATTCTTGTTCTTTTCAACACGAAAGACGGCTGGAACGCCTTAGATCTGTTACAGAAAACATATTTATTTATGAGCTAGCTGTGCATCATTATGTTGTTTATATTACTGTTGTATGATTAGGTACTTATGTCTAGCTGTGCATCATTATGAGCTAGCTGTGATAATATTGCTCTGAATCTAGGCAACTATAAATTTGGTTTGTAACTGTATATGTTTTTTAGCAGTTTCGTTTCATTATGACCCTCTCTCTATCCTATCAACATTATTTGGATGTTTAAAAGCTAAAACTTTTACAGGCTACATTGAGCCTGTTGTGGTTATCCTACATGAACAGGAGCTTACATGGGCTGGTCGTGTCTCATGGAAAAACAACACTTGTATGATATCTGCACTCAGCATCAGTACAACTCTAAAGCAGCATCCTCTTATATGGTCAGCCACGGTAAGCTATATTTTCATAGCCATCAACTGATTGTTACTCTACAGGATTTCATTTTACTTTACATTGACAGTGAGACCTTACTCAGCTAATCATGATGCAAAGTTTTTCACTCTTTACTTGTATATAATGTCATCCCGGGAATTCTTATAGTGGGAGGAATTGTGTTTCCTATCTACACCCACCTTATAATGGTGGCTAAGCGCTACAATATGTTGGAAGCCTAAGTAGCTTAGCTGTTGAAGCGCTAAGACCAAGAGACTGTCTATGGCCCTAACCCTACTGAATTGATATCTTCTCTTTGTACCTCGGAAACAAATATCGTTACCCAAAAATTATAAAAAATATCGCGCTCAATTTTGTGCTTATACACTAACTTGACACGACCGAGTCTCGAATATACATAACATGATAACACGCTTTGTGCGAAATCCACTTCATTTTTTTTTTCGGGGAGGGATAGCAAGATATAACAAGATCCTCTTAATTGTTTTCAGAATCTCCCCCATGATGCATACAAGCTCCTTGCAGTTCCATCTCCCATTGGTGGAGTTCTTGTAATTGGTGCAAATACAATTCATTATCATAGTCAGGTTTGCCATTTTTTCCTATTGCAATTTCCACCATCACCTAGAATTTTGTACTCTTTTCCCCTTTATACATTTTCTTTTCCTGGTCTTGATCTCATGATATTTAATTTGACAGTCATCATCGTGCCTCTTGGCCTTGAACAATTTTGCTGTTCCTGTTGATGTCAGGTGATCTCCAATGACTTAACTGTTCTTTCTTCCCAGTTTTAATGTTTGCATATTCCAGCAGTTCCCCCTTACCCCTCTTTTTTCATACTCCAATAATTAATAATCATATTTGACGTCCTATAGCAAATTACTACTTGAATTGCTGCTTAAGCTTTTTGACCCACCTTTTCAACAATATGTATAGGCTGGAAAAATTCAGACTTTTACTGTAGGACTTAAAATGGCATATGACTAGGATCTCTCAAGAGAAACTGTATATTATATGCCATTGCATGCACTAAATAGCACACAATTATTCTTTTATAGCATTTGAAACTTCCCATTTGTGAAAGGAAAAATCTTGTTTCATGTTATTTACACGAGGCTCCTCTTTAATAAAGTCCCCCAAAGGACTCAGTTGTTCCTAGGTTTATGATACTGATTTAGAAGTATGTTTTCGTTGACAGTTTTAGTACAAGCTGCTTACATAGGTTGTGGAGGTGCATGGTTAAGTAATTAAAATGATGAAATTGATATTTGGTTTAGGTAAATGTGGGATTTATTCATGTAACATTGGTTTAAATTGCTTTTCTGGTAGCTTCTTGCTATAACCAATATGTTCTGCTAAGTTTTGTACTTTAATAATCAACTCAAAAGTCCTCATAAGTATTGGTGGTTTGGTTAGTAGAAAGCACATTGCTGGGGGTGAAGCAGAAGATAAGTAAAGATTGGAGAAATTAGATACAGAAATGAAATAATAAATACATGGGATAAATATGGGATCTTTTAGGTTTTTCCGTCAGCCAAATATTCGACATTGTTGCGGACTTTGTGGATGAAAAGACTAGCTTTTTGATTATTATTGAGCTTTGCGTCTCTTTTGGGAGTGTTTGATGTTGATCAGTGTAAATAAGTTTTTTGACAGTGGTTCTATCGCTTGTTTGCTCATTTTGTATGTTTCCATCCTTGCATGGTTTTGTTGATTTTATGAAGGATTATAGTAAGTTATTTTATATTTGCTACTGAAGAAGTTGAATTATACTGATTGACTACTCCATCCTTCCTTTATTACTAATACTAGTTCATCAAGTTATTTCTGATCTATATCGCATGTCTCCTTCAGTCAAGAGATGCCCAGATCTGGTTTCACTACAGAGCTTGATGCTGCCAATGCTACGTGGTTAACGAATGATGTTGCTGTGTTTTCTTCTAAATCTGGGGAGCTGCTTTTACTGACTCTTGTTTATGATGGAAGGTTGGTAGTTGTTTCTTCCATTTTCTTTATCTTCTCTTCTTGAAAGAAATAAGCAGGGCTGCTATTAAATTTTTTTCATGTTTTTTTGTTAACTAAGGGGTGCATCTCTATATGTCATTTTGTGGAACGTGGTTGTTTTTTTAAATAGATTTTTATATTATGTGCTGAAATATCTTAAAAGTTTGTTCCTGAATTCCTTGTAAACATTTCATAATTGCTCGAACTTGTGTTCTGATGCATTTCAAATGTTAAGAGACCAAATGAACCGTATAAACGCTGCACCTCTCTTTTCAAAGGGCCGTATAAACACTGATCTCTTTTCAGAGGGTTATACATCAATTTTATTTTATTTTCCTTCTGGAAATATGTATGGTATGTGATGATTTATTTGAGGTCAGGATATGATGCACCATATTTCTGTCCTATGCATTGTCCACTCGTCTTTAGTTGTGGAAATTCTGGACAGGTACACATAATCTTAATTTCTCACTGATAAAATTACTAGAAGATCAGTGAACTTATCTTTATGTTCTGCAAGAACTGCTGAAATATGGGACATACTGTTGTGAACAGTTTCAAGGTGCTTAGGATTGAGCTTTGAAAATATTTCTTCTCTGGAAGTTGCTTCTCTGAGTTGTTCTTGTACTCTGGAGTCTGACTACATTTAGCTTCCTATGAGTATGGTTTAAGGTCCTTCAAAGTGGAAATCTTTCTCTTCCAAATTGTCATGATGTCATCCCACAAAGCTCATGCGACTAAGAAGTTATTTGTAGTATTTTTTGATTTTCTGTTCTATTGATATAATAAATTTAATTCCTGAAGATGTTGAGGTTAGGGATCCATCAGCTGTTTGATTTCTACTAACACAGCCAATCATGTGTGCAATTGCATATTTTAAGTACTTATTTGACCCACACCATGCAACTGTTCACATCGCTACTACTTGAATGTGACGTGCCAACGCATTATTTTTGTTTTTGCAGAATTGTGCAGAGACTTGAACTTTCCAAGTCAAGAGCTTCAGTACTTACTTCGGTCAGCCACATTCAAGTTTATCATGCTACTGTACATTACTTGATGAAACATCTGTGTCATTTTGCATTTGCTTGCTTTTGTTGTAGGATATAACTACCATTGGAAATTCGTTATTCTTCTTAGGAAGTCGTTTGGGTGACAGTCTGCTTGTCCAATACAATTTTGGAGTGGGAGCTCCAATAATGGCTCCTGGTGTGAAGGAAGAGGTTAGTCGTTTTTACTACATAGAGCTTACAATGGATCCAGTTCATAACTTCATCAAATTCCCATTGATTTTGTTAAATGAGACTTGATCTCAAATGGCTAACTATGTATTAGGTCTCTCTACTAATTTACCCATTACATCTAATTAGGATATGGAAGTCTCTGTTAATTTCAATCTACTACATGCACAATTAAAATAAGACTGGATATGCTTATTTCTTATTTTCTGTAGGGTGGGGATATTGAAAGCGATGCTCCTTTGCCAAAGAGGCTTAGGAGGTCTTCCTCCGATGCATTGCAAGATTTAGGTGTTGGCGAGGAGCTTTCTTTCTACAGCACAGGTCCTACTAATGCTCAGTTGTCTCAGGTTAAATTATCACCTGCATTCTGTGCTAAGCTACATTACTGTAAACTTATGATGATAATTTTTATTGAAGAAGTTTAGGTGTGTTGGTACTTAGTACAGTCAGCTTTTGCTTTATCTTTTCAGTTCCATGGTATTTGACAGCAGCCAAAAGATGTTTCCATCACCTGTTATTAGGTTGAGAATGATATCCAATATGGCCAAGAGGAGAGATGAGTAGTGTCCACAGAGTTATCATAAATATTTTCCTCAACCTATCTATGATGTTTGTTGGGTAGTCTTATACTGTAATTGATACTCTACAGTGAGAAAGTTATTTTCTATGAGGGCTTCTGAAGTGTTCATAGTTTTTATGTGTCAAATTTATTGTCATAAAATTACGTTAGGGTTATTTCATGTTAAAAATGACACTTCTCTGTAACAACTTAAGGTTTTAGATAATGTGGTCACTCAACATGGTATCTGAGCGGGGCCAAACGAAAGGTTATGTGTTCGAAATCACCACGACACATGCAAATCGCATGTTAGAGTTGTTAATGTTAAAATGATATTTCTCTCTGCAGCTTAAATTTCTAGATTAGTTACCATGAAACAAATTAATCCTAGAGTTATGCTTCAGGTAGCACCTTGGAGCATCTTCACAAAAGAGAAACTGGAGAATATATTCTCTTAAGTATCTTACTTCTCGATATAAGGTGTTCCAATTTTCATCAGTCAAGAGCTATTCAGCACAGGCTCTGATCTCCTTGCTAGCAGTAGTGTACAATTGGACCACCTTGGTCTTTAGCTGGTTGTTGCTTTGAGTTTTTTATACATTCTAATAGCAATATGTGAAAAATGCCAGGGATTGCGAAGCCTTTCATGGTTCCATCTGGTTCTAGCATTTGAATCTCTTTGGCTGGACTCATGTTTGATCAGTGTACAGTCATACTTATATAGTTGAGTTTGTAGTTTTCTGAAACTTCTTATCAAAAAATATGGGCAAATTAGAATGAGAAGTTGGTGCTGGAATTTCCAATATAATTGGCTTGATCTTTGTTCCTATCTGTGTTTGTCATATATGATTTTTTTGTTGGTGAAGTTGATCAAATACTAGGTGAACAAATAAATTTCACACGGAGTTTCCTGATTAGTGCTTTGTGACAATGACATATATTCTTCACACACCTCTGTTTTCCATTTCTAAAAAGTACCTGATTATTTTTTCTGTATGCAGAAAACTTTCACATTTGCCGTTCGAGATTCGTTGCTTAATGTTGGTCCACTGAAGGATTTCTCTTATGGTTTGAGAATTAATGCTGATCCTAATGCTACAGGAATTGCAAAGCAAAGTAATTATGAATTGGTTAGTTGTAATTTTAGTGCTTGGAAAGATTTTCATATTTTAATTAGCTTTTTTAAACACATTTTTATTTTGCTTGGGGGCACTAGTTAAATATCATGTTTTGCTAAGTATTGCATTGCTAGAGTGTTGGAGAATAATTTAAACGGTAAACTACATTGTCTTCCCCTGAGGTTAAGTTTAATTACACCTAGAACCTCGAAAGTTTGAAACAATTACCCGAATCGTAATACTGGGCATATATAACCTAAACTCACTAAATGCTGTTTTCACCCTCACAAAAATGCCTTTGAGGTTATATTACACAGCGCTCCTCGCTCCCTTAAGGTTAGGTCTAATTACACCTAAACCTTCTTGGATTTGGACAGTACCTTAACCTTTGTTGAGGTTTGGTTCGTGCAACACTTAATTCTATCTTATCGTTGACTTATTGGCAATTCATGATATTACACAAAAAAGTGACTAGAATTTTTGTAAAGTTCAATGTTTAAGAAATCCAATGTTGACACAGAAAAAGTGACTAGAGTTAGTTGGTATCTGAAAAGGTAAAAATGAATTACAATAACGTCCCTTCATTTGAACGAAATGGTGTTTATGTTACTATTCTGCCCCTCACATTTGTTTTCCTTGCACAAATTCCTACCAACACCAAAACTCCACCATAACCTTGGGCTACCTTTGCATTCATAGAGTTTCTCACCACTTCACTCTAATCCATAAAAGACTCTAACCCCACGTGCAACCAATTTGACTCGCTTCACATCACAAATGCAATGCGTCTGCAGAGCCATCCAAATTCTAGTAGGTTGGGTTTTTGGTCGGAATCAAATTTCAATGAAGTCTTCGATAAAAAATTTCAAACCCGAGGGGAACTAGGTTTAGTTGGACCTATGCTCAGTTGAGAGTGGTGTAATTTACCCAAGATACAAATCTTCGGTCAAGGATAAAAATAAACTCTAGTCATTTTTTTGTTTTTACCATCAATTTCGATAAGTCTACGACTGTACGAGGTCAAGTGTTTGCCACAAACAAACCTCTAGGAAGGCTTGTGTTATTTCCCAAATTCGAGGTGGTCTAGCGTAATTAGCCAGACTTCAAGTGAGGGCATCAAGAGAGGGCAGAATAAGCTACCGTATTTTAATTTTATCATTTATGATCCATTTTAGACTTTTATCAACTTTTAACCACTTACCAGAAGTTGTGAAGCTTTTTGCATATTACACAAGCATATTATAATTTTTTATTTTAAATCTGATTCAGGTGAGCTGTTCTGGTCATGGAAAGAATGGTGCTCTTAGCGTACTTCAACAATCAATCCGCCCAGATACAATAACTCAAGTGCGTATAGGCTTTTTGTATATCCCTGAACTATTTTGGGCGTTCCTTGGTTTTTGGTTCTTGCCTGTGTGCCTGTCATCTTTTATGCATTTCTGGAAGTTACAATCCTGTGAAAATGGTTTTTAGCATCCTGTATGGACATATCTGCATTATCTTTATTTCATCGTCATTGTATTCTCAACAGACATATAAGGAGTTACGATTATGTAAATTGTTTTCCTTACCTTCTTCTTTGATTTGAGGCAAAAAGTGATGTACATTTCCAGTTTTCAATTGGTTAAACTTGAAAAGTGAGGGTGTTGTGCTGAGGGTGGCTGAAGTAAGAATGATTTGCAGAAGAGTTTGGTTTATATTTGAGAAAAGCCAACAAATGAAACCAAATGAAAACTTTGGTATAGGCAAGTAAAACATGGAATACAGGAGAATTTGATTTTTTTTCCTGCAACTGTTGAATTGGAGGTTCAGAAAACCGGAATGACATTTATTTGGAAGGCGATAAGTTAAAACGGATATAAATTTAAAATTGATGGAATTGGTTTTCCTTTTCCAGCCTATAAAATGGTATCATTACCTGAAACTGTATTCTTACCAGAATTTATGTGCATTTGGCATATTTGGTCCATAGAGAAGCTTAGCTTGTTTTTCTTTAAACAGAAGCATTTTGAATCTATGGTTTATTCTGCACTTTGTGCTTAATTTGTATTTTATCTGTTTCATGTCAGGTGATTTTTAAGTGTGTGTGTTTTTAATATATATATATATATATATATATATATATATATATATATATATATATATATATATATATATATATATATATATATATATATATATATATATATATAAGCAGAATTTATAATCTCATTAGTTGCTGTGTGTTTGTGAAGGAATCTTTACCTGGGTGCAAAGGGATTTGGACTGTCTACCACAAGAATTTGCGCAATGATTCCTCAAAAGGGGCACTTGATGAAGATGAATATCATGCATACCTGATTATCAGCTTGGAAAATCGTACGATGGTATGCCATTGATAAACTTTTATCTCTTGAAGAAGATGGCAACATCCAAAAAAAAATATTACTGTTAAGTATATACAGCTCTGTTTGTCCTGAAACTTTTTATATGCTTTCAGCAGTGTATTACTGGTCCATTGTTGTGTTACAGGTACTACAGACAGCTAATAATCTTGAGGAGGTAACTGAAAATGTGGACTACTACGTCCAGGGAAGTACAATTGCTGCAGGAAATTTGTTTGGAAGGTTTCTTTTTTTGTCTGTCATTAGCCAACATATAAATATGTTTGTGATACTTGGTTTTGATGTTTTCCCCTTCTTTTCTCGTCTTTTAGAAATGCATAGTGATTTGAAATCTCATGCATTCAGTAATTTCTATTGTTTTTCATTGCAAGTCTCTGTAAGGGATGTAAGTTCAAGGGTCATTTTACTTAATTATTCTGTCATCGGTACTTCCAGAAAGTATGAGACAGGAATTAGTTCTAGGAAAATGGACCTTATTTTGGACTAAGAAAGGAATATTAGCACTAAATTGGAATAATGACTGAGCCAATGTCCCTTTCTGAACTGTATTTTGATCTCTTCCAAAGATTATACTACATGTCCACGTTTTGACTGAGACTAAAAGTTGTTTGTGCTAGGAGGTGAAATTCTTAATAGATCAGATATTAGTTTCCTCTCTATAAAAATATGTTTTCAATATCTGTTTTCTTCTTTGATATTCCAAATTATTCTTTTGGATCATTGCTCATATGTATTATATGATCTTTTGAATTCCCTCAATGTGATGAAGCTTTGTACTTTGATGATCTTCCTCAATTTTGTATGGGTCCTAATAATTGGAAACATTTTTTCTGATTTTTTGCAGACGCCGTGTTATTCAAATCTTTGCTAGTGGTGCTCGGATCCTTGATGGTGCTTTTATGACTCAAGATTTGAGTTTCAAATCTTCCAATTCCGATGCCAGTTCAGCTTCTGAAGGGACAATTGTTTCATCTGTTTCTATTGCTGATCCTTATGTGTTGTTGAGAATGAGTGATGGAAGTATTCAGCTTCTTGTTGGAGGTATGTAAAGACGTTACTTTTTTATATTTTGATAAATGGTATTTCAGGAAAATGAATTTTGATTATTGATAACCTGAAGGCTATATTTCCCGAAACCGATTATCTCTGGACTATTTTAGTTCCTGCTAAGAGAAACAATTCGATCCTCTTTCGCCAACTCGTGTTATGATTTTTTAAATATGAGGGGCCTACTTAGGTTAATTTAACAGATCAAATATAAGCAGATGTGAACCGAGATGTTCACCCAGATAGCGGTTCATTTTGGAAATAAGGCCACATCACAATTGACTCTCAGAAGGAAGTCAGAAGAGTAATATAGATACCATAGTGATCGAAGATGATGTTTTTCTGATGTTATTCCGTTGAAGTTCACTGATTTGTGAACTCGACTGCTAAATGAACTCCCCAGGTCACAGTTTGAAATATTTCATTAGGAAATTTGCAACCTTGACTGCTCTCCCCAGTCTTTCAATTTGAATTATATTCAAATGATAGACAAAACCACTTCATCAGTCCCAAAATTGGCAGCACTCGCCGTTATATTCCATAACTGCAGCGCTTAGAATGGGATATACTGAACTTGAACCTGCATGAAGATGCTGTATTATATTCTCCTATGTCAATTTTGATCTCTAATGAAGTTCCGTTATGAATATAAATTCTATTTTCTAATAAAAAGCTTTTTAATCGGGAAGCAACTTTTTGCATGATTGTTATTATATTGGAATGAAATTTGTGATATCATTGACATTTGAATTTAATATCGCATGTTTGCTAAGTTTTGATACGAAAATTTTGAGCTCATCATAGATGATAGAACAACAATCTTTTAGTTAGAAAAAATCGGTGAGGCTATTTAAAAAAAATATATATAGAATTGGAATATTTTTTTTTGAGGAGCAAAGTTTTTTGGCTCCTATAAAAGAAGCTGTAGCAACATGGAGTTCTTTCGGATAGCGCGTAAATTTGGACTTCCATAACTTTATTGTGTCATTATATACTAATAGGTTATTATTCAAAATATATGATTTACTTTTCTGCAGGCAGTGCTTGTGCTTGTACTATACATTCGTACAAATATGTCTTAACCCAGTGACGTATAGTTTTAAATGTGATATCCGATTATCTATTACAGTTTACCTCTTTTGAGAAAGAACGAATATGGAAAAACTCCATTTTTCTTCTTCTTCTTCTTCTCTTCTCTCTCTTGGGTTGGGTGGTGGATGGTGGAGTGGGGTTTGAGGGGGTGGGTGCTAATTGAATAGTCTACTATTAGGAAATTCATATTTAAGCATTCCTTGCATGTTGGGATGCATACATGAGCATGTGTGTATAAGTATGTATGTATGCACCTTAACCTATGTATATCTCAGGGGATGGATGTAGGCATCTAGAAGGGACTCTCTAATTAGGTCTTCATTTTTTATAATCGTGTCTGCTAAACTGTACTTTATTTAGTTTGACACGGTACTTGTTTCTTTCTCCTAGATCCATCGACATGCTCAGTTTCTGTCACCATTCCACCAGTATTTGAAAGCTCTGATAAGATGGTAGCCGCTTGTACTCTCTATCATGATAAAGGGCCTGAATTATGGCTTCGGAGAACAAGTACTGATGCCTGGCTTTCTACTGGAATTGGAGAGTCGATTGATGGGGCTGATGGTACGACACATGATCAGGGTGATGTATACTTGGTTCTGTGCTATGAAAATGGAAATCTTGAGATGTTTGATGTGCCTAATTTCAGTAGTGTTTTCTCGGTTGATAAATTTGTATCTGGAAAGAGCCACATTTTAGATACATTTTTTCACGGCCCAGCAAATGATCCTGTAAAACTCATGAACAAAGATCCTGAAGATGTTGGACGTGGCAGGAAAGAGACCGCTCACAATATAAAGGTTGTTGAGCTGTGCATGCAGAGATGGGATGCAGAACAGAGCCGCCCCTTTCTATTTGGAATATTGTCTGATGGAAGCATTCTCTGTTACCATGCTTACATTTACGAAGATTCGGATAATGCTTCTAAGACTGATCTTGGCAGTATAAGTTCATCTAGGCTTAGGAATTTACGATTCGTCCGTGTCTGCTTGGATTCATACGCAAGAGAGGAGACACCATCCGGAACCTCGTCACAGCGTATATCTGTTTTCAAGAATGTTGGTGGTTTACAAGGTTTATTCCTTTCTGGGTCTAGTCCAGCTTGGTTCATGATGTTTAGGGAGCGGCTGCGGATTCATCCACAGGTTAGTTTGGTTCACTTAATAAGCAATAGTTTCAAAGCATTACGGCGTAGACATACTTCAAGATTCCAATTCTTCATATTCAGTTTTCCTATCTTAGTGAGATTATTTTACCATTAAGCAGTCTTTTATCTTTTCATTGCAGGTGTGTGATGGACCCATAGTTGCCTTCACTGTTCTTCACAACGTGAACTGTAATCACGGGTTCATTTGTATAACTTCAGAGGTTAGCTAATTATATGATTCATTTTGAGGTTTCCTTTCTATGTATCATAACATTTTACCTTTTATTCTCTTTAGGGTGCTCTGAAAATATGTCAACTTCCAGCTTTATCTTATGACAATTATTGGCCAGTACAAAAGGTAAGCAATCATTAGCTTTATTTTTTCTACTATACACAAGTTACTTTATATGGAATTGCAAATTTGTATTTGATGAGCTCATATAGAATGTTTCTGCTTCTTGATGGTGTCGTTGCTCTCCATGGTTTCTCTTATTCTAATATCTTTCTGAGAACCGTCAGGTGGCATTGAAGGGAACTCCACATCAAGTTACTTATTTTGCTGAGAAGAACTTGTACCCGCTCATAGTTTCTGTTCCAGTGAGTACATTCTTTATCTTTGCAATCTTTCCCTTATGCTGTATCACCGGCCAGTTTGTTCATTTTGTTTATGTTGGTCCATAAGAATATTAACTCGAAATAATCAAGTCTGTTTTTATGATTTAAGAAATTACTTGATCGAATTCTACTTCCTCCATCTTCCTGTGAGCAGAATGGTGATATGATAAAAAGTGAAAGAAATGGTTAATCTGTCATATCTTCTTTGGTAATTTTAATGTAGGTGCTGAAGCCACTTAATCAAGTCCTCTCATCTCTTATTGATCAAGAAGCTGGAAATCAATTTGAGCCTGATAACTTTAGCTCAGAGGGGACCTATCCTATGGAAGAATTTGAGATTCGGATTATGGAACCAGAAAAATCTGCTGGACCGTGGCAAACAAGGGCGACAATTCCAATGCAAACTTCTGAGAATGCTCTAACTTTACGAGTTGTCACATTGTTTGTAAGTTAAAACCTTGCACATTCAGCTGCTTCATTTGTTGTTGCATGTCTTACATAGATTTCAAAAATAATTTGTGGAATCATCTTTCGCTTGCTTTTTTGTGTTGTATATGCTTTCAGAACAGCACAACACAGCGAAATGAGACACTTTTGGCAATTGGAACTGCTTACGTGCAAGGGGAGGATGTCGCAGCACGAGGACGGGTGCTCTTGTATTCTGTTGAAAAGAGTTCTGACAGTGCTCAAACCAAGGTAGTTTGTCGTTTCATTTTAGCCTTGAACCCACAGTAGTTTGACAGGACTTCTTCAAAACCTTCAATCCATCACTTTGCCTATAGTGTGTTTTGTCTTGCTCTTGAATCTTTTTATTCCTTAAATGCATGAAAGCTTAATTTCTTTCTTAGTCTTTTCAGGTTACCGAAGTCTACTCCAAGGAGTTGAAAGGTGCCATATCGGCTCTTGCATCACTTCAAGGTCACTTATTAATAGCTTCAGGTCCTAAGATTATCCTGCACAAGTGGACGGGTTCTGAGTTGAATGGCGTTGCTTTCTATGACGTCCCACCTCTCTATGTTGTGAGCTTAAACATTGTACGTGCCCCAATATTTTCATTCTCGTCGATTTGAGAACCACATGAGATATCATCTAAGTGCCACTAGTTATGATGAGTAAATGTAGCTGTAATTGACTAATTCATACTTTATTGTTTAACTCCAATGTAATTAGCTCTCTGCCTTATTCTAGCTCAATTGTATGCAAGGACGGGCTATGTTTGCAGAAATAATAACTGTGCTTAACAGAGTTTTAGTTCTTCGTCTCACTCACGCCACTTAATAACTTATGAATCGGTGAAAGTCATAGTGGCTCAGTTAATTTTAACTTATTTGTATTTCGCGGTGTAGTTTTAGACTGGTAGTTTGATGTGGAGACATGATATCTGTAACTTAGTTAGGCGTAACCACATTCCCTTATCATTGTTAAGTCAATGACCTCGAAATCTGAAATGATTTCAGGATCTTTAGTATTTAACGAGATCTTGGTTGCCCCACTTCCTCTAATTTCAGTTTCAAGGAAGCTAAATGTTGCCCGTGTAACATTAGAATATACGCATTCCACCCGCTCTTTGTTTGAATTTAGATATTTCATTGTATAGAATAATCAAGTTATTGTGACTTGTGAGTCATCCAATTGGTGGTATTAGGCTTTTGCTGTGCTGTTATTGTTATGTCACGTTTTTCTAGATTCTCGTTGGTGCACCAATTTGGTCAAGATTCAGATGTTTGACTAAGTTCTGTTGATGAGAAATTTGCCTAGATCTATCATCTTACAATGTTATAGCTTTTTTGCTGACTTGCTTTTCATAATGATAATCCTGCAGGTTAAAAATTTTATTCTTCTTGGTGATATTCACAAAAGCATATACTTCCTTAGTTGGAAGGAACAGGGCTCTCAGCTTAATTTACTGGCTAAGGATTTTGGTTCACTTGATACTTTAGCAACCGAATTTTTGATCGATGGAAGTACTCTGAGCCTCATTGTTTCAGATGAACAGAAAAATGTTCAGGTTTGTACATTTTGATGTCTTAAGAAAAGCTTATGAAGTTATCATTAAATTGTTGCTGTTTTATTATGGAGATTCTGCTGTCTGGTTATCAGTTTAATTTTCTAGTATAGGCAAAGTCACCGGCCTAATAAGATTTGAAGTAAGAGTGTTTATTTCATATTTTTCTGGCTATAGCATGAGTAAAAAGGTGTGATGCATGTTTGAAATTTTTTTGATTTTTTCTTAGGCCTCATTTGGTTTTAAGATTAAAATCTAATGAAAACCCAATTGTATTATTGGACCATGGGAAAAGGCAAGACAGACCATGATAAAATAATATTTCCGGGTCGACCCGGAAAATTATTGAATTTACTGAACATCAAACAAAGTTCAATATTTACTTAATCATGGCTAATGTCCCCAAAAAACGAGGCCTTAGTGTACAATGAGAAACCAATATTGATGGTTTAGTGTTTCTGAGATATCTTTTGCTCTTTCGCTCTCCTTTTTCGACTTCTAGGGAAATTACACCATGTCAGATCTTGCCATAAATATCTTATGAGTATATTTTTGCGTACATATATAGATATTCTACTATGCTCCAAAGATGTCGGAAAGCTGGAAAGGACAGAAACTTCTACCAAGAGCAGAATTTCATGTTGGGGCCCACATCACCAAGTTTCTTCGGTTGCAGCTACTTCCCACATCTGCTGATCGGACAAATCCTGGCTCTGACAAGACAAACCGTTTCGGATTACTTTTTGGAACCCTCGATGGCAGCATTGGCTGTATTGCACCTCTCGATGAACTCACTTTTCGACGGCTTCAATCACTGCAGAAAAAGCTTGTTGATTCGGTTTCCCATTTCGCTGGTCTAAATCCAAGATCCTTTCGCCACTTCCACTCGAATGGAAAGGCTCATCGCCCTGGCCCTGACAGCATTGTTGACTGTGAGCTGCTTTTCAAGTACGGTGCTTTCTTCCATCCTTGTCTGATAATTCAAAGCTGTGTCATGGCTATTTTATTTCTATTTAGGTGCTTTATAACTCTGTGATCCTAATTTTCGTCATCGTAATTCACATGCCTAATAATGTTATATCTTTATTTTATTTTTGAGAAAAAAACAATGTTATATTCACTGCAAGTATATATATATATACACATTTATTAGATCCAAGAATTTGGTCTTTCAAGGGCTAAATATATACTAAAATTCTCCGAGGCGACTATATTGTATTCGAAAAACAAATTAATTATATATATGTAAAATATTTCATATATAAAGATTTTAATGCTGGGTTGGCTTTATTTTGCTAATCCTAATTGCCCCTCCCTCATCATTGGCTTGCAGTACTTGTTAGGTGATTTTGATGCTAATCAATCACTGTACTGTGTAATATAGCATATGTATTCTGGTGCTAATATTTTATTTTTATTTTTATTTGCAGTTTCGAGATGCTCCGATTAGAGGAGCAGATAGAGATTGCTCAACAGATAGGAACAACGAGAACACAGATTATGTCCAGCTTAAACGACCTCACTCTTTCGACAAGCTTCTTATGAACATTGCCCTACCTACATGTGGACTGGTTGAGAGCTTGAGATTGAAGATATAACTGAATCATCCTGGATAAAGTTCTGTTTCTTTGCTGTATATGCAATGGCAACCTTTCATTTGTTTACTTATATTTCTACAGTGAAAAGTGGTGTAATCGTATGCTATATGCAAGTGCTCTATATGTAATGGCAATCTGGTATCCCATACTTTCTCAATTTATATTCACTAATGAATGTTTGATTTGATCGAAAGTACGTCACGTAAAATGACTTCTTAAGATACTTCGTTTATGATCATGATTTGTAAAAAAAATATTTAAAAACAATATTTTTTCATGCATGAATGAATACTTACGCATGCAATAGGCACAATGCAAGACTGTCTACACATGGCTTAAAGCATGGTGAGAGGTCTCTTGCGCTTGTATTAGGCACAAGTTGTGTGTACCTGCTTTAGGCTCAAGAGTATGCGCAATCAGGCATGAATTAATAATTAACATATTTTTTAATTTTTTTTTACCTCATTGCTAGAAGAATTATGGGCAGAATGAATTTAGGGGCACGTTTTGGCTGAACTTATTTTAAACGGCTGATAAACTCGTACTTCTGATAAGTTGTTTTAAGAGTTGATAAGCTGTTACGTCTTATTTTTATTTTCAATTTTTTTTTTAAAGTGTTAGGATGATAAACTTATAAGTCATTTTTACTTACTATAAGATCTTAAATACAAATGTGGGATAATGGTACTAAAAGAAAATCTTATTTCCTCTATTTTATGATTTTTTAAGAACTTAATTTATTTTGTACTAAACATTTTGAAAGAACTTATAAGCTTTTTTGAATAGCTTATTGTAAAGTTAGCCAAACACCCTCTTATTCGTAAGTTTCATGATTATTATTACTTACCTGACATTATAATGAAAAATAGCATCCTTAAAAATTCACATTTAAGAGGACAAATGAAAGTTCAATACTTTACTATTTTTTTTTTTAATTTTCTTTTTATTAGAAATTATCCAATATTTAAAACAAAGTCCTTTTGTAAAATGAGATTGAACAAAAGTCAAAACTAAACTGGGCCCCATCTTGCTTTCGCATAAGTTTACAGCATCCCGCACACACATCTACATATACACACACCTACCATAAACCCTCGCTGGACAAATATTAGGGGAAAATTAAAAACTCGACCTTGAAGAAAACAACAACTAGGGTTTCGAAAATCACCTAATTTTCAATACAATCAGCATTGAATCATTCCCCCGGAACGGTAACGGTACTCTCTCTTGCTGTAATTTCTGGTTTATTTCTTAATTGAATAATGGATCTGTGTATACAACGATGAACTATTTAGCGGTGAATTGCTATTTTTGTTTAGTGTTAAATTAAATTACCCAGACCTATCATTTTCTTCTGATTTTTGAATGCATGCAATTGGGGAAAAAAGAAAAGACTGTACCTTTGGCTGTAGATTGTATTTGAAATTGTATTCCCCCCTAAATACAGAGCCCTAATTTTTAGAATGCAAAGTTATCGATTGTAAAGAAAGAGTGGTAAAGGTTGGCCAGTGCTTGGTAACTTTCTTACTAACTTGTTAATTCTTCAGTTTTTTCGGTGAGCTTTTTCTCTTTAAGTTTTTGAAAGAGAGGTCTGTAGTTTGTTGATTACATGCTGAACTGTTCTTGTTAGCTGACCTACTTCCTTGTATCAAAGATTGGAAATTAATGATTGAATTTGGGAATTAACACTGAAATTTGATCGTTTTCATCAATGTTAGTTGCATATGACTGCCGATGGCATAATTGGATGTATTTTCACATGTTTGCAGATGTCAAGTCATGAAGTTGATGGAAACTCCTATTCTCCTTCTGCTTTGGACTCACCCAGAGAATCAGACATGCAACAACTAGCTCAAAAAGGGTCATCCAATTCAGGGTCCAAGGTTTGCATCTCTACTAATATAACTTAACTTGTGCTGGCAAAGAATTTGGTTTTTTGAGTACTTTTCATGGAATATGATGAAAGAAGGGTCATCCAGTTCAGGATACTCTTAATAGAATATGATAAAATAATGCTATGAGATAATTTGATGTTTGTTTTTTGGCATATAATTTATGCATTAAAATAGGAATTATGGAAAAAAATCCTTTTCGTGGTTGATGCACTGCAGTTATGACTTTCGGGCACAGTTTTTGTACCAAAAACTCTCCAAGTGCTGAGGCTATTGGTATCTATCTTATTAGTGTAATAATAGCTGAACTATATTTATATGAGCTCTGAATAGTGGAACTATTGCTGTTCACATGGTGGTATTCATAAATATGCTCTTTTGTTTTTTGAATTTGGTTGACCAACATTGGATGGAATTAAATCAATGTTCTGTTTCTTTGATATGTTTAAAATGTTTGTTTTTTAGTGTAACGTTTTGTCTGTTTCATGTGTTCTTACTGCTATAATTTTTACAGCATGGATCTCGTGACCATGAGAAAGACAGAGAGAGGGAGTCCTCCAGAAGTAGAGATAAGGAAAGGGAAAGAGGTCGTGACAAAGAGCGGGACAGGGACAGAGAACGAGATAGGGAGAGAGGTAGAGATAGGGAAAAGGATAGAGATAAAAATAGGGAGAGGGATCCAGACAAGGATCGAGATCGTGAGCGTCACAGGTACCGTAGTGAGAGAAGAGAGAGAGAGAGGACTAGAGATCCCGACGATGGAGATGACTATTACAGAAGCCGAGACCATGACAGGTTTAACACTGGAGCTTTTCTTCTTAGTTTTTGATATATTGTATTTGTCGTCTGTAGTTTCTCACTGAAATTTAGCTCCATATTACCAAGGGTCATTATGTTATGTTTGTAGTATTTCATAATATGTTTGTTTTCTAGCTAGCAATCTTTTCCCATCTACGCCTCTGCGGTATTACTTAATTATTCTTCACACCTAATGATAGGCTTGCCATATGCTAAGTTGTCATTGAGGTGGCTCTTTTCTGTTGCTTTAACTATTATCATCTTTCAGGCGGAGAGATCACGATAAAGACCGAGAGGATAGGCACAGGCATAGGCCTAGATCTCCGTCAAGGTCAAAGTCTGAGCACAGATCAAGATCACGTTCTCGTTCACGCTCCAAAAGGTAGTCTGACGTCATAATATTCCTTTTTTTTTTATACCTTTGTTTCTGGCCAGGGAGCCTTTCTAATGCAAGATGTTGCTATACAAGCTAACTGTTTCATCTTCATCTTACAATATATATTGAGCTATTTATTTAATTTTAACAAAGGTAAAAGATTAATTACATAATAACCTGATTCAATCATAATAATCTGCTAGTTGATAAGTGCAGTAAAATTGAATTATATTTTCCGATAAAATGACAAATTGATTTTGACCTCTATCTGCTGGTTTTGAAAATGTTATAAAATTTGTAAAAGACATCTATTAAATGTGTCTCTTTTCAGTGGCTACATTCCAGAATATAAAAGTTTAATGGTATTTACAATGAAAATACAAGTCTTCCAATAAGGACAAAGGAAACCATTGGTAATGCTGGAGGTTTAAGGATTTCAACCGAGCGGACCTTTATTATCAATCATAATGTGATTTTACGAACTTGACATTGATCCATTGATAATTAGCTGGGATTTGTCTTTGGAATTCTGAATACCATGTTATCTTGGTTCTTGAGTCTCAAGTTTTGACAGATCAACTTACATGTCCTTACTTTTGAATATAGTGACAGAAATTCTGTTGGTCATTGTTTGAATTTGTGGGGAAGTAATGTTTAGACATATATACATACTGTACTTTACTCATTATAAATCATCAACAATTTCACCTTACCCCGTCACTAATGATGCAACTTTAATAGCAAAAGGACGAGTGGTTTTGACATGGCACCCCCTGCTGCATCATTGCTTCCCAATGCCACCGCTATTCCAGGTATAAACAACTAGTTGCTTTACATTTAAGTTACAATGATAATTATTACTTTCTCTTTGATATAGCCTGGAAAGTTCGTATCGAAATACATTATTTCATTTTGGTAAGCGTACTCGGTTTTTCAATTTGCTTATATCACGTTATGGAGCAATGGTCCCTCGATTGGCTATTTGGTTTTTTTCATTTAATTATTTGCTTAGTGATGGAAACTGAGAGTGTTTTTTGGTTTCTTCTTGTGTTTGGTGTTTCTTTGTTGTTTTGTATGTCCTATGTTATGTTCTAAGAAGGCAACGTTAGGCTACTAGCCCCACTGTGCTGTCAATGGGCGTGACCCGACTTCTGTAGCTTTTATATGCAAGGAAGAATCAAAACAGGTCTTGTCCATCTTCAACCAGGATTTGCAGCTTTGGTAGTTTTACGGATACTTTAAATAAAATATGCTGTTGTCTCCAGCACAGTATTTAATAATTGGATTGTGATCTGCCTAAAACAAAAATAATTAAATATTATGACAGAAAATACTGATTTTTTTTTTTACTTAAGAATAAGAATAGTATGCCCATCTTTAAATGTGATCCATAACTTGTTTTAGCATTCACAGGTCAGATGCCTGGGATCCCTCCCACAATGCCCGGAATGTTTGCAAATATGTTACCTATGGCAGCTGGACAGGTTTATACTTTACTCTCTTTGACAATTATTTATTCAAGCTTTTTCCATTCAACTTCTAAAGATATAAATTGTTTGATGGCAGTTTGGAGCACTCTCAATGATGCCTGTTCAGGCAATGACTCAGCAGGTATTTGTTTGTTCATTTGACTTTGTTCTTGTAACATACATTCATGAAGGATATTCTTTTAAGTGTTATTTTATCAGGCTACAAGACATGCTCGACGAGTCTATGTTGGTGGACTTCCTCCCTCTGCTAATGAACAGGTTATATTCCAACCATTATAATTTTCCAATAAACTTTGCTATTTTTGGCACAGCATAGACATCTGCAATCAATTACATTTGAAGAAGCTTTTGCTTCTCGTATTTATCATAAACAAACTTTTGCGGTTTGGTACTTGGAACGGTAGTACTCGTTATTTGTCAAGCATGTAGTTTTGTGTGCCTTTTAGTCTCCTTGATTCTTCCTCTGTTACTTTTGCTTACATGCTACCTTTTGTCTAATATTGTTCTTTATTCTTCTATTGTAGACTGTGGCGACCTTCTTTAGTCATGTTATGTCAGCAATCGGAGGAAACACTGCCGGTCCAGGTATTTAACGTGCATTTACAAATTCCTTTCTAATTTATAATGAGTTAAGTCCTAATTAAGGAATCTAAACTTCTCTTTGTGATTCCAGGCGATGCGGTTGTTAATGTGTATATTAACCACGAGAAAAAGTTTGCTTTTGTGGAGATGAGATCTGTTGAAGAGGCTAGTAATGCAATGGCTTTAGATGGAATTATTTTTGAGGTATTAATAAGTTGTTACTGAAACTTCTAATTCCAGCTCCATCTGATTACATTTCTTTATTGTACGATTTCGACCGATGTTTTCTTTTCCATTGTTAGCATAGTTAATCTAAAGTAAGTGATGTTTTTATGTTCTTGGTTATTCAGGGTGCACCAGTTAAAGTGAGAAGACCCAGCGATTATAACCCTTCACTGGCTGCGACTCTTGGCCCAAGTCAACCGAATCCCGATCTAAATCTTGCTGCTGTGGGGTTGAGTCCAGGATCTTCTGGTGGACTTGAGGGCCCTGACCGTATATTTGTTGGTGGTTTACCGTATTATTTCACAGAGGCACAGATAAGGGAGCTGCTGGAGTCATTTGGACCGCTTCGAGGCTTTGATCTCGTTAAAGATAGAGAAACAGGGAACTCCAAAGGCTACGCCTTTTGCGTTTACCAAGATTTATCGGTTACAGATATTGCTTGTGCAGCTCTAAATGGGATAAAAATGGGCGATAAAACACTTACTGTTAGGCGTGCTAACCAGGGCACTACACAGCCTAAACCTGAACAAGAGAGTGTGTTAATGCATGCACAGCAACAAATAGCATTGCAGGTAACGGAATTTTATTGCTGATTTTTTTTTATCAGTGTTTGACTCTGAAAACGATGTGACCTAAGTTAATGGTGCAACTGTTAACACGTAATTTTTTTTTTTTTTTTGCAGAGAATAATGCTACAACCTCCTGTAATAGCTACAAAGGTCGTTTGCCTAACGGAAGTGGTAAATCCAGAAGAGCTCAAAGACGATGACGACTATGAGGATATAGTGGAGGACATGAAAATCGAATGCGCGAAGTTTGGTAATTGCTTTAAAATGGGACCCTTTTTTTCTCTCTAAATTGAACTGATTACAGCAAACGTTCATGGCACTGAAATCTTTTTTCCTTTGTGTGTTTTTGTATTCTCTGTTTTACAGCCTTCTCAAGTCCCTTAATCTGCTAACCTGAAGCCACACATAGATACAGAAAACTCGGGAATCTTATTAAATACCTATTCCACCCTTAATTAAATCATTCATCTCAGCACTGACATTATTTTTTTCTAGGTACTTTGGTAAATGTTGTCATCCCTCGGCCACTTCCCAGTGGCGAAATGGGTCCAGGTGTAGGAAAGGTTCGCTGCTGAGCAATTCTTGGTTTTTATGTCCACTGTTATTTTACCATTTTACCCTCGTATCTCTTTCTTGGACTATGGGTAAAACTGACATTATTTTCTCTAGGTCTTCTTGGAATATACAGACACTGAAGGTGCTACAAAAGCAAGGCAAGGACTGAATGGTAGGAAATTCGGTGGCAATGAAGTGGTTGCAGTTTTCTATCCAGAAAACAAGTTCGCTGAGGCGGATTACGAGGGCTAGCTTATTGCTATTGGCTTTTGCCACATCATCATCCTCAGTATCTCCTATGAAGATATCTGAATTTTGATGTTAGATATGATAATCTTTAAATAGGTTTATGCTTCTATTCGTACAATTTTGCAGGTTTCCTTTTTAATGTGCGCTTGAAGACCATGCTCAAGATTTGATTCTGGATCAGGACATTTGTGTTATGGTGTTTTGGATGATTAAATTAAATAGAGATAATGAATGAATTTACGTAGTCGATGATTTGGTCTCCATAGAGCTTTGTAATCTGCCAAGTAGTCGTTGTTTGCTCTAAATTTCTGATTGATTAGTTTCGAGTTGTGCAAGTTTTTTTTGGTTTGTGTTAAGAGTGGACTATATGTTGATCTCTCCTCAAATGTAACCATGTTCTCTATTTGCTTTTCTATTTGCGCGCTTTGAAGTACAAATATTTAAATTTTTAATGATATAGTTTTGTTAAAACTGTACTACGTGGAGAATAAACTTATTTTTCTAAAATATTTCCAAAAACACTCCAAAAAATTTCAAACTAAAATTATTTATCTTTCAAATTCTTCTTATGGAAATGGAATTTTATTTTTCTAAAATATTTCCAAAAACTGTCAAAAAAAAAAAATTAAAACTAAAATTATTTATCTTTCAAGTTATTCTTATGGAAATGAAAATGTTCTTATATAAAGAAATTGTTTTTCAAGTTATTCTTATTGAAATGAAAATGTTCTATTCTTATTGTTTCTTAGAGGAGAGAATAGTCCGTTATCCAATAACCAAGAAACCAATAATCAAATGAAATTGTTTCTTAGATTGTTTCTTAGAGGAGAGAATAGTCCGTATGAAATTGTTTCTTAGATTGTTTCTTAGAGGAGAGAATAGTCCGTTATCCAATGACCAAGAAACCAATAATTAAATGAAATTGTTTCTTATTTCAAGTTTTATATAAATAAATTGTTTTTCAAATCAAGTTTTATATAAATAAATTGTTTTTCAAATTATTCTTAGAGGAGAGAATAGTCCGTTATCCAATAACCAAGAAACCAATAATCAAATGAAATTGTTTCTTAGATTGTTTCTTAGAGGAGAGAATAGTCCGTTATCCAATGACCAAGAAAACAATAATTAAATGAAATTGTTTCTTATTTCAAGTTATTCTTATGGAAATGAAAATGTTCTTCTTATATAAAGAAATTGTTTTTCAAAAGTTATTCTTATGGAAATGAAAATGTTCTTCTTATATAAAGAAATTGTTTTTCAAGTTATTCTTCTTAGAGGAGAGAATAGTCCCTTATATGAAATTGTTTCTTAGATTGTTTCTTAGAGGAGAGAATAGTCCGTTATCCAATGACCAAAAAACCAATAATTAAATGAAATTGTTTCTTATTTCAAGTTATTCTTATGGAAATGAAAATGTTCTTCTTATATAAAGAAATTGTTTTTCAAGTTATTCTTATGGAAATGAAAATGTTCTAAAAGACATGAAAGAAATGAAATTGTTTTTCAATTTATTCTTATGGAAATGAAAACGTTCTAATAGAAATGAAATTGTTTCTTAGAGGAGAGAATAGTCCGTGTTCTACTAGAAATGAAATTGTTTCTTATGGAAATGAAAACGTTCTAATAGAAATGAAATTGTTTCTTAGAGGAGAGAATAGTCCGTGTTCTACTAGAAATGAAATTGTGGAGAGAATAGTCCGTTATCCAATGAAATTAGAGAATAGTCCGTTATCCAATGACCAAGAAACCAATAATCAAATGAAATTGTGAATTTGTTTCTTGTTTCTTAGATGAGAGAATAGTCCGTATCCAATGACCAAGAAACCTATAATCAACGTCGTTTGTGAAATCAACGTCGTTTGTGAGATGACCATTTGTTTGTTGATTGATTTTGGCCTTCCAGCAGACTATAAAAGCGCCAATCCGCCGACTATTCATTCTATTCATTTACCGACTATTCATTCTATTCCTTTATGCCTAAAGTGGGTTGTACAATAATGTGAGATGCGAAAAAACTATTCACTGGTACTTGAATATTAATAAAATGATTTGTTGTATTTAGTTCTTATTATACTTCTGTTTTTTACTACATGCATTGCAATTCAAGTGTTCAATCTAACAAACCATACTAGTAGTCCTATTTAAGTAAATTGGTCCTTAATAAACGCTCAATATCGATCTAATTCGAAGGTGTGTAATCATTATCTACATAGTTTATATTGAATAAATACAAAGGGAGACTTAAAACTAGTCTAAAAAAATATTGAAACAATCTACACGTACTTTAGAAGAATTCTAGAAGTAGTATCTTTTGTCATTGTGATTTCAATAATTTTGATTTTTGATAGTTTTTTATGGAAATTTGAATTATATATGAAATTTGATTTTCGATCTCCCCCCTCCTCCCCCCACCTACCCCTCCATGTGGCTGACAACTTAACATGTTGAAGTTATTCATATAGAATTTCTTAGGAACATTCATATTTTCTTATTTTGGTAGAACTTATTCGGTCAGCTTAAATACTTCATTCTCATCCATTTCATCTCATCCTCAACACCATATCCACTCCAAAAATGTTGTTTCATCCACATCTCCACCTCTCCTATTAATCCCATATCGGCAATAGCCTGATTTCTGCCAACCACGTCACTCGATAAAAAATATTTTTACCGATCTTTGATATGAACTAACTAAGCACGCAAGCTAGTGCCGAGCTGGATGAAAGAGTTGACGTTTCGGATGTGCTGCATGTGCCAAGAGGACCAATTACACGAGCTCGAGCCAAGCAACCATGTTTTACTTAGTGAAAGACGAGCTCCGAAAGTAAGAACTGATGAGGCTTAGTTCGATCCAAGATGAACAAAATTGGAGTGAATTATCGGAGCAAATTGTGAAGCAAACCGAACTCAAATACTTGAGTTCGTCTAGTCATCCAACCGATAAGACACGATTTATTTATTTAATTTTTGTATTTTATTAAGAGAAAATTTATTTCTTATTATTTAGGATCTGATTTGGTTTATTCGACTATCTCCTTCCTAATTCCTATAGATAAGTTATTAATTATTTTCCTTATGAATAGGTTTTTTTTAGGGTTATTATTATTTGGAACTTTTTATGCATTAATTTTGAGAGATTAAAATTCTTCTTCGTTGTCCTTCAATAAATCGTCGGCATATTTTGTGAGTGGATTCTTGTGAATTATTCTTACCGATATATTATTGGTTTCTGATTCTTTATAATCACGGGGTCAATACTTCCACCTTGATAATATTGGTTTCTAGCTCTCTATAGCTATGTGATAAATATTTCGAATTCCGTCAATTGAATCTTTACTTTTGGACGTTTGTTTCTTGCTTGCGCGTAAGATAATTGTGTCTCGTAACAAGTTATACGGGTTTCATATTAGTCTCTGTCCTCATTTTCAGTCGAAAATGTGCATTTGTAGCCTAAGTTCTCTAACTAATTTTGTAGTCTAATTATTTAATTAAGTTGCCGGAGGGTCTTTTAACAAATTCAAAATACTCAGGCGGACAATTAGCTATACAAGATAGTTTTGAAAGATTTAACTAATTTCCCCTAATTATAATCAATAAAACATGAATCCCTTATTATATTTTGATCGATTTAAGTTGGCAAATTTCGTATGTAATGAAAGTAATATAATGCATATGTTGTTAAATTTGAATTTAAATATCTCAAATCATAGCAAACAATCTCACCTTTAAACTTTAGCAACTGACAAATTGGTGGATGTTTAAGAAAAAATAAATTATGCTAATTTCGGTTTGAGAATTTCCAATTTTAGACTGATTTTCAAATCCAATTTAAAAATTGAAAAGAAAATGGTTTTGCAATTCTTTAGACATACAAAATAGGGCAATATCGATGCTACAGCCGGTGATTTTCACCAGGCACCCTAATTGATAAGATTCCCACTACGGGTTCAGTTATGGCCTATTGAGTTTTAGAAAAATAATTATAAAATAAATTAAAAAGGACATATGTCAATAAGAGAGCTACCCAGTGAAAATCACCGGGTGTAGCATCGTATTCCCCAACAAAATAGTCAGTTATTTATTTCTGGAAAACTAAAATAATAGTGTCTAATTTTTAGAGTGGGTTTATTTTGTGTTGGGCCAGTCTGCTGTAAGAAAAGAGATGGGCTTAACAAACAAAAAAAAAAAAAAAAAAAAGAGAAAAAAAAGCAAAAAAACAAAATCGAAACCCTCATAAAATCGAAAACCCTATAAAAGCCAAACCCTAAACCCCTTTCGAACTCTCTTTCACCTCTGCGCCACAGAAAATCCGTCTGCCCGGCCGATTTTTCTCTGCTCAACAAAAACCTATATATATAATATGCCTTCGTTGTTGCTAGCAGAAGAAATTCAATCCGCCGACAACAAGATCATGAAGCCAGCAGATATGGAGTTGGCCGCCGTCGAGAAAAAGATCAAGAAGGAGAAGAAGTCCAGCAAAAAATCCAAGCTTGCGTCTGATCCTGAACCCGACGATTCCGTTACCCCCAAGAAGAAGAAGGAAAAGAAGCGAAAGGCTTTGGAAATTGGCGGCGGCGGCGGCGGCGATAACGAGGAGGAGAAGAGCGACACCAGCTCCGAGATGGGTGAGCCGATGAATAAATCGGGTAAGAAGAAAAAAAAGATTAAACTCGATGAGGAGAAAGTTGCCGAGGAAAAAGTTATCGAGGATCCCAACGCTGTGTCTAATTTCCGGATTTCGAAGCCGCTGAAGGATGCTTTGAAGGCCAAGGGTATTGAATCGCTGTTTCCGATTCAGGCTATGACTTTTAATTTGGTACTTGATGGTTCGGATTTGGTTGGAAGAGCGCGTACTGGTCAGGTTAGGGTTCTTCTTTTTTATTAATTGGGTTTTTTTTTCATATGCCTTTTGTTTTGTTTGAATTGATTGAATTTAGGGTTATACTCAATGCTATTGTGTTTTACTTTCACATATATTTATCAGGGTAAAACACTAGCTTTTGTGTTACCTATACTCGAATCACTGACGAATGGGCCCGCAAAAGCAGCACGTAAGACTGGATATGGAAAGGCACCCAGTGTTCTTGTCCTCTTGCCCACTAGGGAATTGGCCACACAGGTACCCGTTTTACGCCCTTCTAACAAATGTTGCATTTCGTCGATTTTTCGGTTTTTGCTGCTGCATTTGTGTTTTATGTTAATTTTATTTGTGACTGCAGGTGTTTGCTGATTTTGAATCCTACGGTGCATCGTTGGGGTTGACTTCATGTTGCCTGTACGGTGGTTCTCCATATCAGCCACAGCAGAATGCATTGAAAAGAGGTGTCGATATAGTCGTTGGTACTCCGGGACGTATTAAGGTTTGTTTTAGTTGTATCCCTTTTGTTTTATTAACTATTTCAAGGCATTTTCTTATCGGGGATTTTACGGAAATTATTTATTGCGCAGGATCACCTAGAGCGGGGAACTCTCAACTTGGGATCACTGAAGTTTCGAGTACTTGACGAGGCTGATGAAATGTTGAGGATGGGTTTTGTTGAAGATGTTGAACTTATTCTAGGTATGAAATACTGACAACGTATATTTTTCGGTTATTTTTCTTTTATTACATTGGCTGGTTGTACTAAATACTAATTTCATGATTGGAATTTAAAGGCAAGGTGCAGGATGTTACCCAAGTCCAAACACTTCTTTTCAGTGCTACTTTGCCAAGCTGGGTTAAGCAGGTTTGTTTGCTTCTGTTTCTGAAGAATCTTGATTTTACTGTACTCGATTCTAATTTGCTGCCGGACTTTCTTTTTTACGATGTTCTTAACATGACCTGACTTTTTTTTTGTCAGATATCCACTAAATTTTTAAAAGCGGATAAAAAGACTGCTGATCTTGTTGGTAATGAGAAAATGAAGGCCAGTACGAATGTAAGGCATATCGTTCTTCCTTGCTCTGCATCTGCCAGAACTCAGCTTATTCCTGATATCATCAGCTGCTATAGCAGGTTTTGTTTCTACCCTTGCTTTTCAATTCTCTTTTCAAATATGTTACCATTTTACTAACTCATTTCCATGTAACTAATACAGTGGGGGCCGAACTATTATTTTCACGGAGACGAAGGATTGTGCTTCTACACTTGCTGGTGTACTTCCTGGAGCACGTGCTTTGCACGGAGACATTCAACAGGCTACCCGTGAGGTAATAATCTTTGTGTTTACTTATGTTCTATTAGTTATTGTTAAGGTATTGGTAAATATTATCATAAACTTCGTCTATTATTTTACTACATGCATAAGACACGATCATTTGATTGAATGTGTATGTTAGAATGTATTGAACCTTCAAAGATTAAGAACAAAAAGATTAAGAACAACGTGCTTTTATGATTTCAGGTCACACTTTCTGGATTCAGATCGGGCAAATTCACAACCCTTGTTGCTACAAACGTAGCAGCACGAGGATTGGATATCGATGATGTCATGTTGATTATTCAGGTATGTTCAGATCAAGGGCTATTCTCCTACATATATCCTGCTTGTTTATTCAGCTTATGTGGCTACCTCCTGCCATAACATGGCTAACGAAGATAATTTTGTTGTGATTCAGTGTGAACCACCTCGTGATGTAGAGGCATACATCCATCGGTCTGGAAGAACTGGCAGAGCAGGTAAATTTCCGTTTTTTATTTATTTATAATTCTTGTAATTTAAAGTTACGATGTTTCTGTATTGACAAATGGTTCGATTTGCTACTTGCGCCAGGGAAAAGTGGTATTGCTGTAATGCTTTACGATCCAAGGAAGTCAAACTTCTCTAGGATAGAAAGAGAATCAGGTGTGAAGTTCGAACACATATCTGCTCCTCAGCCATCTGATATAGCAAAGGCTGCTGGTGCCGACGCCGCAGAAAAAATTAACGAGATCTCTGACAGGTATTATTATCGTGCCGTTTTCTATTGTTTAATAGTTGATTAAGTGGTGTGTATATAATATGACCAGTATTCTTATTTTACTTGAATCCTTTCAGTGTCATTCCCGTATTTAAAGCTGCTGCTGAAGAGCTATTGAAAACTTGTGACCTATCCCCAACTGACCTACTTGCTAAAGCACTAGCCAGGGCTGTTGTAAGTTTTCGCTTCTAGAACGGTTTTGTAATTAAAAAAACATTTTTTATTTCATAGTTGACTGAAGGTTTGCTTGTGTTAATGTTAATCAGGGTTACACTGAGATGAAGACTCGATCAATTCTCACTTCAATGGAGAACCATGTTACTCTACACCTTGAATGTGGAAGGGCCATGTACTCACCATCGTACGTGCTTCAAACCCGTGTTTTATATATATAATTATATTGTTTGGTCGTCTTTATTTATTTTACTAACCATAATGTCTTGCCAGGTTTGTCTACGGTGTTCTAAGGAGGTTTTTACCAGAGGATAAGGTTGAATCAATCAAGGGTCTCGCTCTAACTGCTGACGGAAAGGGGGCCGTATTTGATGTTGCTTCTGCCGATCTCGACATTTTTCTTGCTGGTGAGTTGATATTTGATTTTGCTTCACAGGCCTATTATTTTTATTCTCTGATGATTTAAAAATACTTATTTTTAGTTACGATGTGATAATTTTTATTGTTTGCGGATGGATGCAGGCAAGAATAATGCTGCTGGTGTAGAGTTACAAGTGGTTAAAACTCTGCCGAGTTTGCAAGAAAGAGAGCCGCAACAAAGGGGGAGATTTGGAAATGGTGGTGGTGGTTATGGTGGGCGTCGCGGTGGTGGCTTCTCCCAGAATAGAAGAGGCGGCGGTGGCGGCAGATTTGGAGGAGGAGGTCGTGGCGGTAACAGATGGTGAAGAAAATCACTTTCCGGCAACTACAAAACTAATTGATGCATAGAGCAATTAGCACATATGCTCAAGTGGGCCCCATACACGAATTTTGGTTGTTGAAGAGTTATTATGTGTTGTGAGATGAGAGGATGTAAATGTCCTATTTTTCTCCCTTTTTTTGTTTTTTCAATGTTTTTATTACGACTATTGCGCAACGTTTGCAATTTTAATTGTTTCGAGGGTTTCAAATGCTCTCTCTAATTTTGTTCTGATTCGTAGTATAATTGAAATGGAGATGTGAACTTCTGATATGTTTTGCTCGATTTAAAAGAATTTGGTGTTTTTCTGTTCGTTTGATCTTCCGTTTTCTGTTCTCTTCTAAACTTTGTGAGGTAAATTATTTCGGCGATGAATATACGTTTTGTGTCGTGCTCAGTTCTACAGAAGTTAGAAATATATTTGAGCTCATTTCTACAGAAGTTAGAAATATATTTGGATAGTAAAGTTTCAAATATTTTTGTTTCTTCCATAATTATTTATACAATTTTGATGCTTTAATTACAAATTGATAGTTGATAGTAAATTTATGGTAAATTACAAGCACCCCAGTGGCTGTTAAGATCTAATTACGAGAGTCAAATTCAAAATAATCAATAAGATTTCATGGAATATTCTCTAATTTGTACTTTTTTGTGCAAAAATGAAGTTTCTGATGAACAACGATTCCACTGAATTTGACACTGGATGTGGCCATCGCCGTTAGTTTTCACACCTTTTTGATCTTACACCATTTGATCTAAGTTTGAAAATTACAAAAAATCTACCCATCGCCGTTAGTTTTCACACCTTTTTGACCTTACACCATTTGATCTAAGTTTGAAAATTACAAAAAATCTACCCCTGCCAGTTTAAATAATTATTAAAAAAAAATAAAAAAAAAATTGTGGCTGATGTGGTGGACTATGTTTCTTCTTGTCTTGAATTTCTTCTTCTTCTTCTTCTTCTTCTTCTTCTTATTATTATTATTATTATTATTATTATTATTATTATTATTATTATTATTATTATTATTATTATTATTTTTTATTTTTTTTTAATATATATTTAAACTGGGAGGTGTGACTTTTTAGTAATTTTTAGACTTAGATCAAATGGTGTTAATGTCAAATGTGTGAAAACTAACGGCGATGACAAATTTTCAAGTACATGGGACAAATTAATACAATTGAGAGTAGAAGGGGGTAAAGTGATATCGAACCAAACTATCAGGGTGAAAATTGGAATTTACCCTATATATATTTATATTTGCATAGAGTAGAACAAATTATAACACTGTAGATCCAATAAAAGATCACGGCGCCGTCAAAACACCGCTTCACTTTCTCTAATTATCAAGACAATCTCTGAACTTTCCAGTGGCTTCTCCCTTTCGTTTCCGATTTCGTTTCCGATTTCTTGAGCCATAATTCTCCTTCTCTTCCATTTTTAACCCCCGAACAAATTTTCGTCCACAGTCTACATTCCCCACAATTAAAAAAAATCGTTTCTTGATATGATTTTCAATCCGTATTTGTATATATCTTCTTCAAATCCCAATTGACGCTACACACATCAATCATGGGTTGGTGCAGAAGATCGTCAAAATTGATTTCCGATGCTTTCCGATGCTACCGCAACTCAAAGATTCCCGCACCCAGAAAACCCCCCATTCAAGAACCCGGTTCAAGAACCGATCTCCACACCTTCTCTCTCCGGCCCAATTCAATCCGGTCAAACATCTCCGGCGGTCGCCGGAGGAGCCCTTTTCTCGACGGGGCGAAGAGGTTTTACTACGTCGACAGAAACCAAGTCCAACACTTCAAACCCAGGGGTTACAAAAAATGGCTCGACAATCCAAGAAACACATTCACCATCATCGCCGTTGGTTCCGGAATCGTGATCACGGTCTACTTTGGGAATTTAGAAACCGTGCCCTACACGAAACGAACCCATTTCGTGCTGTTATCGCAATCCCTCGAACGAGAGCTCGGCGACTCGGAGTTCAAGAAGTTGAAAGCGCAGTACAAGGGCAAAATCCTGCCCCCGCTCCACCCGGAAAGTATCCGGGTTCAACGGATATCTCACGAGATAATCGAGGGTCTGCAGAGAGGATTGACGAAAGAGGAAGTGTGGAGCGATGTCCGGTACTCGACCGAAATCGTTCCTTTCCCCAACAAGGCTCGTGGGCGCGAGCACGACGGAGTTAGGGCTTTGGGTGATGGTGTGGATGAAGGGAAATGGGATAAGGATGAAGAGATTTTCGACGATCGGTGGGTTGAGCAGAGTAGGCGAAAAGGTCGAGAAAAGGGGATGGAATCTCAGACAAAGCATTTGGAGGGACTTAAGTGGGAGATTATTGTCGTCGATGATCCCATGATTAATGCATTCTGTGTGCCTGGTGGGAAGATTGTTGTTTTCACGGGGCTGCTTGATCGGTTCAGAGCGGATGCTGAGGTGGCAACCGTCATTGCGCATGAGGTGGGCTGTAGTAGTAGTAATAATTTGGGATTACGGTTTAGTTTCTTGATTTTGGTTTTGAGTTTAACGAAGATGTATGTATGTATGTATGTATGTATGTATGTATGTATGTATGTATGTATGTATGTATATATGTATGTTATGTTTGGATTGTTTTGGTGGATAGGTTGGTCATGCTGTGGCGAGGCACTCTGCGGAACAGGTGTCGAAGAACCTATGGTTGACCATCTTGCAGTTGATTCTTTACCAGTTTTTCATGCCTGACGTCGTCAACACAATGTCGCATCTCCTTTTGAGGCTTCCTTTTTCTCGGAGGTACAATTTCGCTTTTTTGTTTTCATTCTTCGTTGCGGGCCGTTTGAGTTTCGACAATTTATGCTCGGTGGGTTCTTGTTGAAAGTGTTAAATCTCGGTTCTATTGCTTTCACTAGAACTAGTAACAGCCTGTCTTTGTTATCTGTTTGACATAATTTGTTTCGGCCACATGACTCGTATCTCCTGTTTTCTTTATATCGTTTTCGAATCATATATAGTAGTAGCAAATACACGTTGATTGTCGTGTGAAGTTCAGCTGGGAGTCGTAACTATGGAGCTAACACGTTCCTTGATTCTGACATAATTAATCGGTAGTTAAGTCATTCGACATTTGTTCACTCTAGAGATTCTCGTCACATTACTTTGTTGATGTCGATCGATGTCGTATTCCCTGTGTTATCTTTGCTCTGCTGAATAAAAATCGAGTCTTTATTCGATCACTCTTGGAATCTGACCCGTTCGTTCTTAATTTATTGATAGGATGGAGATGGAAGCAGATTACATAGGGCTGCTGCTACTTGCTTCGGCTGGGTACGACCCGAGGGTGGCCCCACAGGTTTACGAGAAGTTGGGGAAAGTGGCGGGAGATTCCGTATTTCAAGATTATCTTGCCACACATCCATCTGCTAAGAAGAGATCCCAATTCCTCTCTCAGGCTAAAGTCATGGAAGAGGCCTTCGACATTTACCGCGAGGTTCAGTCCGGTCGAGGCGTCGAGGGTTTCCTTTAAATCATTCCAAAAAAAAAAAAAAAAAAAAACTCCATTAAAACAGTTTAAATCCATCAATTAAGTGATTATGATGGTAGTGACACAAATACTTTTTATTACATGTTTTTTTTTTTGCTTTCTTCTGTACGTTGCAATATATATATATATATATATATATATATATATAAGAAAGAAATTTAGCTTCTCATTTTCTGCTATATAAAGGAAATTCAATCGACAGAATTATTCTTTTCACCCCATCTAATAAATGATTGAATCGCAATGGATGAATCTCAAGAACTGTATTTCACGGTTGATACACAACTGCAAGAATTTGAGGGAGCTAAATCAAATCCATTCTCACGTGATTGTAACACCTAATTTATCTCCAAATGATCGATCTTTTCTCGTCTCCCGCTTAGTGTTCTACCTCTGTACAATCTCTGATTCAACTGCTTCTCTACCGTATGCTAACAAGATCTTCAAATTCATCACACACCCGAGTGTTTTTGTGTATAATGCCATGATCAGAGCAAATGCGACTAAAATAAAGGATCCCAATTCGCGGGAGTCGTTATTTCTGTATAAAGAGATGCTGCGTAGTGGTCTGGTGCCTGATTGTATAACGCTCCCTTTTGTGCTGAAGGAATGTTCAAATCGGTTTGATGGGTTGATGGGTCGGGCCATCCATGCTCATGCGGTTGGGTTTGGGTATGAAGTTGATGTCTATGTGCAGAACGCTTTGATATGTTTGTACTCAGAGTGTGGAGTTTTGGAGGATGCGATGAAAGGTGTTCGATGAAATGCCCCACAGAGATGTGGTTTCTTGGAACTCGATGATTGTAGGGTGTCTACGAGGTGGAGAGCTCGATACGGCGTTGGGGTTGTTTCGGGCCCTGAACGCGAGGAAAAACATCATCACTTGGAACTCGGTGATCACGGGTTTAGTCCAAGGTGGAAGGGCGAAGGACGCTTTAGACATTTTCCACGAAATGCAAAGTTTGGGCGATGAAAAAGGGGACACCGTGGGCCCGGATCAAGTAACGCTGGCGAGCGCGCTCTCTGCTTGTGCCTCTCTCGGTGCAGTCGATCAGGGAAAATGGGTGCACAGTTACTTGGAGAGAAGTGGTCTGGAATGTGATATGGTGATTGGTACAGCTTTAGTAGACATGTACGGTAAATGCGGCTGCATCGGGACAGCTTTGGAGGTTTTCTACGGGATGCCGGTTAAGGATGTCTTGGCATGGACAGCCATGATTTCAGTTCTTGCACTACATGGCTATGGCGACAAGGCTTTTGAGGTTTTTACGGAGATGGAAGAAGCAAAGGTGAGGCCTAATGCCGTCACTTTCGTGGGGCTGTTATCTGCATGCGCTCACTCGGGCCTCGTGCAGAAAGGTCGGTGGTGCTTTTATAAGATGAAAGACTGTCACTTTATCGAACCCCAGGCTCAACACTATGCCTGCGTGATCGATATACTTGGTCGGGCCGGGCTTTTTGCTGAGGCGGAGGAGCTGATTAGAAGCATGCCCGTGAGGCCCGATGTTTACGTCTGGGGTGCGTTGCTTGGGGCATGCCAATTGCATGGGAATATTGAATTGGGTGAGAAAGTGGCGCGGTATTTGATTGATTCGGAGCCGAACAACCATGCTTTCTATATTGTTTTGTGTGATTTGTACGGTAAGTGTGGTAGATTTGACGATCGGAAGAGGATTAGAGCTTTGATGGAGGAACAAGGTGTGAGAAAGTCTGTTCCTGGTTCGAGCATGATTGAAGTAGATGGCGTTGTTTATGAATTCTCGGTGAACGGATCGTCTGAGATGATGATGCCGTTGGCTGCTTTAGAGAGCGTGTTGATGGAGTTGAGTAATGAGATGAAGATAGAAACGGTTATAAGTAATGGTATCATCGAGTAATTGATGGATAATTTTTTTTCTCGGGTTTTTTTTTTGTGTGTTAGATATAGATGTGTTGCTTAAGAAGTCGACGATGGATATGCTATCCCGTTCAGATGAAATTAGTAATCAATTTATCAAAGCATTCGATGACTCCAATGTGATTATATTATTATTACCTGTGGCGAATGAGGTGAAATTAGCTACTGAAATAACCGATCAATTATCGGGGGATGAATTTGTTCATTCGTCGATTGACTGAGTCAACTCTCGATAGAATGCAATATCTGCATGCAGATCTGACAGATATCCTGCAGTACATACACTTTGAAGTTTGAATATGTTTTTAGGACTGAGGTGGTGTTTGCAAAAGCCTTTGAAAAGTGATTTTGAGCATTTTGTAATACCAGTTTTTGCTTCTACTTCTCTTAAAATAAGCTGCTTTAAGCTATAAGTTAAAATTTTAAGCTGCTTTAAGCTATAAGTTAAATAGACAAGTAGATAAAACACAGAATTAATTAATTACGATATTGTCCAGTAATACTAATACAAAAGGACTGCTGACAAATTAATGAAGACAACATTAATTTATATCATATATGAAATGGATTATTGATCATGGGATAATTAATTAATTAAACTAATCAAAAGAAAGATCAGTTTAATTATTTGAGCTGATCATGTTTCCATCTTGTTGTTTATGCTGGATATCCATATAGTAATTCGCGAAAGCCTGCAGAGTGTTCATATCGGCCCTATAATGCTTCTGCGTAAATTCGAGAAACGACGGCCACCTGAAATCGGGATACAATCTTGGATTATCGGAATCCACCAATTCGTGCGGCGGCCGCACAACTTTGTCCTTCTTCGGACACAAAAAGAACGCAAGCGATTTCCTACTGCTCTCGCTATTCACCACCGCCCTGTGCAAACAGCTCTTGTACCTCCCATTCGAAAGCGCCTATAAAAAAAATTTCAATAATCAAAATATTATCGTCGCGTTAATTTAATTGAACATTATATTTAATGTTATTAATTAGTTACCATGAAAGTGTCGCCTATGTTGACTACGAAAGCATCCGAGTTCGGGGTAATGGATCGCCATTCATCGTCCACAAAGACTTGGAGTCCATTGATTTTATCTTGGTGGAGGATAGTGAGTGACGTGGGATCGCAATGTGGGCCCGTGCCTAGGGTTTGGTCCGGTTTTCGGCATGGTGGGTAATAGTTGAGCCTCATTATGGACTCATTTTCTTCGAAAAATTGCTTGAAATGGTCTTGCCTCACTCCTAAGCTCATCCCGAGTAGTTCCATAATTCCTAGAGAGAGTTTGTTCATCGCGCCGCAATATTGTTGGTATACTTTCCTGCAATTATGTAACACTCAAATTAATTATTGAGAATTTTGAACTATATTCTAAAATTATTGGTGGTCAAGCGGTTTTTACGTACCCTAAGTGGTCGAAATCGTCACCCAACGTCTTGTGGAAATAGTCTTCCACAATGTGGGACGAGGCCTCGTGTGCCGAGTATTGGAAAGAGAGAGTCTCCTTCCACGGAAGTTTCGAAGAGAACCTTCCGGTGAAGCTACTAGCGTAGCCGCAGTGTTCGCCGGCTTTTCTCAAAGCCTTTTGCTTCTCGTGGAGCGGTTGATCGAAGAAGTGGTCCATGCAACGATGGCCGTCCGATATGAGATCGGGGCTAACGCCGTGGTTGACCACTAGAAAGAAACCGTGCTTCCTGCACGCCTGGCCCACGAGCATAGATGCTCGTGCGGAGGCGGTGGGGTCCCCGGAGAGGAACCCACCAAGGTCGATGAGCGGCACTTGGAGCTCCGGAGGGTTCGCACGCGGCCGTTCGTGGTGCGGCCACACGAATTGCGACGGTATGTCCAATTGGTGTTGCAACAGCTTCGCATCGAAAATCGGAGATCGTTTTTGGTCGTTTTCGTGTTTGGTGGGTTGCGGCACGGAGGGCGAGCTCGTGATATTCGTAATGTCTATAGTCATTGCATGAAAAAGGAAAGATATTTTGGTGTTTCAAAAATTTTAGAACGTAATGCAATATATTTTTTGTTGGGGGGTTTAGGGAAAATATATATATGGAGGGAAGAGAGGAAAAAATTAGAGAGTTGTGGTAAAGGAAAAGCCAAAGGCCGTTTGATTGGGAAATTGGGGAACAAAACTTGGCATCTTTATAGTGTCCCTCTTAATGTTTCTATCACAAACAACAAGGTGGGGGCATTTGCAAGAAAGGTGTTCAAGTGAAGTATTATTGCAAATAAGGACCCCTACTTTAATGAATTTAGGGACTGGCCCATCACCTTTTGTCATTTACAATGTTGATGGATAATCGTTTCCCGATGGCTTTTGACGTTTCCTTTGGTAGGGATGGCTGTAGTACAATTGTTGAGACAATCACAAGAATTAATAAATAAAATAAATAATAATAATAATAAGAATTATTATTATCATAATAATAAATAAGATAATAAATAATATATTGCTTCTAGTATCATTAGATTCAAATTTAAGCATCATAATATTTTTGAATATGATGAAGTTGACCTTTTATAGTCAAGTGTTGAGTTTGGTCTTTGGGTCATGATATTTTCTGTTCCACATGATAGTCTTTAAGTATTTTTAATTTATTATAAGTATTATTATTTTATTATTTATAATTTAACAATCTAGCTAGGTAAACTTAGTTTTTACATTTACATTATGATTAATATTTTTATTATATATTTTTAAGGAAAATATAAAATAAAATACCATGCCGACTCATGAGCTTTTAAGCCACTGAAAACGAGCTCAAGTTCGACTTACCGTGAGAAAATTCGAACTCGCAAGTCAAAGTCAAACTATAAATTCACCTTAATTTTTTGAGTTTGAACGCATCTCGTTTACACTCTTAATTTCGACTAGTTAGCGTAATTTTAAAATTGCGATAATAATTACCAATCTCGTCGATAATATCAGAAATATAAACAAAACAAGATACCACACAATTACCAGATATGGCTAAACAAAACCTGCTTTTCTTTTTTCTTACAATTTATTTATTTTTGTTTTAATTTTTCTTTTTTTTTTTCTATTGTAAAGCAAACAAATCTAATCTTAACTCATCCTATCAATTTCCAATGGTTTTGTCTCTATTGTAAAAGCTGTCACCACAAGATTTCTTATAAGATTTTCTTGACTCTGAATTTTAAAGTTTCAAAGAATTATAGAATTATTAAAAAAGAAAAAAAAAAAGGAAAAATAGAACCACAGTTTATGTATGTATGTATATATGATTAAATGTTTGAAATACTAATGACTTGGGATATTGGAGATTATTCCGCAGTCTTGCACTAAAGAAATTAAGAAATGCTAGAAAGGGTTAGAATTCTTTAAAAAAAATATTAGTACTAGAATTATATTACAAAAATGAGCAAAATATTATTTAAAAAATGTGACACCACGTTATTGTTATGTAAAAATATGTTTGTCACTTCAATCTACGTTTATTTTCAATTCGTTTTTTCTCTACTATTAGTGTTTTTCTGTTTTTTCAACCGATCTGATTTTAGTTCCGAACATATGTAAATTTTTATAGTTATTATTATTATTTGAAATAAAATCTTAGACGTATCTTCATAAATTAAGTTAGGGGTAATATGCTAGGTGCCCCTCAAAGGAAACTTAATTTGAACTAAATAACAAGTTTAAATCCAATCATTTAATTAAATCCTTTGTTTGAATTAATATATGAGCCACAACCCTAATTTTTTATTTATTACTATATTGCCCTTATACTTTAAATTATCTAACTTATACATTCACGTTTCTTCAAATTCAAATTTATTTCTCTTTATTTTTACTTTCTCTCCCACGTTCTCTAACTCCCCATCTCTCTCTCTCTCTCTCTCTCTCTCTCTCTCTCTCTCTCTCTCTCTCTCTCTCTCTCTTTTTTCTATTTCTCTCTCAACCATCTATATCTTCCTTGTTTTCTCCAGTAGCAACGAAGGCCGGCGATGGCAGGTGGAGTCGTGGTGGAGAGCCCGCGGCTGTGGTTGTGCGGGTGCGAAGGGCTGTGGTTATGTTCGATTGTTTAGGTTCAAAATAGCAGATCTAGGGTTTCCCATCTTCTCTTACTCGTTTTCTCCGGTAGCAACGAAGGCCGACGATGGCGGGTGGACTCGTGGTGAAGAGGACGGCGGCAGGTGGCGGCGACAGTGGTTGTGCAGTGCGGGGGATGTGGTTATGTCGTTGAAACCATATGTTCGACTAATTGAATCTGATTTTTTTTATTTTTTAAAGAGATTTTGCTTGGTTTGGGTTCAAAATAGCAGATCTAGGGTTTCCCAAAGGTAGTAGGTGGGTATAGATGCGGCGGCTGCGACAAGGGTTTGGCGGCGGCCGCACTAGATGCTAGGGTTGGCGACGGCTGAGAGTTGTTGGCGTTAGGGTTCAGAATAGTACACCATAGTATATCGTAGTACATCATAGAACACCATAGTATGCCATAGTATACCATTGTATTTTTAAAATCCATAGTATGCCATTGTATTTTTAAAATCTGATGTATTATTAAAAAAAAAAAAACGAAAATAATTTTTCTTTCGTAATTTTCAATAAAATGTTAATAATAAGAAAAACATATAAGTTGTTTATAATAATTAAAAAAATTTGAGTGAAAAACGAAAAAAAACAAAGATGATAAAGTGTGCAAAAATAAATTAAAATATGTTAAATGAAAAAAATGAAGATATTAAATGCATAATAAAAATGATAAATGCAGTTCGAATTTTACTTAATGCAAATTTCGAATTTATGAGTAGAGGGACACTTTTGGAATGAATTTTATAAATGATGTGAAGCAAATGTTTAATTGGACTTGTCATTTAGTTCTAATTCATTTTATCACTAGGAACCTATATCTTAAGACTCCATTAAGTTTAAAAATACATTTATGTTAATTAAAACCAATAAAAATATAGTAACCGAAGTATATATATAACTAGCTAGCTAATATACTTTTTGTTTGATATGAAATTATATCCACTAAAGTAATTTAATTAGCAAATCAAAATTAATTTTTTTTATGCTTACTGATATTATTAGGCAGCATATTAATAATGTTGGTATCAATATCCTATGCAACATCCATTGCAAACGATTCTTCCAATCTTTGCTCTCAGAATCCTGTCATCGAACTTTTGCTTACGTGGACTCAACTCAAATGCTGACTCACCACCTATTCAGTAGTACCATCACAAATTTCTATTTGAAGGCTGACTCATCTAATTTATTTCTAAATATAATTTGTCGTTTTTAAATATATATTTGATTATTTTCACATAAACTTAATTATTAATTTTTTTTTTAAATTATGGAAGAAACTCTAATGGATTTACCGAAATCATCCATCGAATACGTCTATACGGTTTGAGGCTGACTGATTTATACTATGCTACACCAGGTGAAATACATTCGAGTAAATTTTTTAGCTTTCATAAGTGCACAAACTTACATGAGTGTGTAGGACCGGGATTGGGTTGGTTTTTATCCACCAACCGACCCATTACCGACCTTATTTTTAGACGGATAATCAATTTTTAACCGACCCATTGGATCGGGTCGAAAATTTCACCCAAACCATCTATAATGGGTCGGTTGGTGGTTTCTAATATTATCAAAAGTTGGTTGACCGATAATTATCGATCATCCAACTATATTATTAAAATTTTATTAAAAATATAAAATAAAGACCGTATTTTCTTAAGTGGTTATTGAAATTATCAAAATAATTAGTATTTTAAATTTTAAAAACAATCAACAAAGGAAAAAAAAAATTGAGCTAAATCTTCCACTTTCTTTATGCCCAAGCTTAAACAAAAAGCTCACAAAACTCTACAAAGTTTCTTGTGCGTGTTTGAAATTACTCTGAATATTCTAATTATACTTTTTCGTTAAATTAGTATTTAGTTATTTTGAACTGATAAATGATGATCGCACTGTGCTATTACGTAGAATGTGGATAATTTTACTCCAAAACTTGAAAAAAAAATTAAGTGAACTAGGTTGCGGGTATAAACCACCAACCGACCCATTCCGGAACCAAATATTTGGTTGCCAACCATCAACCGACCCAAAGGTTGGGTCGGCAATGGTTTTCAAATTTGAGCAAAAATGGTTTAACGGATGGGTCGGTTTTTAGGCTGGTAATCGACCGACCCAACCGAGTCCCAGCCCTATGAGTGTGTATAAAATAACGGTAAAAATTTACCTAATGTAACTTTCACCCTGGTATAGCACATAAATAATAATAATAATATTTTTTTGAATGTGATAAGATGGAAAGATTCATTAATTTCAGCAAATATTATTTATTTAAAGAAATGTAAATACAATCGACACCATATATTGTTTAGTACTTAATTATTGGCACGTGTGAATGGGTCAAATACATTAATAGAAGGAGACCAACTCGTAAAGCAAAGACAATAATGTTTGACACTATTATATAATATAATAATTTGCATTGGCTGGGAATAAAATAATTAAATAATGTAAAGCAACTCCACTTTAAATATCTTAAAAATACCGACACACATAACTTAATTACTGTTTAATTCACAAACAGACGACACCAAATCTGTTGGATTAGATTACATTAACATTTAACATTGACACTAATCTCTCTTTTTCTTTTTTCAGATCAAAATTTACTGTTTTGGTTGGTGGGTTTTCACTGTTTTATCTTTTTTTTTGTCTTGTTCGCACTCAGACAAAAACAAATCACTTGTTATCGATAATACGTGGCAAATTTTTTTTTTTTTCTCATATTGTTATGATTATGATCCTGAGAAGATAATCTAGACTCATGAGAATATAGTGTAGGGTAAATTATGTACATTTTATTTTTACTTGAGTTTCTGATAAAGAAAGAGAGATATAAAACGTGAGAGAAATATACATAGCTAAATTGTCCTTTTCCTTCTGAGACCATTCTTCTTTATCCATTTATATGTAATGAGTTTTTGAGCGACCTAGACAAAATATGAGAGAAATACACATTCAATTCGAATCTTAACCTAATTTTCAAATCTACTTCCAAGCGCCGAAAACACAAGAGTTCAAATTATCTGAGGTTGTGGATATTGTGTGAGAGAGTCAAGATATGAGTGATTTTGTTCCGATTTATGGCTCCGGGTAATTTGTGCTTTGTGTTGTTCTTTTGCTGAACACCGTTGGTAGTTTTTTGGACGAGAAACGTGACATAGAAAACTGAGGCGTAACAGAAAACTGAGCTTCTCATTTCATTGGAGTTTAGTTGTTCATAGCTTCCGTGTTGGTTTGTTTCTTTAGTTTACATTTTTTTTGTTTATTTTGTTCTTATATAATTTGTAAT